TTATTACCCCCACGAAAAATGCGAATGGGTCTTAACCGAGTTGCAGCGGTGGAAAATGCAAGGGGGTCATAACCCCCACCGCCCAACAAGCAAGAGGCGCAGGGGCGAATCATGCGAAGGGGTCATTATAACCCCCACGGCCTAGCAAGAGGCACATGGACGAAAATGTGAAGAGGTAATTATGACCCCCCACAGCCTAACAAGCAGGAGGCACAGGGACGAATAATGTGAAGGGGTCATTATAAACCCCACGGCCTTGCAAGAGGCGCAGGGACGAACACTACGAAGGGGTTATTATTACCCCCACGAAAAATGCGAATGGGTCTTAACCGAGTTGCAGCGGTGGCAAAATGCAAGGGGGTTACATACCCCCAACCGCCAAGCAAGCGAGTGTTCCGGCCTGGAAAATTGCGAAGGATTTATGACTCCACTACCAGGAAGGCGAGAGACCAGAAATGCGAAGAATGCTTAACTAGCGAGCGAGAGTTGCGGCAACAAAAAATGCAAAGCGTTGATAACTCCCACTACCTAACTTGCAAAGGTTGCAGCAACCAGAAATGCGAACAGTTAATAAGTCACACGGCCTATTAAGTGAGAGTTGCAGCGCAAACAATTGCGAAGGGGCGGTAACCTCCACGGCCTTACCAGCGAGAGGTGTACAGAATATAATATTACTCCCACGGCCTAACCAGCTAGTGGTATAAGAAGATATTATAACACCCACGGTCTAAACAAGCAAGAGGTGCAGGGACGAAAAATGCGAAATTATAAACGCCACGGCCTAGCAGGCGAGAGGCGCAGGGACGATCGAAAAGTGCGAAGGGGTCATTATAAACCCCACGGCTTAGCAAGAGGCGCAGGGACGAACACTGCGAAGGGGTTATTATAACCCCCACGGCCTAATAATGAAGAGGCACAGGGACGAACAATGCGAAGGGGTTATTATAACCCCACGGCCTAACAAGCAAGAGACGCAGGGACGAAAAATGAGAAGGGGTTATTATAAACCCCACGGCCTAACAAGCAAGAGGCACAGGGACAAAAATGTGAAGAGGTAATTATGACCCCCCACAGCCTAACAAGCAGGAGGCACAGGGACGAATAACGTGAAGGGGTTATTATTACCCCCACGAAAAATGCGAATGGGTCTTAACCGAGTTGCAGCGGTGGAAAATGCAAGGGGGTCATAACCCCCACGGCCTAACAAGCAAGAGGCGCAGGGGCGAAAAATGCGAAGGGGTTATTATAACCCCCACAGCCTAACAAGCAAGAGGCGCAGGGGCGAAAAATGCGAAGGGGTCATTATAAACCCCACGGCTTAGCAAGAGGCGCAGGGACGAACACTGCGAAGGGGTTATTATGACCCCCCACAGCCTAACAAGCAGGAGGCACAGGGACGAACAATGCGAAGGGGTTATTATAACCCCCACGGCCTAACAGGCAAGAGGCGCAGGGACGAAAAATGCGAAGGGGTCATTATAAACCCCACGGACTAACAAGCAAGAGGCACAGGGACAAAAATGTGAAGAGGTAATTATGACCCCCCACAGCCTAACAAGCAGGAGGCACAGGGACGAATAATGTGAAGGGGTTATTATATTACCCCCACGAAAAATGCGAATGGGTCTTAACCGAGTTGCAGCGGTGGAAAATGCAAGGGGGTCATAACCCCCACCGCCCAACAAGCAAGAGGCGCAGGGGCGAAACATGCGAAGGGGTCATTATAACCGCCACGGCCTACCAAGAGGTGCAGGGACGAACAATGCGAAGGGGTTATTATAACCCTCACGGCCTAACAATTAAGAGGCACAGGGACGAACAATGCGAAGGGATTATTATGACCCCCCACAGCCTAACAAGCAGGAGGCACAGGGACGAATAACGTGAAGGGGTTATTATTACCCCCACGAAAAATGCGAATGGGTCTTAACCGAGTTGCAGCGGTGGAAAATGCAAGGGGGTCATAACCCCCACGGCCTAACAAGCAAGAGGCGCAGGGGCGAAACATGCGAAGGGGTTATTATAACCCCCACAGCCTAACAAGCAAGAGGCGCAGGGGAGAAACATGCGAAGGGGTCATTATAACCCCCACGGCCTAGCAAGAGGCGCAGGGACGAACAATGCGAAGGGGTTATTATAACCCTCACGGCCTAACAACCAAGAGGCACAGGGACGAACATTGCGAAGGGGTTATTATTACCCCCACGAAAAATGCGAATGGGTCTTAACCGAGTTGCAGCGGTGGAAAATGCAAGGGGGTCATAACCCCCACGGCCTAACAAGCAAGAGGCGCAGGGGCGAAAAATGCGAAGGGGTTATTATAACCCCCACAGCCTAACAAGCAAGAGGCGCAGGGGCGAAAAATGCGAAGGGGTCATTATAGACCCCACGGCTTAGCAAGAGGCGCAGGGACGAACACTGCGAAGGGGTTATTATGACCCCCCACAGCCTAACAAGCAGGAGGCACAGGGACGAACAATGCGAAGGGGTTATTATAACCCCCACGGCCTAACAAGCAAGAGGCGCAGGGACGAAAAATGCGAAGGGGTCATTATAAACCCCACGGACTAACAAGCAAGAGGCACAGGGACAAAAATGTGAAGAGGTAATTATGACCCCCCACAGCCTAACAAGCAAGAGGCACAGGGACGAATAATGTGAAGGGGTTATTATATTACCCCCACGAAAAATGCGAATGGGTCTTAACCGAGTTGCAGCGGTGGAAAATGCAAGGGGGTCATAACCCCCACCGCCCAACAAGCAAGAGGCGCAGGGGCGAAACATGCGAAGGGGTCATTATAACCGCCACGGCCTACCAAGAGGTGCAGGGACGAACAATGCGAAGGGGTTATTATAACCCTCACGGCCTAACAATTAAGAGGCACAGGGACGAACAATGCGAAGGGGTTATTATGACCCCCCACAGCCTAACAAGCAGGAGGCACAGGGACGAATAACGTGAAGGGGTTATTATTACACCCACGAAAAATGCGAATGGGTCTTAACCGAGTTGCAGCGGTGGAAAATGCAAGGGGGTCATAACCCCCACGGCCTAACAAGCAAGAGGCGCAGGGGCGAAACATGCGAAGGGGTTATTATAACCCCCACAGCCTAACAAGCAAGAGGCGCAGGGGAGAAACATGCGAAGGGGTCATTATAACCCCCACGGCCTAGCAAGAGGCGCAGGGACGAACAATGCGAAGGGGTTATTATAACCCTCACGGCCTAACAACCAAGAGGCACAGGGACGAACATTGCGAAGGGGTTATTATTACCCCCACGAAAAATGCGAATGGGTCTTAACCGAGTTGCAGCGGTGGAAAATGCAAGGGGGTCATAACCCCCACGGCCTAACAAGCAAGAGGCGCAGGGGCGAAAAATGCGAAGGGGTTATTATAACCCCCACAGCCTAACAAGCAAGAGGCGCAGGGGCGAAAAATGCGAAGGGGTCATTATAAACCCCACGGCTTAGCAAGAGGCGCAGGGACGAACACTGCGAAGGGGTTATTATGACCCCCCACAGCCTAACAAGCAGGAGGCACAGGGACGAACAATGCGAAGGGGTTATTATAACCCCCACGGCCTAACAAGCAAGAGGCGCAGGGACGAAAAATGCGAAGGGGTCATTATAAACCCCACGGACTAACAAGCAAGAGGCACAGGGACGAAAATGTGAAGGGGTTATTATATTACCCCCACGAAAAATGCGAATGGGTCTTAACCGAGTTGCAGCGGTGGAAAATGCAAGGGGGTCATAACCCCCACCGCCCAACAAGCAAGAGGCGCAGGGGCGAAACGTGCGAAGGGGTCATTATAACCCCCACGGCCTAGCAAGAGGCGCAGGGACGAACAATGCGAAGGGGTTATTATAACCCTCACGGCCTAACAATTAAGAGGCACAGGGACGAACACTGCGAAGGGGTTATTATTACCCCCACGAAAAATGCGAATGGGTCTTAACCGAGTTGCAGCGGTGGAAAATGCAAGGGGGTCATAACCCCCACAGCCTAACAAGCAAGAGGCGCAGGGGCAAAAAATGCGAAGGGGTTATTATAACCCCCACGGCCTAGCAAGAGGCACAGGGACGAAAATGTGAAGGGGTAGGTCGTAACCTCCAAGGCACAGCGGGCGAGAGTTACAGCGGTGGCAAAATGCAAGGGGGTTACATACCCCCAACCGCCAAGCAAGCGAGTGTTCCGGCCTGGAAAATTGCGAAGGATTTATGACTCCACGGCCAGGCAGGCGACAGACCAGAAATGCGAAAAATGCTGAACTAGCGAGCGAGAGTTGCGGCAAACGAAAAATGCAAAGCGTTGATAACTCCCACGACCTAACTTGCAAATGTTGCAGCAACCAGACATGCGAACAGTTAATAAGTCACACGGCCTATTAAGTGAGAGTTGCAGCGCAAACAATTGCGAAGGGGTGGTAACCTCCACGGCCTTACCAGCGAGAGGTGTCCAGAATACAATATTACTCCCACGGCCTAGCAGGCGAGAGGCGCAGGGACGGTCGAAAAATGCGGACGCATTGTAACCCCTTCGACCTAAACAGCGAGAGCTGCAGGGACGGAATATGCGAAGGACTTATAACCCACGGCCTGGCAAGCGACAGTTGCCGAGAGGGGAACTGCGGAAATGGTTCACTAGCGAGAGTTACAGCGACAAAAATGCGAAGTGTTAATAACTCCCACGGCCTAGCAGGCGAGAGTTGCAGCGGTGGAAATTGCGTTTTACCAAGGCACCGTTCAGTTTGCAAACTCCCGACAAACCTGAGGCCGTTGTATGTCCGCCTGTGTGTATTTGGTTCCAGTAAGTTATTCCACGCCCTCCTAATGCGGAAGCTGGGGAGAGGCGGGCTACCGTCCCCTTACTTCTGTGCCTGGCACATGAAGCCGGCAGTCGCATAACACAGCAACAGTACTGCAGCTCCAGGTTTTCGCAAGTACGCAAGGGTAATCTTCCCCTGCATGTTACAACTCTTGAAGAATCCTCCAATTCGCTTCCTATTACCTTCCTGTCCCCGCAAGCACAGTGCACAGAAGGCGGAGAACGCCATACGTCACCATGCAAGGTCTATGAGGCTACGCATGCAAGCTGCCCGTGTGCACCCCATACGCCTCTATTAGGGCGCGCGACCCGTCCAACACCCACAGCTTATCACCTCGTTAATTATTAACATGCAACACAGTGTAGCACGCCAGAACAGATGCGCGTGATCCCGAAATGCCAGCCCCGCGCAAAACTGTTAGTTGCACCGCAAGCGACATCCGAAGCCCGTAAACGAACGTACTCTGCGTGAACAAGTTACTAAGGAAAGGTATCACCAACGCCGTTGAAGCCTCCCGCAAGTACTGTAGCAGCGGCAGCAATGCAGCAGAAGTCGTAGTACGGCAACTGTGTGCGGCACATGCACATACGCATTCAATGACAGAAAGCCATCCTCCACAGCTTATACCATTCAGCGTTCCTTTCACGCCGCTCGCTTTAATGCAGCGACCGCACCCTTCATGCCGTTGTATATTCCCAAACAATGCGCTCCCTTGCACGCAAAAACCCTCCTTCGTCTGCTGCTGCTGTCACATCCTCCTCCTCCTCTTCATCATCATCATCATCCTCATCCTGGGCAGTCCCAGACTCATCCCGTCGCCCCACCACCGAGGAAATCGCCCCAGCGCAGAGCTGCCAAGCCGGCCCTATTAATGTTGTTCACTCACTTCATGCTCAATCTGCCCAAAGCACCAAAAGGGGCCAACAAGCCAGGCCTGCTGCTGACCTGCAGCAGCACCTCGTACCGTACATTGCTCAACCCCTACAATGACCCATGTGTCTCGTGAACCGCCGCTATTGATACAGTCCCCATGAACCCGCTGTACGTGCTCTGCTGCTGCTGCGGCCAGTGGCCCTCTTACGTCAGGGAGGACCCTGACCCTGACGGAAAGCCTAATCCTTCCTGCTGCTGCGTACACTCCTGTACCGCCACTCTTCCTTTCTTCCTCCTCCTATCTAGCTGCTGCGCAGTTAGTTGTATCGTGACATGTTTTGCATCATGGCTGGGTCGTCGTTGCTGATGGAGCCCAGCTCAGTGTCCATGGGGTAGGAGCCCAGCACGCGCAGGAAGGGAGCCGTCTCCTGCGGGGGGGTGTAGGGGAGGGAGGGGAGAGGGGCCGGTTGGCAGAGTTCCGCTGCTGTAATTATGGAGTAAAGCAAAACTTGTGTGGGGTAGGGACGCCGGCGCGGGAAGGACGGGGGTTGGGACGAGTGCGGCTGCAAGCCAGGAAAAGTATGCATGAAGGTTTGATGTCGTCGCGAACCATGGGGGACGTTTCAAGTGAGGCGCTCTCGACCCAACGCCGAGCGCCGAGCGATGAAACAACCCGGACAGGCTGACCCCGCCCCCTATCCCCTCCCTCCCTCCTCCCACCCACCCATCCAGCTCTCACCTGCAGGTGCCGCAGTGCGTTCTGGCAGCGCACCTCCATGAGGCTGCCCACGAAGTCGACGTAGAAGAGGTAGTTGAAGTTCTGCCGGGAGCCGTTGGAGCCGTCCTGGGAGGGGATCTGCACGATGGGGTTGGTGCGCATGGGCCGGGACTCCACCTGCGGGGCGGGGGGAGGGCCGAGGGGGCGGGGGCGGGGGGGGGAGGGAGCAGTCAGGCTGTTGATATGCGAGAGTTGCAATTGATCCGTGTCACCTCCACGATATGAAGATAGATACTTGTAAGCCAGGCTGGCTCGGTTGGGCGGCTACATACCAGGACTGCGCTCCGGTGACGGACACGCGGAGGCCCTACCGGCGGCCAGCAGGGCGGTGTGCCGCTCCCTGCCCGCCTTCCTTCTGCCCAGCCTTTCCCGCCTAGGACCGACAGCCATTCCTCTCTGACTCCTCCCCCCGCTCCCGCTCCAACCCGCCCCCCTACCCCTACGCTGCATCACTCCCCTCCCTCTCCCCCGCCTCCCCTATTCTCCCTCGCTCCGCTCTCTCCCCCCCCACAAACCCTAACCTGTGGTTCTTCGACTCCCCACCCCGAGCCCCCACCCCCCATCCCCACCTTGGCCAGGTCGATGTCTCGCAGCGCGAACACCGACAGCGCCTTGAACAGCTGCCCGGGGCCCGGCTGCAGCGAGAACACGATGGAGGTCTTGAACTTGCGGGTGTCGCTCTCGCTGGTCACCAGGGGGTCCCTGGGGGGGAGTGGGGAGGGGGAGAGCCGAGGAGAGAGGGGGCGGGAGAAGGTAGGCGGGTGACAAGGAGGGGAGGGGAGCCGAGCTTCACGGGGTGGATGCCCTCTTCTCACACTCCCTCCCTTCCGACCCCACTGAGAAGCGCCCTGGCCCCCCTGTGCCCCACGTTGCTCCCCCTCCAGCCGCACCCGGGTCGCCCCTACCGGCGCCTACTCCTGCCTCCCTCCCGCCTTCCCTCCTGGACATCAGGGCTGACTCCCAGCCCTTTTCCTTTTCTTTCCCCTTCCTGGTTTCCTGATTGGCCCACCTGCCCCCTACACCTCCCCACACCTCCCCGCCCCGCCCCTCCTCGCCCCGCCTACCGTGACAGCACGATGAAGCGCGTCACGTTGTCCTTCACGTCCTGGATGCCCTCCTCCAACACGTCCAGCCCGTACAGCTCGGCAGCGCGGCGGGAGCAGATGGCGCCAACACCCTGCCAGGGGGGAGAGGGAGAGGGAGAGGGGGAAGAGGTGACTAGAGGAGGAAGAGGGGGTTAGAGGAGATGTGTATATTCCGCACAGGGCTGCACAGGAGACGAAGCAGGAGTGCGGGCGAGCATGCAGCAGCCGCTCAACCCTCCATCTCATCCACATCAGCCCCCCGGGCCAGCCCCCCACCCCACCCCCCTCCATGCATTTATCTCTATTTACCCCCCTCCAGCTCCTACCCACCTGCAGCCCCTGCCGTGCTACAATCTGCGCCGCGCCCGCCGTGTCGTCCACCGCCTCCTTCACCACCGCCATGCGCCGCAGGTAGCCGTCGCACTGGGCTAGGGCCTGGGAGACGCGGAAAAAGGGGGGAGAATGCCCAATGTGTTGAATGATGCTGGCAAACAAGCCCACGAAGGTGGAAGGGGGGAAGGAGAGGCAGTGAGGCAGAGGTGCAGGGCGACAGGGGGCACCGGGCCACCCCGAACCGAGGGAGCTGGGAGCTGCATTGCATTGCAAACACTGTACCGCTCCTCCTCTTTCTCCCCAGCACCCTTGCCACCAGGTGTGCCCCTTCCCTCCCTCCATGCGAGTGGTAACTGGTTCAGACCTTTTTGCCAACCGCCCTTTCTCTCCCTCCCCTTCTTTTCCCTCGCTCGCTTCTTACTGCCCCTCCCACAGCCTCATCTTCTTCTCCTCACTCCCACAGCCTCAACCCCTCTCAACCCCTCCCGCTCTCCCTCCCCTCCCTCTTCCCCCCCTTTCCCGCTCCCCCCCACCTGCGGGTGGCTCATCACCCTTGTCAGCCCCTCCTTGCTGCTGCCCGGCAGCGCCACCAGGCAGTGGTTGATGGCCAGGCTGGTCTCCCCCACGATGTGCAGCCGGTAGCGGATCAGCAGGTCGTACACCGCGTGGATGGAGCCGCCCAGGCTGTTCTCGATGGGCAGCACGGCGCGCTCCGACATCCACTGGCTCAGAGCCTGACAGGCAGCCGGGGAGGGGGGGAGGGGAGGGGAATGAGTTGTGCTGCCTTCTCTAGTGCCACACCCCACCCCATCCCGCCCCGCCACCTGTTTCGTTGCTCCTCTTCACACCGCCCCCACCGCTGCTCCTGCTCCCCCCCCTCTCCCCCGCTGCACTTATCTTTTACTCCCCCACCCAACACACATACACAGCCGCCCGGCCACCCCGGGCTGTACCTGGAATGCCACCTCGAACTGGTCACAGGGCAGCGGCTCGTAGTCGGGGCAGGACTTGCGCGCCGCCACCTCGCTGTAGGCGCCCGGCACCCCCTGGTAGGCCGCCTTGGCCGCGGAGTAGCTGGGGTTGCTCAGCTGGGGGCAGAGAGGCAGGGAGGGTAAAGATGGGAGGGAGCAGAAGGGGGAAGAGGAGGGAGGAAGTGGAGCGCTGGGCTGAGCGAGGTTGAGGCGGAAAAGAAGGGGAGAGGGAGGACGAAGAGAGTGGAAAGGTGGTCTAGGTATTGAAAGGAGGACGTGGGCGATTGGAGTCAAGAAAGCGTTAACGTAGCGCAGCAGCAGGCAATCCGATGGATGGAACCCAAGTAGCCAAAGCAGGGTCACGTGCTATGTTGTACAAGGACGATTACGAAGACCAATCTGGCTCCGGTTGGTCCTTAGCCTTACCTCTTCTATTGACTTGTTAGCAGCTTTAGCAATGAGCGATGATGTCAGGACTGTTCCTGCACCCAAAGAGGCCACAGGCCGATGTTCTGAAACTCCTGCTGGTGTTCTTCCGAACATTGGAGACGACGAAGGTGAAGCATCCACGCCGCGTGCCGCTGTGGGCGGCTCCATCACCGCTGCTGCACGACTGATGCTTGGCTGCAAGCTAGCTTCGGCAATACGAGACGCAACTATCCTTGGGCAAGAAATGCGGCCAGCTCGCACTGGTCCGGCGCCGGTCGCCTTTCGCAAACCACAAGTACGCTGCATCGTGCTGAAGAAGCCTATGGCATGCAGTCTAGCAGCAAATTTTACATGTAACAGCAGAATGAGACCAAATAAGTTGCTGATCAAAGTCACTTCCTTACAAATGAGATGGCAGTTCCGTACAGCAGCAACACTGTTTTTGTCGCTCATGCGTTATAGGCAGCGAGATAGAAAGCAGTTGGATATATATGTGCCTTAGCGTAGTACTCGGTTTTTGTTAGTCACATATAAGGCGGTGGCCGGCTCGTCAGTCGTTAGCCATGTTCTACACTACGCATCCAATACCACACCCTATCCTTAATCGGAACCTTCTTTCCGTTGTAAATTTATGGCTCTGACGGACCACTTGCTATCCGGCAACACTACATAGCACCCAGAGAATCCCCACGCACGCATCCGGTCAGCCTTGGTTCCACCCTTGCACCTTCAATATTTGCACATTTCGTAGCAGGCTTGCTTCCACCCTTGCACATCTATAGCCGCACACTTTGCACAGAAAGGTTTTGGGGCCTCCTCACTGCAAACATCACACCTGCAACAACGCTACAACAACCCCGCGCACTACTAGCCGCTTCTGCGCACTTCCGTCAACATCCTACACCTTAACTTCTTATGAATGTCCCGCAATTGTTTGGAGCGCACCCCAACATGTAAAAGTACAACACGGATGGACTGCCCTGTGTGCAATCATGGCTTTCCAGGCACCCCAGCATCCCCGCTACAACTACGCGCGCGCGCATCCCGCATATTCCCTATAGGGGCTCGCGGCAGCCCTCCAACACGTGTCCACCACTCGTACGGTTCGGGTTTCCTGTTTCTTACTGCTGGACTATTCCATTGCATCTCACAGCCTGAAGCAAAACCTCAATTGCACACACTCGCATTAATAAAAATGACACACCGGTACCGTTGTTCGCCGCAACTCGAGACTCCTTGACCAATTCCTTGCCCGGTTTCATTCCCTCAGTAATCCAAAACAAGTGGATCTCCCTAACAAGCAGCATCTGCAACCATATCCCCAAAAATGACCCCTGCCCAAACATTACCCATTTCTCACCCGCAACCCTCCCTCACCTTCCCACATAACAACCAGCAACCGCTATACACCATTCAACCATTGTACAACATCACTCCCCAACAACCTGTCCCCCGGCCCCCCACGTAAGCCTCAATCCCCACCACCTAGCAACCAGCTGCCGCCGCTGCACGCACCAAGGCGCACACCTCCTTGTGCCCACCCCGCGCATGCGCCAGCTGGCACTCCCGGCTGCAGTACGACACCTGCCTGCACCTCCCGCACGGCTGCAGCGGCAGCTCCGCCTCGCTGTCCCCCGCCAGGTTGGTGCAGCGCGGGTTGCCACACACCGGCCAGCCCCCACACACCAGGTGCGGCGGCGTCAGTCGCTCAGCCACGCACCCATGCTCCGTCTCCAGCCCCATCCGCACCTCCTCCATCGCACTCAGCCGCCCCTCCTCGCCACAGTCTCCCAGCAGCCGCCTTATCCTCTCACGCTGCGAGACTTCCGAAAACATGTGGTCTCCCTTCCGCAGCACGGATACCAAGCTGGGCACGGGCAGCCGCCCCCTGCGTGATGCACCGCCTCCGCCTCCGTTGCCGCCCTTACTGCGGGCTCCACCGCTGCTGCTGCTGCTGCTGCGTCCGGTACCTGCAGGCTCTGCCATCATCTCCGCACAGCGGGGCGCCATGGCAGCAGCGAACTCAGCAGGGAAGGCCAGCAGCATCGCCTGAACCGCCGGCCCCACAGGAGGCAGAGCAGGGCGGTTATGGGGTCCAATGGGCAACCGCCCCTGGGCCAGGATTGCGACCCGGCATGTCGCCCACACAGCCACGTCCACCAAGCTGAAGATGTCCATGTCCACCAGCAGCAGCTGCTTCCAAGCGGCTGCGGCAGCCGCCTGATGCCGTTCCAACGCCAGGAGGTACGAAGTCGCAAGCAGCGGCACCCATTCCAGCAACATGTTCGCCACAATTTCCTCAATTTCGGTGTGTGTCCCCAACAAGCGTGTTGCCACCTGCGGCAGGGTGGCCGCCACCACCGGGAGCCGTCGCGCCGCCATGACCGATCCGATCAGCAGAATCCGCTCAGCGGCTTCTGTGGACACCTCCGAGATGCTCGGAAGGTCACTGGAATCGCCAGCATCACGGTCGCCGCTAGCCTCGTTAGCACCGCGGTCGTGGCCAGCCATGGCAGCGCAGCCGCGGCAGCTATCGGCAATGGCGACTGAGCCCGGCAGCACTGGCGCAGACGCGCCCCCATGCGAAGTGACCTCGGCTGCTGGCACCTCCTGGGCTGCAACATCCTGGGCGCTGGTCGTGGCCCCCAGCGCCAACACCTTCCCACAGAGCTGCATCACATCGAGCAGCCCCTTCGGTACACTGTACATTGCAAATGAGCACATGACGTCCACGGTGCTGTCAGACGAAGAGACCTCCTTGGAAACAAGCACCGGAACTGCCTTACTGGTCGTCACCAAGAACGGCACCATTTGTTTGGCATCCACCGTAAGCAGCAGTGACCGTGCTCCCTCTTCATTAATAAGGCTGGAGAACAGCTGTGACAAGCCCACTTCCAAGCCGGGCATTTGCGGCAGGCCGCGACGGAGGACTCGCTCCAGGCAGGGCACCAAGCCTAGCGGCTGTGCGATGCCGAGGTTTGCGGCGACGGCGCTGGAGAGCAGCAGGCCACGGTGGTGACTGTAGCCGCCTTCATAATCATGCATGATAACTGCATGCGACCACAGGGCAAACAGCAGGGAGCAGACATGAGCACTTGTACAATGGAGAAACACCAAGAACAATAGCCATGCAAGGACAGGACAACCAGAAGCCTCAAACGCCGGCATCAGCAGGGGCATCTTATAGCATGGCAGCACCAGCCAAAACGGCTGTCATTGTAAGACAACCCAGCCCAGGTCCTAAGCTCCTAGCATCCTACCTAGCCACAACAGCTCAAAGAGATATCCCACGTTGCATGCCTCTTCCAGGCTGTCGGGCTCCTCAACTACGATGTCCAATGAAGCCAGCGCATCCCTCCACCACTCCTCCGGATACACAGCCACCACGCCGCAACCTCCATTGCTGCTACTGCTGCAGCCAGAGGTGTTGCTGTGACCACTGGTGTGGCTGCTAGACCCTGCGAACGCGCCTCCACTGTTGCAACGACTGGTGCTGTTGCTGTCAGCGCTGTTTCCGCCCACCATGCTGCCTGCGGATGTAACCTCAGCCGCTGCCGTGATGCTGCTGCCGTCGCCTGCACGGTCGCCCGTTCGCCCCCGCCCCCGCCCCCGCCCGGCAGTGTAGTGCATGACCTCCGCAGCGGTGATGAGTGCCTGCATAGCCAGGACGGGGCATTCCTGCGGCCTGAAACGGAGAGAAGAAGGGGCCAGCAGCCCTGGCTGTGGCTGCTTGGCGCGTGATTGCGCTGCCACGCTCTCGTTCTGCTGCTTCACCTGCTTTGCCTGCTGCGCAGCTTTCCGCATCTGCTTCTGGGTAAGCCGCCGCGCCTGCTGCGGCGGTGGTGCCCCCGCCTCGGCGGCTCGGGGTACTGCAGCCCCTGTTGCCGACACAGCCTGGTCCTTTCGAAACTTGAGCGGCTTGCCGGTAGACACCTGCCACCATAGCAAGGACACCTTCGCCAGCCGCATGCTCAAAGCTAGCATGGCCCTCGGACCAATCACCTGCCTTTGCTGCGTTTCTTCATCCTGCTTGAGCGCCGCGGCCCAGTACAACATGATGTTGTGGAAAAAGCCGGTGCACAACACATCTGACCCAGCCTTGCAGCCTGATCGGTTGCACTTGCAGCGCTGCTGAAGGATAGGCGGCAGGGCGTCAGCAGCAAGGCCGTACATAGTTGCTGTGCTGCTGCTGCCGCCACCACCAAGGCCACCAACATTCAGGTCGCGGCCATCGTCAATGGGGGCGCCCTCAAAGGCCTCGGCGGCATGCAACTGCGCTGCAACATGGGCGACCAGGAGGTACTGGACGCACTCGCCCAAGGGGCAAAACGCGGCCAAGGCGTTGTCCCTGCTGACTTTCCTACATGTCAGGAGCTGAACTTCTACCGCCCCAAGTACGCAGCGCAGTGCATCACCTGCCGCCCCTCCCAGGGCAGGTGATGATGAGGAGGTATTGCCAGGGGCCTGGGTGTTAGTGGATGTAGAGGCCGCACCGCAAGTAGCGTCTTTGTGGTGTAGCAACAAGCCCCGCGCGAGGTGCTCCAATAAATAGCTGTTTTCCAGGCTTTGGAAAAGCTCGTGGATCAGCGCAGAGTTTTCGCCGCTGCTGCCGCCTTGACTGCTGGTGCTGCTGCTGCCGCCATCACGGTCGTGCGAATGCCGATTGGCGAAGGACAGCAAACTCTCCAGCAGACAAGCGATAGCCTCGTACCACGATAACTGCTCTTTAACACTGGTGAACCAGTGCTGGGCGACGAGCCGGCTCAGAAGAGGTAACATGTCTGATCGAATACAAGCGCGCGCCACTGATGCGACCACGTCCATGATGCCAACCCCATTCCAGGAAACTTCACGACAGGTTCTCCACTCGACGCAATTGAAGCGGAAGAGCTGCTTCAGCATCTTAGTCATCGCTATGCCTACCCGAGTGCAAGCGTCGCCCAAAGTCCTGCTGCTGCTTGCGCGATGTGCGTTATCACTGGCATCGCCGCTCACAACCGAATCAGTGCTAAGAAGGGCGCGGAGCGTCCTGTCATACAGCCCGAGGAAAGCAAGCTGTGATTCTGCGGAACGCCAGAGAGAGCCTAAATCGGATAGCTTTTCTACACGACTACTGCAGGAAAGCAGACGCTCTGCTGCTTCGGCAAGCTGCTCCCAGTAGTCATTGGCGCAATCTTCGTGGCAAAACCTTAACAGTTTAATCCAACCCTCTCTGCATAACTGGGCAATATGTGATGATCCTGTTTGCGACTGTGTGCGGTGGCGTGGCATGGTGTTGGTCTAACGTCAAGGTTGCAGGCATATGACGTGGTAAACGTAATCGTGAGGCGAGTAAAATATAAGAAGTTACTGCTCCCTTCTCCGGATGTAAATGCTATATGTAATTTTGAAGGGCAGATAAGATACACCTTTTTACTTTACTTTACTTTACATGGTACGGTATACACCTTGGCGGGAAGCTTTGTACAACGCTTGCGCTTGCGTTGCAACAAGCTGCAGAACGTATAGCTGTAGATAATGGAAAAGTCACTGTCAAGCACCTTACAGAAAGTTTAAGCAAGGACTGGGTCATTACACAGAAGGTGTGATTGTTGCAAGCAGTGCTCAAGAGGAGAGCGGTATAGGTGCGTTACTTGTTATGAATGCATGTCTAAGTAGGTTGGTGGAGGAATGCTGCACTCAAGAGAACGTACCACTTAATTCTAGCTGCTGCGACCAACATGCACCGATGTCACCCACAAACCCCAACCCACGTAAAAGAAGACGAGTCTCTCCAGTTTGACTCCCTTTTCTGCGCAAGCCTTCCCACCGCCCTGTCCTCCCCACCCCTTGCTTCCTCTTGCCTTATCTCCCCTCGCTTTCCTTTCACCACCGTCCCTGTTCTTGCTTTCCTATCCCATCCCCTGCCCACTCCCTCCCTCAGCTCCCGTGCTTCTATCGTTCTCTCCCCGCAACGCCCCTTGCCAATCCATCCCGTCCCCATCCCTGTCCTTCCATCCCTTTGCCCCTTCTGCCCTCGCGTCCCTTCCCTTTCATCCCGTTGCCTTCCCTTCCATCCCCGCTCCTCCCTTGCCAAACCTTGGCTCCCAAACTCTCCCTACCATCCCCTCTCCTCCTTGTCGAACCCAACACACCCCTTGCCTTCCCGATCCTCCAATTGCTTCCCTGCCTCTTCGCATGCCTTCCCATGCCACACATACCCACATTCCACTCCTGTGTCCTACTCCCACTCTTCTCTCCCATGCCCAGCGGTGTGTAACCTTGCTTCCCCCCCCCATTCCCTTAGGCTCCATCGTAAATGTCCCCGCCGATTTGACCCGCGTCCAGCAAATGCTACCTCGGCATGTGCCCATTGGCACGATTTGGGCCTTCCGCTCGCCCATGTAAAAGCCCCCTTCCATGTCCATACGCTGCCAGCTGACCCTCCCAAATGTGACACCCACGCGCCGCCCTCATAAACGCCGCGAAACCCACCCAACCACCCCACGTCACCGTCAGCCCTCCATGCCACACACCCGTTTGGGCAGGCCATGAGATCGCTTCGGTCTGGTCGTTACATGGCTTTCTCCCGGGGAACTTCGTTGTTTTGTGTCCAGTTGCTGCCAGCCTTTTGGAGTCAACGCTAGTCAATTGAGGATAGCCCTTGCCGTCTAGAGCTTGGGCTGGCTGCCTTACCGCGGTCTAGGTGCGGATATTCGCCTACGTTGACGATTTCATGATACTGGGCCACACGCACCCATGCGGACGTGGCGGGGGCTTTCCAGGTCATGGATACGGTGGGCGCGGAGCTGGGCCTCGAGTGGAAGGTCAGCAAGGACCGCGGTCGGGAGGAGCCCAAGCAACAGCTGGAGTTACTAGGGCTCTTGTTCGACACCGTGCGGGGGGCGCTCAGAATACCACCAGACAAGCGGCAGCGCTATGCCGCCGACGTACAGTCGCTCTTGGAGGCTGCACGCCGTGGTAACGTCCCGCGGCAGCAGCTACAGGAGGTCACAGGCCGCCTTACCTTCATCGCGAGAGCCTGCCGGTGGGGCTACAGATTCCTCCAGGGCATTTAGACAGCCTGTTCTCGGCGACTACACCACCACCACACTCAGTGCGGCTAACACTTGAGGCCGTAGAGGACTTAGAGTTCTGGTGGGGGGTCTTCGGTCGGATTCGCCAGTGTGGGACGGCGTCAAGAAGTGCGCTGTAGCGGACCTCGAATTGGTGAGGGGGGAGTTTGGGGGGCCTGGTGTTGCAGTCATCTTCACCGATGCCAGCGGCTGCGGGCTTGGGGCGGCCTGGGGCCCCGCGGAGCTACAGGGACAGTGGTCAGCGGAGGAGAAGCAGCTGCACATTGCTTGGCTGGAGCTGAAGGCGGTGCTTAGGGCGCTGCAGTCGTGGGCGCCCCGGCTCACCGGGCGGTGTGTGCTGATCCGCTGCGACAATACTCAGGCCGTGGCTGTGATCATGCACGGCTCCACCCGCGTGCCGGAGGGCCGCAGCATCAGCAGGCAGGCGGTGGAGCTAGCGATCCGGCATGGGTTTGAGCTCCGGGCGGAGCATATCGCGGGCGTCGAGAATGTGCGCGCAGATCGCCTCAGCCGGCAGCTCAGCACTGCCAGGGACCAAATCTTATGCCTCCGGCCCACTGTGTTTAAGCAGCTAGTGGGAAGGGGGCCGTACCAGCCCACTGTGGACTGCTGCTGCGACGCCCTAGGGCTCAACGCACAGCCGGGATGCAGCACGTCCTTCAGCGCTGACAACTCTGTCCTCGTCCAGGCAGCCGCGCTGGCTGGCCGCGTCCTTTGGGCTTTCCCGCCTCAGGGCCTGGCGGGCGAGGTGCTGGCAGTGATTGCAGAAGCAGCGCAGCTTGACCCCAGCACCAGGGCCACCGTATTGGTGCCCTGCTGGCGTGAGCGTCCATGGTTCCGGGCTTACGTGCGGGGTGCACACGGGGGACGGCCTGGTTTCCGGATAGATTGTGCACGTGTTGCCTACGCGCTGGTGCCTCTGGCCATGGGGCGACGTAGCGGACCCAGCCCCGTACGATCTGCTTGCCCTCCGCCTTAACTAACCTGCACTGTCTCACTGCAGCCGCCCCGGAGCTGGCGGGCGAGGCGTGCGCCACTTGTGGCGGCCGATGTGGGCTGAGGGACCTCAGGTGTGAGGCGTGTCCGGTCATGGCGCACCGCCGCTGCTTAGGGCTGGCGGCCGGTGACTACCCGGGTGGGTGGTACCTTTGCGCCGGCTGCGTGCTGGCGGCGGCAGGCATTCGGGCGGAGGCTGCCGAGGGCTACGTGAGCGGACTCGCCAAACGATGGGTAGTGCAGGCAGGCAGCGCAGTGGCGGCCCGGTCTGCGGCCACCTATGAGGCGGGGCGCCAGCGGTTCCTGAGGTTCTGCATCGATGTTCTGCACCTGAGCGAGCAGGATGCCTTCCCACGGGCCCGGGGCCAGGACCTCAGCCGCTTCCTAGTCTGCCTATTCATCGCGCATTCGTCACCGTTACTGGCGCCCTCCACACTCCTTGGGACAATGAGCGCTCTGGCGGATTGGCAGCGCGCGCGGGGGCTCCCCGCCGAAGCAGCAATTAGCGGCGACCCGCGGGTCAAGCGCACTTTAGCGCAGGCGTTGCGGAGTCGACCGGCAGACGCCTGCGCCACTGAACGCCGGAAGGCACCGCTGCCAATCCGCGTCCTTCAGCTGCTGGTCGGGCTGCTCCGGCACAAGGCCAACACGAACCCGGGTGAAGCGTGCCGCTGCTCCCAAGATGCATGCTGGCTCGTGGTGGGTTTCTTTGGCATGCTCCGCCGAAGCGAGCTGGCGGCTCTAAGCGTGGGCGATGTGACGTTTTCGGAGGAGGGCGGAGTGGAGTTGAGGATACGGCGCAGCAAGACCGACCAGAGGAGTGCGGGCGCGTCGGTCTACCTGGCGGACACAACGATGAGCGGGGTCCCCATTGCCCGGATTGTCCGGCGGTAGCTAGCCGGGGCGGCAGAGGATGCGGCGGGCGCTGACGCCCCCCTGATCGTGAAGGGGGCCGCCTGGTCCGGTGGGAGGGGCGCCCGGTGGCCGGCGGGGAATTTCACGCGGCGGTTACGGGAGCTGGTGGCCGAGCTACAGCAGATGCAGCCAGACCTGGATATTGACACTAGCCGGATCGCGGCCCACAGCCTACGCCGGGGTGGCGCCACAGCGGCGGCTAATGCAGAGTGTGCGTAGAGGCCATTAAGGAGCACGGGCGGTGGAAGTCTTGGACCGTAGATGTGTACATTCGCAAGTCAGTGGCGGTCAGGCGGGCAGTGGTAGAGCAGATGTGATACGGGATGGGGAAAGGGGGGTTGTCTCTGGGTGGGCCTTGGGTAGGAGCAGGCCACGCAGATTGGGTCCGCTGCCGTTCCAGCAGTAATGCGTGTTAGCAGCTTAGCTGAGTGCGTAAGAGGGCACGGTGAGCGCGTCAGGGGCCCAGGTGTTTTATTCCCCCTTCTTCAGTTGACTTCTCCCGGCACGACTTGTTATTTGGTTCGAGAGAGAATTTAGGTGTTACCGTGTAATGGTCCAGGGTGGCAATGTCACGAGTCACTAAGGCAGGCATCAAATAACCATTTTCCAGTAGGCAGCAGGACCAAGCTTTAAGACCCATCCGTTACCTCCGGCGAGAGGCAGAAACCAACACTGGATACCGGTATAGCCACAATAACTTTCGGGAGCTACGTCCGAACCCGCATCTGACGTACAGATACAGCTACCGGTACACACACCAGTATGCCGGTGACCTGCTGTGCCGCCCTTTGCCTCGCGACGTCCCAGCTCCTTGCCCTTACACCCTGTTGGCCTCATCCCAACTATGCAATCCGTAAACGCCTCACCACACACTGCACCATCACATCGGGCCGAGCATGAGGGCATGGGGACCCTGGGGAGTACGACAAGTTTCAGCACTTGTTACGACCTCTAGCAGCTTGCGAGTACGAGTACGAATGTCCGTTTGTCGTTAATTAACGACCCCAGCATTAAATGAAAAGGTCTACGAAGCTTCGATGCGCGTCCATTCCAGGGCGCTATCTTCCTCTGCGCAGGACGCATGGTCGCATACCCATTCCCTCTAAAAGGTCTTAAATGCCAACACGTGATCACCTGCCGCAACTGCGCTGCCACAGCTCTTGCTGCGACAAAACTCGAGCCTTACCTTCGTGCCTTTCCCACCAAGCATACATATAGTACATGCACGTTTGTGATACCCGTACACTGCAGCAGATAACCAACCAACAACACTGCAACCTCCACAATGTTACTCTACCTACTTGTAGTAATACACCTCGATGACTCAAATAGCATACATCTCACGGCACCATGTCACACGGAATCACATCCCCGTGTCGACAAGGTACCTGGTACCCTCACAGCCCCTCACAGCCGGTCACGCCAGTCAGGACGCGTCCTGGGTCGCTGCAGGCTCGAGTCCGCAGCAATATCCCTGCTACCTATGCTGCTTCCACCGCCATTACTTGCCCTGCCGACACCGTTACCGTTGCCGTACCTAACCCCCACGCCGGCGAGGTCGCTGCCGCCGACACCGCCGCTGTCGCTGCCGCTGTCGCTGCTGGCGTTACGTGCCATACGACCCGCCAAGCCGCCGAAGCGTCGTAACGCCTCGCTGTCGGCGTCGTCGGCGTCCACGTCAGCGCCGCGGCGCCACCGGGACCACCCATCGTCTGACGCCGACGTTGCCGCCACCGCAGAGAAAGCAGCCGCTGCTGTTGCCTCTGCCGCCGCCGCCGCGACGTCGACGTCAGCGGCTTCCTCCTCAGAGCGGCTGGCCCGCAGCGCCGCCAGCTCAGTGCGCCAATCACTGCCCAATCGGCTGCTGCCGCTGCTGCTGCTGCCACCGTATTCATCACCGCCGCTGCCGCTGCTGATGCTGGAGTACGACGAGTCCCCGACATCCCGACCCTCGGCAGCCGTTATGGAAGCCCTCCCGGGCAGGGCTGGCGGCGTGAAGGCCCTGGCAGGGCTTCCGACAGCGCCGGCGGCGATGCCGATTGAGGCGTCCTGGTCTTTGGCAGCCCTGGCAGCGGCAGCGGCGAGCCCCATGCCGGTATCCTTGCTCACGTAGCCACCTCGGGACACCGGCGGCGCCGAGGCGCCAGCGCTGGAAGGCCTAGGGACGGCGGCAACCCGGGGTGGTTGTGGCGACGGCGGCGGCGGCGGCGCTGGCGGTGCCCTGCCTGTGCCGGCGGAGGCGGGCGGGAATGGGTTGGGCTTGCCCGGCGAGCCGGCGCGAGGGGAGTACGAACGAGCCTTGGGTGAGGGCGCCCGAGGTGACGGTGGTCGTACCGGCGGTGGCGGCGCGCCGGGCGCGACGGGGCCAATGCCTGCCTTGACGTTCGTGAGCAACGACGTAACCGCCCGTACAACCCCTGGCGGCTGCTGCGGCTGCCGCTGTTGAGGTGGGCTGGGCTGGGCTGACGCCGCCGGCGGCGGCGGCGCTGCTGGTGCTGCCGACGGCGGCGGCTGCTCCAGGACAGCAGTGACGTACTGCGCGACGTCCGCGTCCTCCTTGACCAGGCTCATGACGTCGGTCTGGGCGCGCGTGCAGATGGCGTCTAGAGGTAGAATGCTGTGGGAGGGAGGGTCCGGAAGGCGGGGAAGGGGGAAACGTCAACGTGAAGGGGAAGAGCGTGTACGGCGGGAGGGGTGTAGCATCGTAGGTAGGGTGCTATGGGCGCCTCTTGCTGCCTCCCTGTCTGGGATCATACAGGCAATCGGACTTCGTTATTGCCTTCCCTAGGGGTCCTAGAACGGATCCCAACAAGGCGATGGATTCCCCAACTGTGACGTTGCCCCGATTGGGGTCAGGATCCGCTGCCTTACCCGAAGGGCTCCTCGATGGTGATGCCGATCTCATCTGCGCCAGCGGGCAAGTCCAGGCAGGGCGGTCGTTACGCAACCGGTCGTAAGCAAGAAAGCCCTGCACATACGTTCTAATATATATGCAAAAGCTTACGGACACGGACATTTTTACCTGACCAATAGACCTCAACAAGTCCTCCAGTCCTTACCATACCATACAAAGGCTTCCACCCCCCCTTCCAATTGCTGGTGTCCAAACGCATTCCCCTCAGGATTATCTTTCAGGGTGCAAACACCTCACCCACCCCGCCACAGTACCCATACCCCCCCCCTCACCGATGCCCAGCAGCAGCACCCCGATCAGCGCAATGACGGGCAGCATGGACCAGTGGTAGCGCTCCCACAGCCCCAGCGGCAGCAGCGCCAGCCAGATGGTCAGGAAGCGGGCGGTGTGCCTGAGGGGGAGGGGGCGGAGGTGGGAGGTGGGAGGGAGGTGGGAGGGGAGGAGGCGATGGGCTTGCATGTACTGTAGCATGTGAGGCGGGAGTGGGACTGGGACTGGGGGAGGAAAGAGAGCGCATCGGTGCTGCCCTACTGCGGGGCATCATCCCCCGGGGCAAAGCAGCCATGCAGTCTGTAACCCTGAGACCCCTAATAACACGCCTGGAAACACGGAAGCACGGCTAAACAGTTGACCGAACCCAACCCTCCCTTACCACCCATCCCTCCCTCCCAGCTCCCAACTTGGGGTTGGGTGGTGGCTCATCAGTCTTCCCACACCCTTCACACATGACCCCTCCCCCCTCCCCCCCCCCCGCCCCCTCCCCTCACCTGGTGTACGACAGCGGCAGGGGTGTGCGCAGCAGCCTCTCGCAGCCGCCCAGCGCGTCGTAGAAGAAGGTAACGTTCTCCTGCATCTGCAGCGCCTGCAGCTGGCTGAGCGGCAGCTGGCGGGTGAGCTCGGACAGCATGCTGATGGCCTTGATGGGCCTGAGGGGGGGGCGAGAGGGGAGGGGGGAAACGCAAACGGAAAGTGAAGCAACGGAGTCCCAATCCCAAACCTCAACTCATGCTCCGATTCCCACAACCGTCCATCCCCTCCTTCCCCCCCACCTGTGTTGCGCGGCACACAGCAGCTCCACCTCCTGCTCGCTCCAGGCCGGCTGGGCGCGCAGCAGCTCGGAGCGCAGGTCGGCATCCTCCTGCAGGGGTGGGGGGGTGGGGGGTGGGGGGTGGAAGGGGGGTGCGGCATCAGTGGTCAAATGCTGGTACATGGAAGGCCGGCTTGCCGCTTCCTTTCGCGGGCTATGTCAGCTGCAAGGTGCGCAAGGTGCGGTGTCACTGTTGTGAGGTGTGCATGGCTCTGCTTCTTGCCTGGTGGCTCTACTGAGTGGTTGGAGATCAAGCTAGGCCTTGTCTGTCTGTGGTAGCCAGTACTACCGGTACTGTCCAGGCGCGTTGCAGACGCCGGCCCTGCTGCTGCTGCTGTGTGGCTCACCTGCAGGTGCGCCTGCAGTGCGCGGCAGAAGCCCACCGTCCACTTGGCCACCGCCAGGCGGCCCGCTGCGGACTCGGGGGGCGTGAAGGAGACGGCCTGGGGGAGGCAGGATGGGGGGAGGGTGGGGTGGGGTTGTAGCCAGGGTGTGGTGATGGTGGTGGTGGTGGTTGCGGAGGGAGAGGCAGCCCCGGGGAAGGTGGCTAGGACGGTAACAAGCGTGCAGCGGGCATGCGAGGAGAGGGAAGGGTGTTCAGGTGCGCACGGGGATGCCCTCGATGCGCCATCTGGGACGCGCATGCTGACTGGTTAAGTGTGCCTCACTGGGGGGCAGCTGAGCGCCGTTATGGGACGCAGACCATGACCGCGTCTAGGTCAGCCCATGCAAAACTTCCCCTCAATGCTGTAGCTCTATTGAGAGACATTACACCTCGCCGCTGTCGCCCGGTTTCTGCTGCGCCTCCGTGGCTCCGGGGCCCACCTGGTTGGCGATGTTGCGCGCGCGGTTGAGGATGCCGCCCCAGATCTTGCGCGCCTCGTCAAACCTGCCGTACGAGGAGTTGGTACGGAAGACCAGCAGCAGCGACAGCGCGAAGCTGGTGAGGCCCTGCGGCTCCGCGGACATAAGGGTCAGCCTGCCGGGCATGGGGCACCGGTTAGGGGGAAAGCAAGTTTGGGAGGAATGAGGAAAATTTAGGCAGAATCTTAAGGGCCTGCAAGAAGGCAACCGCATCCAGGGACAGCGCCTTTTTGGAGGAATTGAAGTCGGTAAGATAGGGTTGCGATGCTTACTTGGGCAGAGAGGCGGGCAGGATGCCCGTTTCTAGGCAGGTTTCGTAGAAGCCGAACAGGGCCGACCAAGCCAGCACAACACCCATGGGTTGGATGAGCGTCCGGATGATGCGTGACCTGGAAAAGGAGACTGTGAAATTTAAGAGGAAGACTGTTGAGCTGGCCAATGCCCGCAAACTGTGTCAGTTGCGTGCAAGCTTACCCTGGAATCGTCGTCAGGTTGTAGAGATAGCGATTTACATTTCGATGCTTTGCCCATAATGCAAAATCGTAGACCTGAATAATTAATGAACGTAGGTTACTTCAGAATGGAACGGCTACTTCAGGGGCGACTGCTGCACATTCCTGCAATGCGATAAGCTACCGCCGCGACCGATCACATACCGTTCGGCGATACTGCCTTGTTATAGTGTCCTCCGGCAAGTTTTTATTTGGCGGAGGTGCCGCTCCAGTGGTAGCCTCCACACAAAGTTTATGGCGACGGACTCCAGGCGACCGCTGCGGTAGCCAATCCGGGCGGAAAGCCCTAGGCTTCGAAGCTGCTTTCAGCTGGCGCTGCATTATAAACTCTGCCAAGCTTCCAACGCGGACGATAGTAGGGTACAGGAGGTTGCTTTCGGTAGCTATGCTAGTTCACTGGACACGACGTGTGAAGGCTGTTCATGTTCCTTGCTAAACGTGTTAGCTAGGATTACCGTAACCGATTTACTCCCCTATCAACTCCGTGCTTTCGACAAAGCAGTTGAGTGTCGCTTTATGTCGCTGCCAAATCGTGCCGTACACTAGGAAACTACCAGGCGATCAGTTGCCAGCGGTGACTCGCAGAGTTGGTAGGGCTGGCCGCCGCATAATCGTCCATGTCTATTAAGTATGCCACGCAATTTGGTATCTAGGAGCGTACCTTGCCCGTGTCCCTGCCGGTATACCCTGCCCCTTGACGCGTGGTTGATCAACCGCCAGGAGCGACCGCTGTCATCTAGCAGCAGGGAGGAGCTGAGAAGTAGGTTGCATCAGGTTGCATCTTGAATTGCCAAGGGCTGCTGCAATGCCAACAAGGGCACTCCAGGCGCGGGTGCCATCAGCTTCCACGGTTACAAAAGCCCGCAGTGGCATCAGCACAGCAAACTGACCCCACGCAGCCATGTATCACTGCCCGCTCAACGGAACCACGAAAGTACCGCACTGTATATTGATGTTGCTGCCTGCAAATAAGGCCCCTAGCAAGGCAACCCCAGGTTGGATCAAGGCCGGGCATGGCGCCAGAGCATGCCTGGCACACGTCTTGGGACCCAAACGCACCGCCCATGCCTGGCCCTCCGCCGCAACGACCCTCCTAACGCATCTCCCACCACCGTGCCTAAAGCGGCTTTCCAAGGAAGTTGCCGTTCCCCAAGACCCGCTGGCCTGCCCCCTACCCATGCGCCCCCGCGCCTTACACACATCAGCCAAGCCTATCCATTAGCTCATCCTAGCTTCCCTTCCCTTCTCCACGCAGCGCTTCAAGCCGTCACTGGACTAGTTTCCTGTCAGATGCACGCACCAGCTACCCCCTATCCCATAAACAGTGCTGATCCTATTACGTATACAAAATGCATTATGCTTCGTACCTCCCAAGAACCCCTACACGTCTTATCCGCAACCTAGGTCACTGTTCCCAGCCCAACCTCTCTCCGCCGTCAAAACCTAGCACCTAAACCCTGCCTTCTCGGTTAGCAAAGCCAATTTCCCCCACCTCCTTCCTCCCTCACCTCATTTCCCTTTCCCCTTCCCGCCCTTCTTCTTCTTCTGCTCCTCCTCTTCTTCTTCCTCCTCCTCCTCCTCCGAGCTGAATCCCCCGCTGCCCATGCAGAGGTCATCCCCAATGGCGTCGAACTCCCCGCCACCCGCTCCGTTGCCGACCGCACCATACTCCTCCTCATCCTCCGAAAGCACCTCCACCTGACCGCTGCCGTCGTCCGCCCCCTCTCCGCCGCTGCTGTTGCTGCGCCAGACGGCTAGCAGCTTGAGTTTGCACTCAGCCATCTTAATGTCAAAGATGCGCAGAATGCCGGCTTGGTTGGCGTCCAGCTTCTGACCCGTTCGGCATACCTATACGTGCGAGACGGCGGGCAGGTCATGGGTACACACGACATGGCATGACAATGCGATAGCTGGGCGAGATGCGCGTTTGTTGATACAGCTACATTACACTCGAGGGGGGAGAACAAACGCCTATTGACGGACTGTGCCTATGCCGTATGCCTACCGCCACACACCCCGACCCCACACCCGCCGTGCCCTACCTATAGCCTACCATCTACACACCCCAACCCTGCACCCACCGTGTAGTCCGCCAGCAGTTCAACCACCCCCTTGTTCAGCTTGGTGGGCATGCCGTACTTCCGGAGCTGCGGCTCCAGCGTATGCGGCAGCGGACCCATGGGTCCGTTCAGCGGCCCGGCGTTCAGGCTGAAGTCATGTGCGGCGCGCGCCCCCACGCGCGCAAAGTCCTCGTGCACGTAGTTCTCAAACGTCTCCTTGACCTGTGGTGGTGGTGGTTGCACGCGTGCAGCGAGCGGCCGCCAGGGAGGAACAGAGTGAGCAGTGATGGGCAACGGCAACATGAGGCACGGGATTCCTTTGTCAAGCTAAGCCGACGTGCATGGAGGGAAGATCTGCATGCATCCATATGCAAATCAGTAACGATAAAGGCCCTTATCTCCCATTCGCCCCTTACCAATGGACGTCGGCTGTCCCGTATCATGGGACCCACATCCTTCACACCTTCATCCTGCCCACACCTACATCCCCCCCTGTCCCACCCAGCCAGCACAACCCACCTCCTCGTGGCTCAGCTTGGTGAAGAACAGCCCGACCGTCCCCTTGATGTGCTCCGAGAGCTGCGACAGGCCCGCCTTGTACTCGTCCGCCTCGCTGCGCCCCAGCGCCACCGTCATGAGAGCCGTGGAGCCCAGCACGAACCTGGGAGGAGGGAGGACGGTGGGGAGTGAGAGGAGGAACGGACCAACCTGCCCAACCTTCGGCCAAGACCCCAGCGTGCAAAGGATGGAGCACCGGTGATGGGAGTCATCGTGCATGTACGACGCGATGTTCGCGGGCGCAGGGACTGCAGTTTCGTCGTTTTGAAAAATGGAAAGGTGGCGGGGCAATGGAGAGGATGGGGAGGTAGTTGGGTGGTGGCTGCCATCGCACCTGCTGCTGTCCTTTAGGTCGTCACGGAGCTGCTTAAAGCTCTCATTCCGCATGTTGTAGTGCTTGAAGAGGTACACGGCGGGGTACCTGTTGGGCCGGGAAGTACGCAAACGGGTTGTTGGCGGCGTTTGGATTGGTGACCCGTATGGAGACGCGACGGATGACAATCCCGGCCACAGGCATAACGTTATGGGCGCAGCAGCCTTACGCGTCGAGGCACTTCCGGATGTTCTCCAGCAGTCCCTCCTTCCAGGCACGGTCCTTCTTCTTAACCTTTGTAAGAGACACTGCGCGGCGGCGGCAAGACCTTTAGCTCTCAGCAGCTTTGACACACGCTATTATAACGCAAAGTAGTTCTTTAAGCTAGCCTTACCAACTTTATTGCGCTTGCTCTTGGGCATTTTGCAAACGGTTAACACCTATATGCGCAAGCCTGGATTCAGTACGTAATATATATGGTCTTACAGGTTGTTGAATACCTTATGAGCAAGTAATTATATACAAGAAAGTCCTGACGCCTTTCTTCTGGTAGTGCCCATGTACGACACGGTATGACTGCGCCGGATTCTGTTTCCTGTGCCATCAGCACATTCTACCTATCAGGGAACTAGTAAACACAGACTATACCTTTCAAGTTACACTTCGTGCTTGTTGAACCTGACTTGCGGGCGCTTTGTGCACTCTAGCACGACTTTGTTCCGTATCGATACTTTGTTTACTGGTCCCGCCGAGTTAGCATGTCGTCAGACGATGCGGGTCCGTCCGTGCCGGCGGAACAGGGTGTTCAGGTGCCCAAGGCTGAGTTCATTGACGACGTCGCCAAGTTTATGGAGGACAAGGATGCAGATAAAATACTAGCGCAGCTTCAAGAAAACATTCGGACATACCGCATGATCCAGGAGGACCTCATGCAGAAGCGTATGCGGACGGTGACCAAGCTGCCGGAGCTCAGGCGCGCGGTCGATATTGTCAAGCAGCTCATTGAAAAGCAGTCAACGGACGATGCGGTTACGGCGGACTTCATGCTTGCCGAGGGCGTGTACGCCAAGGCTAAGATCAGGGGCGCCAAGACGGTGAACCTGTGGCTGGGTGCCAGCGTCATGCTGGAGTATCCTCTCGAGGAGGCATTGACGCTGCTAGAGGAGAATGAGGCCAACTGCCGGGCGAATTTGAAGACCAACGAGGAGAGCATGGCGTACATTAAGGACAGCATCACCACCACGGAGGTCAGCTTCGCGCGGATATACAACTTCGACCTGGAGCGGAGACGCAAGATGAAGGAGGAGGGAACGCTGGTTGCGGCGTGAGGTGCTGGGATTGCATTGGGCTTAGGGAAAGGAAGGGGCCGACTTTGAGCTGGGTTGGATGGGGGTCGGGTGTGTGGTTCAGAACGGACACGGCCTCAGCCTTGCTTACGCAGTACTGTCGCATGCCAGTTCATCCGGTTTATGCGGCCTGCGGCGCACAGCCTGATCTGCAATGGCATGATGAACTAGGGGACTGTTGCTTGGGTGGTAAGAGCATGAGCATGCATGCCGATACTATGCCTGTTGAAGACTTTAGTTAGAAGCCATATTCTTGGCTACGTGCGTGCACGTCTTACCCATTCTAGGTGGCTTGGGTGCTGCAACTGAAGGTGCCTTGCAGCTTGGCTTGACAGGTTTGGAGATGCCTTGGCTGGGTCGTATACTTCCGGGACGAGTAAGGGCAGGTGCTGTACGTTACCTGTGTTCAAGTAGTTAGCACTCTGTAATTTTCGCGCAAGTCAACGGCGTCTGCACTGGCTTTACACGTGGAGGACAGTGGTTAGGATTCCTGTAAGCGTTCAGTTGGGGGTTTCAGCGTTGGTTATCCCAAGTGTATGGGCATTGCATGTGCAGCAGGAGGATGCCATGTTGCCATAGCAGCGGCACTGGAACAATCGCAGTCGTTGGTTTGCGTGTTTGTAGGGAAGATTCTTTGACGCGAAGGACCGAAATGCAGGTCTATGCTCAAGAGAGGCTAATTGTTGGTGATGTAGTCCTTCGTGGAGACTGACGACTAAAAGACTACATTGACGTCCTGCATTCTGTAACGTGAAGCGGCTCGAGTCTAAACGGCAAAGTCGGTGCTGAGATTAACGGAGCTAGGGAACCCTGCAAGCAGCAGAGGACTACCAGTCCGGCTTCTTAACTTGGAAGTGGCTGATGTCAGCCTTTAGCGGCTGTTGAGGAATCTGGCAGCGGTACAGGTGGCCAAGCGGTCCGTCCTGTGACGTTTGTCAGTTGGCACACAACCCCGGCCTATATACGGTAATGTGCGCATCAACAACTAAATGTTTTTGTCTGGAAGGGATGCAGGGTTCCTTTGCTGAAAGGTGCATTCTTTGCTATGAGATCGTTGTTTGGCGCTCTGGTTTCGGAGCCGTTTGTTTAGGACCCTACCAGGGTAGCAGCCATCCAGAAGATATATTTCAGGCATTTCCCACAAACCATCGCGACCCTTATTTATTACTAAAATTGAAAGCTTCCTAGGTGCTGCTGTGCTGAGCCTTTCGACCATCACTCGGTAACAGCTGTGCAGCAGTCTAACTGGAAAAGCTTTTCAGCCGTCCCACCTGGCTTCCTTAAATTAAACTATGAAGACCACGACGACCACACGTCGTCCGCTGGCAGGAGGGAGCGTGACAGGGGCAACACCGGCTCGCGGTTCCTCCCTAGCGTAAGCATGCTCACGAAGAGCAGGGAGGCACTATCCCGGGAGTTATCTCCGTTCCTGATTATAGTCAAATGCTGTGTTAGTCACATTATTCACCAGAATTAGCTTGACGCTTCAGACCTAAGACTACATGCCTAATTTTCTATGCTCCTTTGCAGCTCGAAGACGCCATCCACCAGCACCGCGAAGCCGACCACGAAGCAGCCTCTCACTCCATCGTCTGGTCCAACAAAGTTTGCTCCGCTGAAGAAGGCGTCAGATGGTTCCGCAACTGCGTCTGCTTCGGAAACCAAGGCCTTTGCTCCTGCGGCACCAGCAACAACCCCTGCAGGCGATGTGGGTCAGACGGAAACCTGCGCATCCATTCACGGTACTGCGTCTATGCCCGATGCCGAACCTGCAAGGTAAAGGGTGTAGGCCCGCAGAGCAACGGACAGGCGGAGGGTGCTGTCAAAATTGTTTGAGCCGATTACGTACGCTGAAACATGATTTGGGTCAGGTAGTACTTGACCATATAACTACCCGTTACCGCAACCTTTAGATTGTTTTCGGTTACGTTTCACCACTGACCCACATCATCACCCTTGACCCAGATCACGTGCTGGGCCTTACGCACATACTTTTGGCCTTTGACCTCATCTGTGCGCTAGCTATGGCGCCGTCCTGAGCAAGGAGCCTTACGCGTTCACCTGCGTTCCCCTTGCCCCCGCACCTCCACAGGTCAGTTGCCGCTTTCAGCGACAACAGCCAGCAGTCCACCGCCGACAGCCCCGTCTCGACCTCGCAAGCCCCAGCCGCCACACCCTCACCAGCTACACTGCCGCTCACCACTGACGCACTGCCAATCTCCGCTGCCACGGGTGCTGCGAGGCCAGACGAGATCCAGCCGGCGTCGAGCGAGCAAACGGCGGCGGCTGCATCCGGCTGCCAGGACCTGCAAGAGAGGCTGGAGGGTTTGCTGAAGGATGCCGCGCTCAGCGGGACAGCGGGCGACCGGTCGGAAAGCGCCAAGGTAAACAAGGGGCTTGTGGGCATGGGGATGGCGACCTTAATGCGGGTGCCGCTAGGAGGAGTGGGGTTGCGGTGTGGCCCGGGAACAAGTCAACAGTCTTATTGAGCCTCATGCTGTATCTTCTCACGACTTCCCTTCAATTTCCGCCTATGTTCAACCTTCAGGCGCTTGCCGCAGCCATTCTCAGCGCCTGCAAGGCTCACACCAGCACCCACTCAAGCAGCAGCAGCAGCGCCGGCACCACCCCCTCCACTGTGCCGAGGCCCCGTCAACGTACTGTCGTCGCAGCCACCTGCGGTGCTGTGTCGCTGTGTCTAGCCGTCGTTGCAAGCTGCATGGCGTGGGTGGTGTGGGTGCTCGTGGACCGCGGCGTCATCGGGCCGGCGGCGCTTTACTTGCGGCACGGAGAGGGCTACTATTAGGAAAAGACGGGCTTGGTTGAGCGGGTAGTCGATGGAGGAAAATTACGGGGGGAGCACGGCAGTATGAGTATGGGAGGGGGTGCGGAGGAACGCCTGGCAATGGAAGAGGTAGGTTTCTCCGGGCATGGTTTGCAGCAGCGCTGAAGAGTTGGCCGTGCGACACGGGAAAGGATATGGGGCTGAGCGAGGATAAAGGAGTGAAGAATGGCAAACTGTTTGAAGTGCGTCGAAAGTGGTGCAGGATGGTAAGCGTCGGCAGTGCGGCAGGTGGCTTTACTCTGTTTAGTTACGCTTTGTACAGCAACGAACTTATCTCAAAGATTTGTGTGAAATGGCGAAATGAACTTGAGCCGTGTTACTAGCACGGTGTATACTAGCAGGAGGGCTGTAATGGGACGGTGGGTAGTGGTAGGACCGGGGAAGGACGGTACATGGCAGGAGTTTGCTGGTGTACAGTCATGTGGCAACAACGCCCAGCAAGCGCCTCCACTGGAGGCAGATTGGAAGTCGACCAAAGTTGCAATGAGCGCATGACTTAACACTAAAGCCCGCAGTGACGGGGAACATAGCCTGCAACCGCCAAGTCGTGTTGGATTGGGTTACTGGCCTACCTGGAGGCACAGAAACTTGTACCTCCTAACCCCTAACGTACTTGGTTGTGCATTACTACCTGTAACCTAAGTGAAACTCGCACTCCCAGGAAGACACATGTTTTACCACTAGATACCACTAGCAACCGCAGGGGGGGCATGAAGGGCTTCCTATGAAGGAATGACCCATGGGTCATCTTACAGATAGGAGTGATTCATGGCGGCTACCATGGGCAGCATTATTGAGGGCCAGGCGAAGCCCATTGCAGTTAATTACAATCAACACCTACAGGATAATAAACCTTATCACTTGTAAGCTCTTTGGTATTAGTTACATGGAAAAACGTTTCTCAGCACGCACACAATCGAGTTGGCGCCGCATAGACAGGATGCTTTGCACGTGGAAGCTTCTTCTCCTATGCTCTAATGAGACAACCTTACTTTCTGTAGTTTTGCCTATAGCAGAGTCTCGCAATGCGTTCCTGCTTTAAATGCTGTTGAAAATCCGATCCTTGTCTGACTGGACGCCTGCGGGCGCACCGAGATAGCGTAAGGCACGACCCTATCGATATGTTGGGCGGCGCTTCAAGCTTGCTAGTAAAGTTTTCACGTGGAATGTTGGGCTTGGGAGGCAAAATTTCTTCCTGCCGCTGGCGGCCCAACGAAAATAGCAGCCCTGCTTATACAGCCAGCCTGACATCTCAGCAGTCAGCTGGTTCTTCGTCCTCCTCTTCACCATATAAAATTACACGCCCGGCTAAGGGAACTCCTTCCAAGCTTGCGAAATATGAGGAGCTGCAGTCCCCTGAGACACCGCGCAGGCTTCAACGCGCCCTAAACATTAGGACTCGCACATCTGCGTCGACTGACATCATTATACTCTTAATCGAGTTGTTGTTGGTGCCTGCTGCAAACGTAAGCCGCGCGCTCTGGCTGCGGTCGGGCTGCCCGGTTGATTCGACAATTTCCTCTGCCGCCGGTGCTTCTGCTGGAAGCGAGGCTCCGGGATTGCATGCAGCAGCAGATTCCTCCTTGGGCGAGGGCAGCTGCCAAGCGCGCTCCCGGCCTGCGCTGTTCATCAATGATTACGACCAAGGGGTGCTACAAAGTTTTCCGTGCGGGTATGCAGGGTACTCGAGGGAAACCGGGTGGCCTCGTGCTCACGATGAGCAGCGTCGAAATGTTACCAAAGGGTTAGGAACGCATTTGCTCAGCCGTCAGCTAGGATAGAAGCACGCTTTCCCCTCCTTCTCCTTCTCCTTCTCCTTCTCCCCTTCAACAACTCCCTGCTCCGCCTCCCGTCCACAGCGCCAGCGCGCTAGGCCGAGCGGCCTACACCCTCCGGCACCTCTACCCCCTCCACTTCCTAACCGGCCTGCACCTGGACATCTCCAACGTCCTCTACACGGCCGCGCTGCTGGCAGGTGTGCTGCTGCTCTCAGCACACCACCTGCTGCTGAGGCTGAGGAGGAGGGACAGGGCCGCTGCCCGCCGTCGAGGCCGTGGCGCTGGCAGCAGTGCTGCAGGCGCCAGCAGCAGCAGCAGCAGCGGAGGAGGGGTGAGCGGCGGTGACATCGCCGCTGACGACAGCGGCAGCGCCCTTGAGCGTTGGGAGCAGGGTCGTACGGCATTACGACACGGCCTTGTGACGGCCGTGCGGTTGTGCATGCAGCTGGTGGGTTGCTGTTATGGGTCGTTGCGCGGGCGCCGTTCACCTTCCCAAACCTCAGATCGCTGTGGTTCGGCAGAGCTAGGGCAGCAAGGGCTGGGAAAAGCTCATTTGCTTTTGATCAGGTTGCCGATCTGGTTCCCGTGTGATGGGAACTTTAGACTATCTACGACAGCGGAGCGTGTCATTGGCGCCCGGGGCTGATTTAGCCCACATGAAGAGGCCGTAGTTCGTACACACTTTGTTGCTTATGGCCTTTACCCACCGCTGAATTCCCATCGTGTGCAACGCTACGCAGGGCAACGTGCTCGCACCCATCGCCTTCGCTAGGCGGTACGGCAAACGTACGGCAGCAATGCTTCTTCCGCTAACGCCTTCCAAGTACTACGCACCCGGCGCACGCCATCAGGGCTGCCTCTTCGTCGCCCTGGCGGCTATCGTCACGGATAAGGTACGGTACCGGTATGTAACCGGCAGGCAACGATGCATGCACTCGTTCATCTTCATGTATAGGGTGGTTTGGTCATCATAGTCCACCTGGTTGCTCAACAAGTAAGAAGGCAAAGGAAAGAGTGGGGGTACGCCCAGGTGCTCCAGTGGTTCTTATGGAGTTTCCGCATACCAACACTCGGCCACCTCCTTGCACCTCGAGTATGAGTTTGCGACCCGACTCGCCTCGCGTATGCCGCACAAATTCTCCTGCAAACACTGGGCACAGTTGCAATTGTGAGACCGCGCCGCTCATAACCTAGCTGACAAGGAGATCTAACTTTGCGTTTCGTTAATTGAGGCTGAGCGTGTTTTGGGCCTTATAAGAGGCTAGGAATTCCCTGTCAATGTGTCCATTGGGGGCATTGAAAGCCGGGACTGCCAGGATCCTCACCACGCCATGCCCAAACGGCTGCTCTGGGGGAGTTTTGCTCATGTCAATAGGGGCTTGAAATTCGTCGACCGGAAATCGTTGGGGTAAATGTAATTCCTTCTTGTCAAATGGGGCAAAAATTGGCATCAATGCGCATGTACACCGTACGGCAGTATTTACCGGAGTATTGGTGCCTCGCAGGTACCCCTCAAGTGGCAGTTGCCCGTCAGCTTGATGGAGTGGGCCCTCATCATGACCCACATGACGCTGTCGGACATCCTGACCCATGGGTCGCTCCAGCGGCCAGTGCACACCGCACTCGTTGTCGCGACATGCGTGGTGGCACTTCCAGCAGTCGTCATGTACGGACCGGAACGCTCGACTCGGCAGCTGCGCCGCCGCGCCTCTGCAGCGGCCGCCGCCGCCGCTGCAACGGCTGCTTCCGCAGCGTGTGCCGTACTTTCGCCGCCGGCGTCGCCCACTAAGTGGGCGTTACGCAGACGAACGTTGTCTGGGTTGTCTGGGTCTGCTGCATCATCTAGCGACCAGGCGGCAAGCCCTAGCCCAAGCAGCAGCCTACTCCCTACGAGCCCCGATGTGCTGCCCAATGCTGCACCGGTAAGCCCCAGACCGGAACTAGACGCCTCGGCCCGGCAGCAAGGCGAGTCACTACACACAGCAGCGCTGCCCCAGCATCCACAGCAGCAGGAGCAATCTCTACGACTCTCCGACCGCGCACTGCAGCAGCCGCAGGAGCATCTCCTGCAGAAGCATCAGGCTCCCGGACGTACCGGTAGCAATCAACCACACAGCCGGGATGACGGAGCCGCTGGCAACAGCCTGGTAACCGGCGGAAGCGCCGCCAACGTCGGCTATGGTGGCATCAAGAGCAGCAACAGTGGCCTCGGCGGCGTCGGCGCCCTAAGTCAGCTGCACGACACAGCCAGCAGCCGTTGCGTGGAGTTAGACCATGACAGCGATGAGCGAGACCCTGCGCTTTCTCTCATTGGCCGACGCTGCAGCACCAGCAGCAGCGGTCTCCTCAGCTGTAGCGGCGGCAGCTGTGGCGGCTGCGTCGGCAGCTCTGACGCCGACAGTGAGGGAGATGACGACTGCGCCATGCCGCGGCGGCGGCCACTGCCGTTGCCGGCAGCGCCAGCTGCCGCACACGTTGCGGCGGTGTCCCCAGCCGGTTCACAGGACAGCACCAACGTCATCGCCTCTGCCGTACTGCCGTGGCGGGCCGAAACCCCGCCCCCCACAACACAGCCGCAGGCCCCGACGGTGCCTCAAGCTCCGGCGATGCCTCGGGCCCCGATGGTGCAGGCGCCCGGTCGCCCCACATTGGACATGGGCCTGCTGAAGCCCTCGGCCCTTAGGACTGGCACCGGCTCTTCGGGCCGCGCCGCGCCGCTTTACACCTCCCGCCTGTCCACCAGCTTGATCAGCCTCAAGGTGCACCAACACTCGGCCCTGGGCGCGGACTTCCCCTCGGCCGCCTCTGCGCTGGCAGGGGCCGCGTGTCGGGTCCTCAGTGCGCAGAACAGGGCAGCGCTGGCGGCCGCTGTGGCGGCGGCAGCCTCCTCGACGTCGAGGATAGCTGTTGGAAGCGGAGGCGGCGGGGGAGGGGGCGGGCGGGGGAGGGGGCGGCGGGGGGGATGGAGGCGGCGGCGGCGGCAGCAACGGCGGCGTGCTGCGGCGTCCCGGATTGCTCAGTGCGTTGAGCGGTGGCGTGGTGGTTCGCGGCTGCGTGCACCTCATCCAAGTTGTTCGAGTGGCCAGGTGGGGGTGGGGGGCTGGTGGTCGGGAGCGTGGCGGTTCCAGATTGCCAAGTTTTGGGGGGAGGAACGGGTTGTTGGTTGGGACAACCCGTAGAGTAAGATAAAGCCGGTAACAGCCCAAGAGGCGAGGGACTGGGCTGCCCGTGCTGACGCGTGACCGCGCACTTACGTACGCCCACCTCCGCAGGCCCGCCAATCAGCAACAGTGGCCCGTCCAACCCTCGCCACAGCGTCCTGTTGTTGGGGTGGGTGACAGCGGTGAGTCAACGACGCCAGGCGGCAGGGGCGGTGTACGGTTGGTGCACCGGGAGCTTCGGTCGCTTGACTCCCCGTTTTCCCGAGTGGCGTGGGACCGAAGCCCTGGCGGCGGCGGTGACGGCGGCAGCAGGACGTGCCTTACAGGTCCCGCAAGCGCTGCACCCGAGGAGCCGCGGCAGCCCGCATGGGCGCTGGCTCGCAGCGTCATCAGCGGCGTTGGCACCGCCGGTGGCGGCAGCGGCGACATGGACATGAGGCTGCGATCCGCTCTGCATGAAATGTACGAGATAGTTTCCTCCGCCGCCGCCACCACCGCCGCCGCCACTGCCACCGCTACCGCCACCACAGGGGCAGCGGCGGCGGCGGAACAAGAGGTGTCTTCTCCAACGTGCAGCGTAGGACGCCACGGAATCCCAGATCTTGCATTACCTCCGTCCGACCCATCTGCCGCCTCCGAAACAGTGGAGGCGGCAACCAGGATGGCAAGTTGGCTTGCAGAGCGTGCGCAGGGCGCCATTGCCGCTACAGCGGATGACGCTCACGTCGTCGTCGCGCTGCATCCCCAGCCGCTGGTGCCTTGCTACTTGGACGCCGTCGCCGTGAACGCAAGTACGGCCGAGCACGGCACCGACCGTACGGTGCATGTCGTGCTGGCGCCCGAGGCGGTGGGCGCCATTGCCAACCTTCAGCCGCCCCCAACCGACGCGGGTGGCACCAACGGCGCACAATTGGCGGCGGCGGCGGCGGCTGTGCCGCCGCTGCTGGTGCGAGTGGTGGTTGCGGCAATGTACCCGGTCGCCGGCGACGGCAGATCGTTGGATCCTGTCGTAGACACGGAGGTTGAATTGCAGCTGTTGGATTCATCACCGTCAGATTTGATGGGTGTACGGCATGAGGCTACCGCCAGGCAACAGCGACGGCAGCCGCTTGGGTGGCCGACGGGGTCAGCCGGCGGAGAGATAGAAGCGTGGAGGACTGACCCACGGGTCGCTGCTGCCAAGTGGCCGGCGGCGCGGGTGCCGGTGGAGCTCAAGGTAAGGGCGAGCCACTCCCCATGGTTGCTGCAAACAGTGTGTAGCACTGCATTGCAGCCACTCCTGGCGGCTTAGGTCGGGGGGCTCCCTTCATCCCGTCCCAGGTTTTGGTCATGCCGTTACTTCAGTGTTCCGGCGTGAACCACGCTCGGTGTACCTGTACTAGGTTTGTCGCGGTGTGGTAGCTGACACTCACTCCTCCCTCACCCTGCCGCTTCCTATCCACTGTTTTGCCCCAACCTGTGGTTTCCTATGGTTCGGTATGGTCCTTGACCTCCCTCACTACACCGTAATGCCTCGCCGCCAACCTGCTCCGACTCCCGACCTTTCACCTTGTGCCCCATTCCCGTATGCGCAGCTCGATTCGCTGCTGGCAGCATCGCCGACAGCGGCAGCCTTGTACATTTACCTCTTGCCGCCTTACATTGGCGGAGGCGGGGACCCCGACGACGGCGGCGCTGCCATTAGCGGTCACGCTGCCGACACCTCTGCCGTTGACGCTGCGTTGTCTGGCGGCCGCTTCCAAGTGCTTGCCGCACTGCCGCTGCTGGTGCTAACCGACGAGGCGGCGGTGGCGGAGCTTCATGAAGTGTACGACCAACACGCGGCCATGTACGACAATGGTGTTCATGCTTACCATGACATTGATGTCGGAGAGAGCAGCGAGACGCCAGGACACGTTTCCCGCAGCCGTGTACACCGCCAGGAGGAATCAGCAGGCCTAGATGAGCCGCACTGTATGTCGTACAACGGAGGCCGCATGCATGCTTTCCGCGACCACCTGTCGGAGCTTGCGGCGGACATAGCAGGGCTGCTGTCGGCCGCCGCCGGCGTTGGCGGGGCGGTTTGCAACGACGGAGAGGCTTCGGCCTCAGCAACGGCCGAAGCAGTTGCAGCAGCAGTTGCAGCGGCTGAGGAGGCGGGTGTGAACGGCGAGCATTTGTTGTCGTACATGCATGAGCGCGGTATGCCGGCCTGCGCGCGTTTCGTTGCAGCTGTGCTGCGAGAGCGCTGGGGTGTCGAGGCGGCCAATTGGGAGGAGGCCCCGCCTGAAGCTGTAGGTTCCTCCGAATTGTCGGCGGCGGCGGCGACACCTGTGCATAGTGCGGCGGAAGCGGCGGAGGCGGCGGCGTTGTCAGCTGCGCCGGCAGTAACAGCAACGGATAAGCAGGCGACGGCCGTTGGAGATGTTGACCAGCTGATTGACCCGCAGCAGTTGCTGCAGCGGGAGCCGCAAGGGGAGCTGCAACAGCCGCGGCCGCAACGAGATTCGGAGCAGCAGCGAGGTCTACAGCAGCAGGAGCAGGCGTCTCAGCAGCGCCCCTGGTTCTGCCGTCTGGCCGGCGACGCCCTGGTCTGGGTCGTCATGCTCCTGAAGCACGTCTTGGTGGGTGCTGGTGGTTGCAGCGCGCATTCAGCCCTTAGCCGCCTTCTATGCGTTCTGCGTGTTATTGCCGTGGGGCGGCTACAGTCCTGCGGGAGCCCGCTGGGCTACTGTGGATTCCCTTGTTAAGCCATCCTGCTTACTCCCGACCAGTTCTTCCGCCCTTTCCCTTTCCCGTGCCACCACTGTGATGCCCTTCGCGGATTTGTTGAAGGGGCCACTACTTACCGGTACTTACCGGTACTGGGGGCCGGTACTTACCGGTACGAGCCTTATCTGCTTTCCCTAGTGCTCCACTACCGGTAATCCCCCTTCCACCCTTTCCTTGCCGACCGCTCATCTCCTCGACCGTGGCCGGTCGGTCCCCGCTGTGCCATCCTTGACAGGTGCTTAAACACTTCATACAGAACCCAGATTTGCCCTGGCAGCACAAGACAGCCAGCTCCGCCTTCTTCGCTGTTGCAGTCATGCCGCTGCTGCTGCTGCTGCTCAGCCCCGCATTCTACGTGAGACACCGCACCGCCATCGTGGCAGGGCTGTACGAGCTGCCGTTCCAACTGCTGCTGGTAAGTGTATGGCAGGTGGTTGGATGGTTGGTTAGAATGCGTAGGGTTGTAGCTGCAATGCAGCATGGGTATCAGCAGTTCATGCATTATGCGCTACCCGTTTGCAAGGGAAACGTGTTAGGCATCGTCTTGAAAGGGCTTTTAAGGGGATTTGAGCTTCTTACAACCTGACCTCATACAACTTGACCTCAAGTGCGAGAAGCCTTCCTAACTTAATCCCTTTGCCCCTGACCCATGGTCTTTCTGTGGTCTTCCGTTCGTGACACAGATGTCCTTGAGTCTAGGCTTTGTCCGCACCTGCACGGGCTGTGTGGCGTGGGAACATCACATGCTACATTTCGGATTGGAGGTGAGCTGTGGTGTGCACCGGTTACTTAGGTTGCAATGAGAACATGTCAATTGGCCGGTAGACTGGCTATCACCAACGCCAAAACCGTTTTGGACCCACGCCCCCCTGCGCACACCCTTCCTAACGCCACCCGATTCCTCCCCATGTGGCAGGTCTTCACGCAACCCGGGCTGCTGGGCATTGCACCCTCCGTACTGCTACCGCTGATGTGCGGGCGGATTCTGCCGTACGCCGTCGTCAGTCACCGCTTGTGCGGCGTTCCCTTCTGGATTGGCGCCACTCGCAACGTATTGGTTGCGCTGGCGGCTGCGGGCACAAGTGCCCTGGTGCGTCGCCGAGATGGTGATTTGTACGGGCGGCGACGACATGACGACAGCAGCGGCGGCGGTGATGAGGGAGCGATGCGGGGTGGAGGGGATCGTCAGCGCCGTGGGGTCCGGAGCGGCGGGCAGAGGGGTGGTAGCAAGGCGTGCCTGGTAGGAGGGAGCGGTCTTCGTTGATTGTGCGTAATGGATGGCCGAAAAGATTTATGCATGTGCATGATGTACGAGACGTTTTGCCGAGATGTAAGTAAGAAATGGCCGAAAAGATGTATGCATGTGCATGATGTACGAGACGTTTTGCCGAGATGTAAGTAAGATTGTCGCCGGCGCAGGCTTGACGCGCAGTTTGACGTAACATTGACCCGGGGGTCGCTGGGATAGGGATCCCGGTTTCTTGGAAGACATACAATGGCTGCGCTCGCCTTGCGGTTTGCTTTACGATGTTGTTCGTGTTTGCGTTATGTCGGTAGGTCCTGCCAATGCCGCTTTGTGTTTCGGTGCATAAAATAAATGCTCTTGGTCTAAGAAAGCGAAGTCATTGGGGGAAGCAAAACCGTGCCTTACGTTATGTGTTAGTAAGGTGCCGTCGGTTCTGAAGGACTGAACGCCCTAATTAGACGGGCGATCGTGGGGAAGCTTTACGCCTGGGATGAGTTTGGTTCAATTCAGATCTGGTATTACCGCATGGCGGTCTGTTGGCGTGTGTGGATCCTGTTGGATTGTTGTTGGATACCTGAATTCAAACTGCATATGCTACTAGGTGCATGTCCTGCACACGTCATGTGCCTCATGTGGACTCAGCTTCTGCTGGTTGGTTGCTGCTATACCCAAATGGAATACCGGTACGCTGCTACGCACAGAAGAACCCATTACGTTGAATACTGTTAGCAATCGCAGACACGCTCATTTACCCCCGCTGCAATTGCAAAAATGTTCAACCAATATTGCCACGATTTCCGACGTACAACACAAGCGTGAATACATACGGTAATCATTTGCCCCAGAATCACCCAACTCTACCCTATCCGGCCGATACGGCGCAAAAGCAAAGCTACAGCTACCTGTCGGTTCAGCTCACAGTTCCTGCTCTGGAACTCATCCTGATTCCACCGCTCCCCCACGTTACGCGCTCCGCGCCGCACGCCACTCGCCACGCCAATCCTACTTCTTCGTTGACGCCCTAGGTATCCCAAAACGCATGCATGGTACGACCCACCCTAGCTACAAGTCGCAACATGCTGGTTCTGTAGAAGCCAGCAGTTTCACTCCTTGACGCCGTACGTGTCGTAGAGGTACTTGATGATCGCTGACGACTCGAACAGAAAGACGCCTTCGTTCGGGTCCTCGAGGTACGGCACCTGCAAGATCCAGCACCAACAGAAGCTTAAGTGTGAGCATAACAAACAAGGCAACTGGTCACATGGTCAGGGAGAGCCAAAGAGCGCCTTTGTTGCAACAGCGCACCGCATGCTTCAGTGGTTACCGGTATGCCTATGGAGGAGCCGCAACTGCAGAGCAGGGTGCTGGCTACCGCTCCTTTACAGCATGCCAGGCATGCCTACCATGCCTTGCATTCGCTCACGCCATGACACAAATACCTGGAAAACGCCTCGCTTGTCTAGCAGCTCTTGGCGCTTAGGGCTCCCGCGGGCCGCCGTGATGTACAAGTACGGCAGCTCAAGCTCGCAAAGCGTCTGGGGTGTACGGATGCAAGCAAGTCGGAACAGGGTTTCAACGCAAGGGATGGAGCTGTGAACACAGGCGCCAAGAGGCGTTGCAGGGGTTGGTGTCCGCGTAATTCGCAGTGGGGACGTCAGGGTCCACTCACATTGCCGTCTCCAGGGTACCCCATTGCCACCCAGCGGCCATACAAGCGATTGCGAACACCAGACTCAAGCGATTGCTAACACCAGACGAAGAGAACTAGTGTCAATCATCCTACCCCAGCGCTTCCTTTCTCCACCCGCTCACCTGCCACCTCCTTCCCCCATTGTTTCAATCTTGTTACGGTTCCTTATGGATTCCTTACCACCCGCTCACCTCCCTCGCCAGCTTCACGAAGGGGCTCATCTCGTATCCCCAGAACACCAGCGGCTGGGCGGGCAGCCGGGACTTGCGGTAGTAGTTGCCGCGACCGTCCCTGGGGGCACACGGGACCCATGGGTCGCAGCATGTAGGGGGCGCAGGTTAAAACCGTATGGGATAAGGGGTAAGGAAGACGCACGGATACGCGAGGATGGTATTACGGAGACAGGGGTTGAAAGCTACAACGGCCACAGCTAGCAGCGGGCATTGTGCCCTTCCACCTCCTCTCCATCGCACTCACAAACCTACGCACCTAACGCGCTCACTGCATGAGCCGGGATTTACTTATTTTACTTATTTTAAGTTTTTTTACCCACCTAACGAGGCTGCCCAACACACATGAGACGATGGTTACAGCGCCCAGCCGGAGCGCCAGGGGCACCTCCGCACCGTTGCCGTATTCCTGTAGGGGGTGACAACCGCAGGACCAGCCGCCCATGACAGCACACGGGTGTCAGTTGCGACTCAGCCGGCGTACACAAACCGCGTCGATGCCATGCAAGGGAACCGTTCAGGGGTGTGGCGCACTCAATGCCGCCCGCCCTAGGCCCGCTCCGGCACTCGAAGCGCTCTCTGGCCCGTCTTCAACACGACTGGCCAGGTCCTGCCACGGTGCCAGACCTGCCTCAAGTGCAACCTTACATGCGCCAAAATCGTTCGCATCCTAAGAAGAGATGCTTCCCTTATATACACCCAAAGCCTGGTGCCCAGACCTCCAAAACATGTCCAGCCAAAACGCCCACCACAGCCCATTCCCGTTTCCCGCACGTCCATTCCCGCATCGGCCCACCCACCTGAAACAGGTACTTGATAATTTCGTCGCTCTCGTACATCTGTTTGCCGGTGTTGGGGTCCACCAGGAAGGGGAACTGCCGCTTGCCACCCAGCGAGACAGCCTGACGTTGCAGGCGGGAGCGGAAGTGGGGGGCGTTAAAGGCGTTTGGAGGAGCTGGAAGCTGGAGGAGGAGGACGAGGGAGGCGGCAAGCCAGTATAGGCATCGGATTCGACATGCCGGATGCGAACACCTTCCAAGTGCTAGCGTCAACCTGTGCAGGGACGGGCTGCTGAGCCCTGCACAGGAGGCAGCAGTAGCCTGGTACCGCCACAGCCGACCCACAGCGCTATGCATGTAGGTAGTGCACCACTCTAGGCCGCACATACCACCACCGCCGTTCCGACCGCTTCGCGCCCCACTCTGCTGTGTCCTACAGACCCCCAACCAAGCATGCTGCTCAGACCCCCGGTACCTCACACCGCCCCGCCCAGAGCGCCTCGGTGCCGGACGCACCTTGGGCCTCCACGTGGCTCCGTCCTTGGGGCAGGGGTACACCAGCACGTCCAAGTCCAGGATGCAGATGGCCTCACGAACCTGAGTAGGGAAGGGAGCCGGGGGGGCGTACGGCGGCATCCGTGGATCGTACGTAGGACTGACTGGCAGCAGCGCGATGTTGCGGTTTGGCGTGAATGCCCAGCTGGCCTGAGTGCCTTCGCATGCCCATGTCTGGGTATGTTTGTCCATGCGCCCCCCCACATGCGAGACACAGGCAGGCGGAAGGAGGGCTCACCTTCTTGCAGAAGGGGCAGCCCTCGAACTCGTAGAGCTCCAGCGGCTGGGCCGGCCGCTTCAGCCCAGCCACCTGAGGCCGCATGGCATGGTACGACACGTTCTCAGAGGAGGTACGACAGGGAAAGTAGCAGACATCGTTCGGGCCTCCCCGTGGCTTCCCTCGAGTCCACCGTTACCTGCGACGTCTCAGCCACCTTGCGGCCGCCTATCCGCGCAATAGCATACTTGCCATCGTCCTCCGTCAGCCTCACTTTGTAGCCCAGACTGAGGCCGCCGCAGCCCAGTCGCAGCAGCGCGGAGAGGGAGGCGGTGGCGACCTAGAAGGAGGGGTTGAAAGGATGGCCCGGGATTTGGAGGATTGGGTTGTGGTGGCTAGAGGGCGAGGATTGTGTGGAGCGTAGCTAAGCGGATGAGGGCCTAGTTGGGGAAAAGCTGAGGGTGTGGAGTGCAACATCCTCAAGCCTATGCTGATGCCCCCAACGCGCTACCATATGCCAAGTTTCACCTCTTTCATTTGCCCTTCAGCCACAGCAAAGCGCTTCGGCTCGGGACCGGCATTCCTAAGCTCAACCTTGTCCGGCACCGCCGTGGTGGCCTGCATGCACCCGGTCGGACGTCGACACTCCAATATAGTTAACATGAGGGGCCCGAAGCATTGATACTCTCGCGAGGACAATATCGCTTCATCGTGGCTTCTGGAAGTCCCTGACTGCGGATGTGAAGCCTGCAAATAAACGCCTTACCTCACTCACTGGCTTTTTTGGCGTAGAAGCTCCTGCTGACGCCTTAGCCATACAGGATCGCCTCCTGGCTACACGGTGTTGTAAAGGGCCGTGACTTGCCAAGCTTCGCAGACCAAGCGACTGCATTCTAACGATACAAGCAATACGGGTTTACGTGTCTTATGCTAAGCTTCTTGTTTTCATCACGCAATGTCAATCGAGCGTAGCCCTGAGTTTCGTCCACAGGAATTCTGGACGAGATCCACGGCAGCTGTCCATTGTACTAGGCAGAGCCCGCAGAAGAATACCATAGCAATGATGCTAGCATTGTAACGTTTTTTTATTTATCTCCGCTGTCGGCGACTGTATGAGGGCTAATTCAAAACTGCAGCAGCGTGAGACACCGTAAGCCTATAATATTTGGCATTCCTTAGGAAGTGGTGTAGACAAATGTCCGTGCAGCAGGAGCAATTTACACGCTTCCAGGCAGCCGTGTCTCAGCTGTCGGGGCCACCATCGACAACGGCAGTATTGTACCCTGGCCCTGAGCGCTATGCAATGATAACATTTCTGCTTCAGAAGTACGTGTCAGGTTTCGGGTGTGAAGCTTTGACATAATTAGGCCGTGGCCTTCCACTTTACTGAATAGCATCGTCGTAACCTGCATGGACAGGATGCTATCCCCCGAGATGGTTCACCAGTTACAGCAACGGGTCTTAGAAACAGACCTACCAGCGGGCCTTGCGGCCGAGGAGGCACAGGCACACCGTAAGCGGGTGCGAGGGTTTTGTTCCATCATTGAAACAACGTGTCTTCTGTCTCCGCCCGAACCCTTGACCGGCATAGGGTTTGCCTTCGATAGGGTTTGGTATTGGATAATGGACAGGAAGTTGCATGGCACGCTGTGTCGGTATACAAGTGAGCAGGACGAGTCGAAGCCCATTGTCCCATGGCCAGATGGGCGACACCGCTGGCAATCTGTGCTGCCTTTTACCTGATGCATCAGTTGTTGGGGTCGCACCTCTGATGCATGGCTATCCGTGGCTCCATTGCTTGTGCGGTATGCCCTTTAACATCTTGACGCGCTGCATGTCAGGCCTCTCCCGAGCACTGCACGCGGTGGACGTCCAGGCGACCGCAGACCAAGTGCGGGTGAGTTTCCGGGTGGCTGGGCGGGATTACCCCGCTTCTCCCACTTACCGACTCACCTATGAACCCAACCGATGCAACTCTGGGCAAGCGTAGCATTCCTCCTATTCTGCATCCATGTGACCCTGTTTTGATGCCGCTTCACCGCAGGGCTGCACCTCCCAAGAGGACTCCCTGCGCCTCCTGAACCTCCTTGCCAGCCTAGCGGTGTCACAAAAGCAGAACCTCCGTGAGGCTGCCGCCGCTGCCGCAGCTGCGGCCACCACCACTAACTGCCCGGCCCCGAACAGCCGCCCGCTCAGCCCCGCCCTCACGCCTCGACAACGCACGCCAACCCGCTCGGGGGGCGGCGCACACGCACATGACAGCAGCAGCGGCGGCCGCGTGCTTCTGAACTTGCAATCTGTCGATGGGGAGCTGCGGTTGCTGGATAGCCTTGCGGAGCGCCTGCCGCAGCTGCTGGACACGGGCGGTGGCAGCAGCTGGTTCCCAACGGACATCATGGCAGCTGCGCAGTCCTACATGTGCGTATGTGTTGGCAGAACTGGCCGCGAATAGGAGTTGGCCGCGTGTGTGGGCGTATGTGTACCTGTGGTTTATGGCGTGCGTGGAAGGAGAGGGTTACTGCATGATTGCATGACAGGGGTAGCTGTGGCGACCCACATGTTGCTGTTTGTTTATGCCGCCCATGCCAATGGCGCATGCCTCTCAATGTTTCAATACCTCTCCCTTTGCTTCGCTTAACAGGACCAACCAGCCTCTTCAAGAGGTGACTGCGGCGGTGGAGCAGCGGGCGCAGCGGCTGAGGCAGGAGCTCCCAGTGTTACGAGCCGAGGAGGCGCGACTGGCAGCAGAGGTGGGTGCTGCTTCTCGCACCACGTGCAAGCCGTTTCCTGTGCACCCGGCCTTCGTTCTTTTGACGCCCGTTGTCTCAAGCAAGTCACAATTGTGCCAAAACAGACCGCACATTCCTGGTTGCACCGCCCTATTCCTCATTCACTAACGCGCGGACATGTCCAGCTCTTTCTGCTCCATAGGCTGTGCTGGGCTTACAATGGTGTCGTGCCTCCACGCCGCAGGTAACCATGGTGAGCGAGGCGGACTGGGAGCGGCAAGCGGAGGCCACCCGTGCAGAGTTGGCGGAGCTGCTTGAAACCTCGACCGCCTTCTACCATACTTTCCAGGTAGCAATGGCGCCAAGATTGCATGCCATGAGGAATGACCCACAGGACGAAGGGAGGGAATGCCGGAACATATTATTGCCTTCGGTCCAAATGGCTGCCATTGTACTAGATTTTTACCTCAAGAGGCGGTTACTGGCGTGCGACAGCGTTGCCTTATCGTGTTGGGCACGCGCCCCTTGCCTTTCCACTAGACCACGGAATGTGTATCCCTATTAATCCCCCTGCCTGCCACCCCTGCTCCTGGTTCCGCACAGACCGGGCTGGGTGTTTGGTGCGCGGCAAGCAAGGCGGCGGACACGTGCGGGCTGGGCCCTCTTGCTTCGGAGCTGCTGCAGCGGTACGAGGCCATTAAGCGGCTGGGAGCCGAGCTGGCGCGCATCCGGCAGGCGCACACCAACATCGTCAGCTGTGCCCCGCCCATTACGGTGAGGACATTGCGTTCTGTCGACGCCATGCAGCAGTATGGTGATTGCTGAGGCTGCAAGTGCGCGGTATGACGGGCTACGCTTGCCCCGGGATACGGTGCGCCAGCATGGACTCTCGGCATTCGTACCGGTCAAGATAGTAACTTTTATGCCGCATGCTCCTTAAACGCCACTTCACTGGTGCGCATGGCCCACGGACACGCTCTTCTATGGTTGCCGCTTTCCTCTCGCGCCATTTACTACTGTCTTCAAACCAAGTAGTTGATGGAGCTCAATATACCGGTAAATAGGCCTTGACACCATGTTGCATGCTTACCCCTGTCCGTAGCTCCTGGAACAGCATACGCTGTCGCAGCTGGTGCGGGCGGCCCAGGCAGCGATGGAGCATCTCCGCGCCCGCATCGCCCTGGAGCAGCGGGTGATGACGGAGGCGGAGGTGGACATGGTCCGGGCCGTGGCGGTTGCGCGGATGGCCGGTATGGCGCAACCTCTTGTTGCGCAGCCCACGCATGGGTAGCTGAAGGCATGGAGTATAAGAGCTTACAGGACGATTGCATGGGTGCAAAAACAAGGGCGCAGGTTTATGCTGGATGAGGGCGTGTCAGGGTACATGTGCAGTGGTTTGGTCATTTGAGGCATCTGCGGAGTGGTCATAATCGGCTTCATGGACTTATTAATGATCCGCTCGCTTTCACATTGCACCAGCAACCCGAAACGCAGAACCTATGGTGGCTCCGCCTCCCAAAGGGTGAAAAGAAAAGAACATCCATGTTTTCCTTGCCTGAGCAGACATGTAAGGAACGGGATTCTACTTAATGAGAGACAATACATAGGGATCTGCATGGACGTGTGGAGCTGCTCGTGGGGGCTACTAGGGGGCTGCCAGCCCTCTAAGGACCATGTCGCCGGTACAACCTCGAAGCGAGCGCAAATCCGACGCGTGCAATGGGAGATGCACATACATCTTACGTAAGGCAACTGCCACCGGCTATTGGTGGCCTTGTTCAGCCCATGCATTGAGGCGTACCTGTTGATGCCAGGCAGTCACACCCGCGGTACGGCATGCCGAAGCGGGTGCTCGTTGGCACGGCCTGGCAGCCGCTGCAAAACGTGAGTAGTAAAAGAGCACGGACCAAACCGCGCGCGTTATCATGCGCTCACGGGCCCGGTTCACGATCAAGATTGCGTTTCGCGGTGACCCGTGGACCTCACACTCGCCTTGTGTTGCTAAGAGGGCCACAACGGTTCCTTCCCTTCAGGAACTTTCTTACGCTTACCCAGGATGGGCACTTTCTAGGCTAGCAATTGCGAGGCCCCGCACCTTAACACATATGAGGCGTCCTTTTGACACATTACCTGCTCTAGTGCACCCAAGCGTCCTGAGCATGCAGGTCTAGGGGAATCCCTTTAGGAACACTCAGTAATGACATTAGCTTGTACAATGAAACGGGGCCCCGTGCTTGCTTCCCCCATACGACACGCGGGGATAGGCTTTCCAGACACCCCTCGACATCCCTAGCCCCATTGATGCAAATCGACACGACCGGCAAGCACGCAATCCACGGGACATTATTACTAGAAGCCAACGGGAAAGTACGGGGCAGAAGTTTCGTGTCCTGTGTGAGGATTGCTACACTGGACCTAAACGCCGAGACCACAGGTGACCCTTCCCCGCTTTGCCCCCAGAGCTACGATGTGACGAGGAAACACGGAAGATGTCCTGGTTGGATAAAAGTAACATCTAGAACGTGAGCCTCGGCCTCTACATTCGGAGATCCGCAACCAAACCCTCCAGACATAAGGAGAAAACGTGCTTATAGGAGAAAACGGGAATAGGCTGCGTACAAAAATACACAATCCTTTGAAAGCAATAACCAAGTGAAGACGGAGTTGCTGACCAGCAACATGTTGCCGACCGACACTAGGTTAAGACTTTAAGTAACAATTTCAAGGGGGTTGTAGCAATCAGCTGTCTCGTATAGCTTTAATTTTGAGCGGGGTCGATGCTGCATGGGCCTCACGGCAGAGCAAGGCCCCCTGGCGCTTGAACACGACTCAAACACTTGAATTGTAAGATATAAGGCCAACGGGCCATGTAGTTGTATACCATAACGTTCTCACTGAACATATTCTGACTCCTCAGCCTCGGATCTCTTGGTCGTCTTTCGCGCTCTGGAGACTTGGTCTTTCCGACATACTTCCTTACCACGCTTGAGTTGACCTCTATCTTCTTTTTTACTTTAACACTAAACTTCTACAATGGCTGGTGATAAGCCCGCTAAGGAGACCAAGAAGGCTGCAGGTGAGCTCATGGAGCCGCCACACTTCTATAAGTTGTGGTCAAGGCTGGCTTTATGTCTAGAATAGAACTGGGATTGCTGACAGGACAAAGATGCTCGGAGCATCAGGCGCCTGGTGGGGTGGACCAGCGCTTCGCATTGTTCCTCGGGGCATTTTCCCTCTTGCTATTGATCTGGACCCTTGGGTCAAAGCGCTCCAACATGTTTAATTTCATGATATTGATAATATGGCGACGAAATTTTTCGCGGAGCTTTTCCACCGTGTCGTTGCGCGTTTGGCGGGATGCATCGTCTGTTTGACTGGCTTGCCCAGAAGCTGCCTTTGGCAAAGTTCCCTCGAGTTAACGTTCCTTGCGCTATGCGCATGCATTGTGGGCTAGCATTGTTCGCGTACAATGCCCTTGACCGCTGGTCAACCTTCTTTGACCGTCACCTGCTAACAAGTCTGCCCCCCTGATCACCTGCTTTACAGCTGAGACCAAGGCCAAGGGCAAGCGGAAGGACGAGCCCAAGGAGGAGGCTGAGCGCCCCAAGAAGGCCGCTAAGGGTGAGTGTGGCTGCTCTGCACTGTCTCTTCTCCACTGTGTGCGACTTACGCTAGCAGCGGACGTGAGCTTGCATGGGAATACCTGGCTTGCCCTTATCTCTCACAACTCTGTTCCTTTCCTTCCTCCCTTTCACTCCTCAGCCGAGAAGGCCGCTGCTGCCCCCAAGGCCAAGGCTGAGCCCAAGGCTAGGGGCAAGAAGGCCGAGGAGGGCGGCAAGGCCAAGAAGGAGAAGAAGGTCAAGGACCCCAACGCTCCCAAGAAGAACCTCACAGCGTTCATGTACTTCTCTAACGCCACGCGTGACACAGTCAAGCAAGAGAACCCAGGTTGGTATTGCTGTGGGGTAACTAGGGTATGATTGGTTAGATTTATTATTGGTAAGGTTTGCTATAGATGCGGCATGCGCATGCTTAGGAACGCACCTGCTTCAGACTTGAATTCGTTTCCCCTGACGCCTCTCTCTTGTTCTCCTTTCTCGCGCCTTCACCCCCCCCCCCCCAGGCATTGCCTTTGGTGAGGTTGGCAAGATCCTTGGCGAGAAGTGGAAGGCCTTGAGCGCTGAGGACAAGACCGAGTACGAGGATATGGCCAAGAAGGACAAGGAGCGGTACACCAAGGAGATGGAGGCCTACAAGGAGAAGGCTGGCGAGAGCGCCGCCCCGGCCCCGGCGAAGAAGGCCCCCGCCAAGAAGGCTGCGCCGAAGAAGCCAGTTGAGGAGGAGGAGGAGGACGAGGAGGAGGGTGACGAGGCCGGTAGCGACGGGGAGGACGACGAGGTTGAGGATGACGAGTAAATGTTTGGGTTTTTTGTCAGGTTCATCGGACTTCCACGGCGTTGGTGGTGGTGGTTAGGCGGTGTACAGACTTATGCTCGCCGCAATCGGCATTTGCGGGTGTGAAAATGATGACGCGTACTTAATGCAATGAACTTGTTTTCACTGTATGTTTTTACTGTGTAGAACTTTACGTCGGCCCCCACTTAGGGGTGCATTTGGTTTGGCGCACGACCCATCGGTAACGTGCAAGCAATGCAGGCTTCCCATATGGAAGGGGTATCATGTACAGCTAACGATCCGGGCCATTGACAATGACATTTACCCGGTAACTTGTTCGGACGGCAGGTCCCCAAGATTGGGGTGCCATGGTTCCGGAACTTGAGTTTCCCCATATGTAACAAACTCGAGTAGCTTCGTCATGTGTCTCTTCCCATAACACTTCACTTGGTAACATAGTAGTAATAAGAAAACGACACTATTAGTTTGTATCCTAGTTAATGGCAGACCCACAACGAGATCTTTGGAGGGAAGCGCGTCGACATATTGGAGGTGTGTGGCTGCTTGTTGGAATAAAGCATCTCGTGACCTTCGCTTCTTGCTCTTTGCTATTCTTGCCGAGGCACGGATGACCCATGGTTCCTAATAGGAAGGTGTCTTACCGAAATGCAGATATCGAGGTATGCTGATTATATTTGCAGTGGAAATGTCGAGTGGCAGTCCGCAGTCCGTCCGTTCTGGATGTTCTGCAATTTAGACGCTCGCATCACTTGACATAAAAGGAATGCTTTCCCTGCTATATCTATATAACGCAGTGGCTAGTGCTCTCAATAAGGTAGCGCCAATGCGCGTCCTAGCTTTGCTAGTGCCATCCAGTTCCCCGACCCTCCCCATGCAACTCTTTGATACCTCACGTTTCTTTTCACCTTACTGGGCCCTTCCCTGCATGGCTCCTCCTAACGCGTGTACAGTACCCCTGACCCTCTTCCCCTCACTCACAGACCACCCGTCCTGGATTGGGACTCCAGTTGCTGTACTCATTAATGATTTTTTTTATTTCCCCCTCCTGTAGAATATGAGGCCCGCACCAGCGAGCTTAACCTGGATGTGCAGGCGGCCAACAAGGCCCTCCTAACCGCCAAGGAGGAGCTCGCGGGGCTGAGGAAGGGTGCGGGAAGGGGGCTGCGGGGCAGAAAAAGGCAGGATAGGTGGTGTCCCTAGCTTCTTAGATGAGGGATAGCAGCTTGTGGTGCAAAGAGTGGAGCTCGGGAAGGAGCATGCACGGCAGCGCTGCAGATAAACCTGGCTGCTCCCCCACCCGCCTCCCCATTGCAGAATGCCAGCACCAGCGAACTGCAAGGGATGCCAGCGACCGGGCCGCCCTGTCTGAGCATGACAAGATGCAGGTACGTTGCGCCGCGTTGTCGTTGCGCCACGCCTCTAGTAGCAGCCTGGGCATTGCATACATGACATGGAACCCGGTATGTAACGTGTACTGCCCAAGGGATCAGGGGGAGCACGCAGAGCGGTCTGGGGTGGCAGCCGTCCCATTGTTAATAATGCCAGCCGACAGGCTATTGCGATCCCACCTTTTCTTTGCTGTCCCCCTCCCTCCCTGGTCCCTGCACCGATGTCCTTGACTGCGTCTCCGTTCCTCCCCGTTGTCTGGATCCGTTGTCACCCCACCCAGGCCCTGCAGCGGCAGCGCGAGGAGGCGCTGGCCGAGTCGTCCCGCCTGACACTGCAGGTGACCTCCTTGCGGACGGAGCTGGAGGAGGCCAGCGCCAGGGCGGACCAGCAGGAGTGAGTGCGGCAGGGGGCGGCGGGTGGAGGGGCGCCCTGGAAGGATTCCCCAAGGCCTGGAGGAAAATTATATAATAAATGCAAACAACTACAGCCTGGAGGAAGGGAAGAGCTATAGGGGCTGCGGTCCGCCCAGAGCAAGCTGCGCGTTTTGTGCTGTTGCGTGGAGCTTGGGTCCCAGCTCGTGCTAGCAAATGTGATGCCGGTCGCGTCTAGGGCTGGGCACCGTATCATCTTGTCTTGGCACTCGGTGTTTCGACCCCTACCGCCGTTGTTCCAAGTGTGCCGCCATCTCTGTTCCGCTGTCTCACTTTTTCCAGCCCTCCACCGCTCCTGTCTGCCTGTACCGCTAGAAATGCCATTTCCTTATAGCCATGGGCCTTTATCCTTGGCACTTTCCAGCTGCTCCCTTGGCACCCTGCCCTGGACTTAACAGGCATGTACGGCAGACCCATCTGGCAGAGCTGCAGGCCCACTTGGAGCAGCTCTTGTCGTACACGCAGTCAGCAGCAAGCGGAGGGGGGCAGGCTGGGATTGATACCGCAATTGACACCAGCGTACCACACGATATCGGTGGCGATACAAGCGGCGGCGAAGCGAGAGGTGATGTCGTATTCGAGGCCCCTGGCAGCGTGCCGGTGGCGTGAGGCAGTGGTGCAAGGTGGGAGTGTGAAGCAGTGGGGCTTGACATGGGCCGAAAATGGACCGGCTGGGTGGACAGTAGGGTCCGGTGTGCGGTTAATTGGACGCATGCTGTATGTTGCGACAGGTATGACGGACGCGTGGGAGGCGGTCGGGAGAGCAGGATGCGGGCGAGGTGAATAAAGGATCGGCTGTGCAAGGTGAGGGCGCGAGCGCCCTTTATCATGAGCTTGAAAGGGAGGAGCGTCTTTGTGTTGCTCCGACGAGGTTGGTGTCCAATTTGAGCGTGCAATATCAGGGTTCTAAGTTGTTGGAAATGTTTGGTAGCCGCATCGTGGTCAGGAGGGGCTTGTGTTGAAACCCAGCGGGCGCACTGCAAGATGGATGTTGCTACTTTCTAGGATGTTGCTTAGTCAAAGGACGGAAGTGTTAACCTCTGGTAACCATTGGTAAACTTCGATAGTTCAGTAGGTAAACTGACGCCAGCATCAATCGGCCAGGCACTTTTGGCGTGCATGACTGTCTTGCCATTGTAGCTAGCTGTACACGTTCGTTAACGCCCTATTAGCTGTTAAAATGCTGAAGATCGTATTGTGGGCCCAAGGTTATGCCTGTTTATGCAGAAATGGGGCAGTGCAACGTGACGAAGGACGGGAAATTCACGCTTGGCTCCACGCTTGGCTCACGAGCAAACGCCACGACATACTTGAATGAATGACCCTTACAATGGTTTCCTTAAAGGGAACACGGGTGATGAACCCAGCCCTACACTGCAAGAAGACAACACCACAACGGGCCACAACCCGAAAGAGACCACAAGAGATATACTTAACATCGAAAGACAATACCCGTCTGCCTTCGACGTTAGGAGCGCAGGGCTTGTCGCCATTAACGCATTAAAAGATGCGTAAGGCGTTCGTGCAAACGACATTCCAACCGACGTAATAGTACTTTTCTTTCGGCCGCTGCGTTAGCCACCCACAGGACACATAGACAATAGCTTGACCGTTCCACAATACTGTGCTTTTGCTTGTTATCGACGTGACCTTGACTGAAATGTTAGCCGAATCCGAGTAGATATGTCAGGTCTATCTAGCTTGTCCGGGGCTCCTCCTCCTGGTGGAAGGCGAACAACAGGAGATTTGGGAGGTGTGCTAAACAACGACATCCATCCTGCAGCGCTTGCCATGTATGAACCCCTTCCGACGGCCTTTCGCATACAATGCTAGGTGGTGGTGCCCCGCTATCGAGCTTATCTGGTGCTCCAACACTTTCTGGAAACAAGCCTGTAGGTGCTCAGTCAGGTTCATTATGCCAGGTCAAGCATTTCTCTTTGACCAAACCTTCGACGCTTCTCCTATTTGCAGCGGACGTATACAGCTGACGATGATGATGATTTTCCACGCGCACGTTCTACTGGAACTAGGACGGTACGCTTACTGAACCATAGCCCTCATGGTCTAGTTGTCGCACGGCAACTCCGTCGTAAGCCGTTGCCACAGCGGTTATCCGTGCTAAAGGTGGGGATATATTGCTTTGCCGCAGTCTTCGGCGCCGAGGGGTTCATCGTTGGCAACGTCGACTGAGAAGAGCAGCTTGCGACAATCGACACCGGCGCCTAAGACTCGCTTTAATGACGATGACGACGATTTCCCTAAATCGACTATGAAGAAAACGGTTTCGTTTGCCGCAAACAGCAAGGGTACGTCGTGCAGCCGGGGCCTGTGTATGGCCTCATTGCAAGGCGACCCCACAGGAGTTGCCCAGATGACGCATTCCCTGGGGAAGGGTTTCAGTAATAGATGCGCTTATGGTTGCAGTATGTGTGGACATAGGCGAGGTCATTGGGGGACTGAAGACATCACGGCCACCTTCTGTATGATAACCGCAGGAGCCAAATCGGGAAGCAAGTCACCGTTTGATGAGGATGATAACGACTTCCCCAAAACTTCAAAGTCGTCAGCCTTCAAGGTAATTTGGGTACTCAATTACCGGTAACATACTGCTGACCATGACTCTGCAACTTTTACAGCACCAAGCGCACGTACAATTCTGCCACTCCTCCCCGCCAGGACCCCTTTGATGATGATGATAAGCCCAGCACCAGCAGAGGCGGCGGCAGTGCCGGCAGCAACACGCGTCCTTCCGCTAACAACCCCGCCTTCAAGTGGGACGATGATTCCCCTCCTCGTAACACCTCCGCTTCTGGGTCCAAGCCCAATAAAGGGCTGTTTGAAGACGATGACTTCCTTTCATCTCTCAACCCAGATAGCGTGTTTAGTGGCGGCAGCAAGAAACCAGATGAGCCTGCGCCGCGGGCCCGTACGCCCGTTGGTGGGTCGCGACCCACGGGTCCAAAAGCTGACGACATCTTTGGCATGATGAAGGATGAGCCGCCTGTTATTACAGGGGATCTGGGGCTTGACCTGTTTGGAGCTACAGCCAGGTATGTTGGGTTGATGGATGCATGCATAGCCTCGCCTCGAAGCCCCATCAAAGGCGCTTTGACACGAAAGCTGTCGCTGCCTTAATCTGCGCCCATGCATGTCCCCTCCAGCAGCAAACCGGCAGCTGGGCCTCGTGCGGGGCGGCGTGCGGCGGCAACAGCAACATCGCAGGCGTCCCTAGAGCCCTCCCCGGAGACCTCTCGGGAGCCAACACCGGAGCCCTCGCGGCCGCCCATTTCACCGGAGACCTCGCGTCCTTCTGTGTCCCCTGAGGCTAGTAAGTAGCGACGTGCCGTTTGGAACAGTCCAAGGGCGGTTAAGGGATTTGGGCCCGGGCTCGGGCTATGTGCGCTTTTGCTTGACGGCTGGTGGTGACTTCCCATAGCACCCGCTCTAACCTGGAGGATGCTTACTTGCCCGCAGGCCAAACAGGGCTGATGGGAGGACGGCAAGCTGGGATGGGCCCCGGACGTGGGAGTGCTATGGGCGACGAAGGAGGCGACGGCTTGCCACGCAGCGGTGAGATCTTATATGGGTACTATATATTGTGTGCACTATCATGAAGCTTGTGTGACCCCGACATGGCTCCTTTCTTCGTTATCCTTACTATGGTAATGCTGTGTGCTGGATGTGCAGTGTCGCCCGCGGGAGCCGCAGGTCGGCGTGGCAACATGGAAACTGGCCCATCACTAACATCTCTCATGGGAGGCGAACAGGTGAGCACGACGGGAGGTTGCCAGCACTCTTTGCAAGGGCGCTTATGAAGGAATACCAGGCCGTAATACTTCTGGTATCCATAGGAACCAATGTTCCTTTTCCAGCGACTCGTGCAAGCGTTCAACATGGGCATTCCCTCCTTTCTGTTCCACCTTGCACTGATGTAACCCTGCTGTGCCGCTTGGGCCCTTGCAGTCGAGCTCTGCGGGGCCTGGCTCCCGGCCACCCCCCGGCAGGGCCGCTGCTGGAGCTAGTGCTGGTGGCGGCATGGAGCTGGATGGAGACGACCTGCCTGGCCTAGGATCGCCGGCATTAGGGGCAAAAGGTATGTGCTCGACGGGACGCCAGGCTGGTAGCGCATGGCTTGGCTTGCGGCCCCTGGACGCATTGCGATTGGAATGTGCCAATGCAAGTTACTGGCTGTCGACCCTCCTGGCGCTTGAATTTCTAAGCCGCCCCCGTTTCCTCTCCAACTCTGCCTCCCTACCTGCAGCGGCTGCCCCGGCGCCTTCCAGCTCGTACACCCCCAGCGCTACTGGGCCCGGTGCGGGTCGCCGCCCCGTTGCTGCGAAGCCGCGCAAAGATGAGGACAGTTGGGATATGGACGACAACCTTTTGCCCGATGACAGCAACACGGCCCAACCTCCACCGCGGTCTCCGCCTCGTGCCCCTGACCCTCCCCCGGCTGCTGTCCCAGCACCGGCTGCGGCACCCAGCACTTCCATGGGCGGCTACACCCCCAGCAGCAGCGAAGGCGCCGGTCGCTCCAGACTGCTGCAAAGCTCCAATGCGGCGGCGAAGAAAGGTGCGAGCTACCGTAGCCTGGTTGTCTAGTCGCCAAACTATTGCTGTCCCTCCATGCGCCGATCATAGAAAACAACTTGTGTCCCCTCCTTTCAGATGACCCACCTCAGGACGAAGAGGAGCCCAGCACGGGGGGCTACATGCCGTCCTTCGGCGCCCGCCGTCCTGCTGCAGGGGCTGGCATGTACAGCAGCGCAAGCGGCCTGTCGGGCTTGGGGATGGGTGGTGGCACTGGCGGCGCCGGCAGCACGGCAATGAGCACTGACTACAGCGGTGGTGGTCTGTCTGGAACATCGCTCACGCCCGGGGGTCCTGGTGCGCCGCGTCCTCGGCGGCAGCTGGGCGGTTCGGAGGTGTCGCCGCTGGCGGGCATGTCGGGAGCAGCAGCTGCTACGGGCCCCGGGAAGCCGGGCGCCCCGCCGGCGAAAAAGGTGCGCGAGGCTTTTGGAAAGGAACCGGCGCGGAGAAAAAGCAATCAATGTCTCATGAGGACGGTGACAAGCGGGCTGGGTCCTTTAAGGTGGAGGAGTTCAGTCCTGCGCTTGACCTTGAGTACTCCTTAGCTGTTGCGGCCGCAATACCGGTAGATTCCTGGTTGCAAAACCCGTCGCTGCTTACGTCAGCCAGCTATTATGCGTATTAATGTGGTGCTGTAAATACATTGCCGTTCATTACTGCAGACCAAGGATGAGGAGGAGCGGGAGCGCGTGGCAGCAGCCATGGCCGCGGCGACAGCACGCCGGCAGCAGCTGCTAGGAGCCGGACCCATCCGCTTCCCGGGGCAGGCGCCGGCAGGTATGGACGAGTGCAGAATGTCACATGTTTGCCGTGGTACATTCGGGCTGGGGTTCCAATGCGCATATCTTCTAACCTCATGGGCCGTTCTGTCCATTTCTGTCCTGCGGCGTTTGCAGCCCCGGCGTCCGCGCCGCAAAGCGCAGCCACCAGCAGCAACCCCGCCCAGAGCGCGGAGCCACCCCCTATCACTGTCGCCAGCGGCTCACCCACACGGCAACGTGGTGGGGTATCGAAACCCGCTGTTGACCTTGGGCTGTCCAGCGACTCCTCAGACGGGGTAAGCGGGCTTCGCAGCTGATGTTCATAGTCCACCTGGGGTAAAAACTGCTTTGGTGTCATGCCTGAACATGCGCTCCCCACCCACCGCAGGACCTTCCCTTACCAGACAAAGCCACCTCTCCTCCTCTACCAACCGCTGGTGGCCGGAAGCCTGTATCTGGCAAGCCCGCAGCTGCGCCGCATGGCCGCGAGCAGTACGACCCACGGGTGGCAGTCAGCGTGCCAGAAATGGGCGCAGCAACTGTGGCAGTCGCCCTTGGAGGAGGCCTTCCGGGTCACGGTAACCTAGTGCAGTCCAGCATGCCGGCTCCACAGCTGCATCAGGAGCCCTCCTACCCAGCGAGTGTCACGTCACAGACCAGCGGGCTGAGCATGGGTGGCGCTGCGACCCCGCCTATACCAACCACAGAACGTTCGGGTGCCTCGATCGTATCACAGTTATCTGGTGGTATCACTGCTGGGGCAATGGCGGGGATGGCTGCTGGCGCTGCCGTGCCACAGCCGACCTCACCGCGAAGTACGGTTGTCATGGGACAGCAGCAACAGTCGCAGCAACAAGGGCTGCCGCCTGGGGTGACTGTTATGGGGCAGCAACCACAGCAGCAAGGGTTGCCGCCTGGAGTGACGGCTATGACACCGCAACAGCATGGATTGCCACCGGGCGTCACTGCCATGGGGTCCCAGCAACAAGGGCTCCCCCCGGGGGTTACCGCAATAGCGTCATCGCCGTCGCAGCAGCAGGGACTGCCGCCTGGTGTCACAGCGATGGGGCAGCACCAGCAGCAGCAAGGGCTGCCTCCTGGGGTAACCCAATTGGCTCGACAGAACAGCTTGCCTCCTGGTGTGACCCAGCTCAGCCAGCAGCATAGCTTGCCGCCTGGTGTTACGGCTCTGGCGCCGCAACCACAAGTGTTGCCGCCTGGAGTGGCGGCGATGGGACCGCTGCCGCCACAACCGCATGGGCCACCCCCGGGAGTAACACAATTAATGCCTCAGCAACAGGCGTTACCGCCAGGCGTAACAGCAACGGGCCCGCAGCAGCAGTACGGACCACCGCCGGGCGTCAGCAGCCCAGCAGCCCAGGCGGCTGCGGCGCAGGCACTCCAGCGCACTGCCAGCATGGGCGTGCCTCCTGGCGTACAGCGACTGTCGCCGGAACCCTCCACGCCGTCTGTAGCATCTCCCTTTCAAGGTGCGGCTCCGTTGCCCTTCATGCTCTTTGGTGGAGGGGTTGCTAGGGTACATGTACGGATGCGATCTTGGCTCGCTGGAAAGTGCGCTCTTTTCTGGAACTTACAGTTATTCTCTCTCAACCTGAACCCTTGCAGACTTAGTGCGCAGTCCGACGCCTACCGGCTCGGCCACGCACTCCAGCCATACCCCGCATTCTCAGCATGGGACCCCAAGCGGCCCCCACAGCGCCGGTACGACGCTGTCATGGGGCGAGATTTCGCTTTCCCCGCAAGTGCCCATTGAAACGTTAAAGGAGTCCCTCAAGGAATCGCTGGTAAAGCCCCTCCAGGTGCGGAAAGATTGACTTGGGGACGCTATGGGTGCATGTTTAAACCCAGCGCATCGCTTGCTACGACTGTCCTTATCCGTACATGCCCATCGTCATTCATCCCACTCACCCTTCCAGCTTGATTCTTGAATCCTAAAACAGGAGGAGCTCGAGAAGATGGGAAAGCAAATGACCGAGTCCAGGTCAGCATACGACAGAGAAATCTCCGGCGTCAGATCCGAACACGAGCGGCAGCTACTAGAGGCACGCTCCGCATGCGAGAAGCAACTCGCCGACGTCCGCACCGCTGCAGAGCGGCAGCTAGAGGAGGCCCGCAGCACCCACCGCAAGCAGATGGAAGAGGCGCATGTGCAGCACATGCGGGAGCTGGAGGAGGTGAAGCGCCGACTGGAGCGCCATGCTGAGGAGTCTCGGGCGCTGCAGGAGCGGCAGCTGGCGGAGGCGCGGTCGCAGCGGGACAAGGCAGTGGAGGATGCGCGGGTGGCGCAGCTCAAGGCGCTGGAAGACGCGCGGGCGCAGCACCAGAAGGCCATGGAGGACACGCGGGTGCTGCACGAGAAGTTGTTGGCGGAGACGCAGGGCGTGCATGCCAAGCAGGTGGGATGTGGTGCCGGGGGCCAGGCGAAAAGGATGTGGCGAAGGGATTCATGCGCATGAAGTGCCTTGCTTCCTGGCCACATGCCTGCCCTTCGCTTTCCTACTTGAGCCTAAGAGTAGGAACCCGACCCGCTGCCGTACAGATGGCCGACATGAAGAACGCCTACGAGGCGGAGCTGCGGCGCGCCATAGTGGACATCGGCCGGGCGGTGGAGGACGCGCGGCGCACCTCTGAGGAGGCGAGGCGGCAAGAGGGCGAGGCGAGGCGCGCAAAGGTCCGTCTATATCCCACAGCGGGCCGGGCTTTTTGTTACTGTTCTTAACAGTTACGGGGCCATACGGCGTAGTTGTCGCCGTGGCAAGCTCAGCTGGCTCGGTAGCGCCCCCTCGCGTGCGGGTGTGTGGTCCCTTTACTGAACCCGCGCTTTCCTCCCTAACCTCCCTATTTTAGGAGGAGTCGGTTGCGCTGCGCGACCGCATCCTAGCACTGGAGACGGAGCTGCGTGCGCGTGACGCGGCGCTGCGGGAGTCGGAGTCGCGGCTGGTGCAGCAGGAGACGCGCAGCAAGACGGAGCTGGCGGAGACGCAGGTGCGAAAAGGAAGACATAGGTAGCTGCCCAACCATACATGAGAATCAGCGGCTAGGTGCCATGTCCTTCATGCGTACCTGTTGAGTTCTTCGGACCTTATAGCCGCCGAACTCCCCGCGATCATGACTCGTGAGCCCTACAGGGCTTTTTCAGCCTCACCCTCACATCTGTTGTCATTGCAGCTGCTGTTTTTACCGTTTTCCTGCTGTGCTGTTGCTGCAGGCCAATGCCATCAAGGAGGCGGCGCTGCTGAAGCTAGAGCTGGAGGACGCCAAAGCATCCTTCACGCGAGTACGGCAACAGTACGATGAAGCGACCATGGCGCACGCTCAAGAGGTCGCACGCTACCGGGTGAGAATATGTGCATGTATGCGTTACACGTGCATATGTGGTCAGCGCGTTACGCGTTACCGCATACCCTTGCTGCCCGAAACCTTGCCATACGCGCTTCCCGAGCGGCTGACTGCATTACTGCCTGCACTGCTCGGCACTGTACTGCCCACGCCAGGCGGAGGTGGAGGCGTGCCGCGTGATGGCGGCGGAGGAGATCCAGCGCGCCAAGCTGGCGGCCGCCGAGCAGGTGGCGGCTGCGGAGGCGCGCGGGCGGCGTGCCGGCATGCTGGACAAGGAGATCGCGGAGGCCACCATCCGGCAGCAGCTGGCGGCCATTGCGGAGGAGAAGGAGGTGGTCTCGCGGCACCGACTCAGCGCTGAGCTGCTGGCTCAGCTGACGGAGAAGGTACGGCGCGGGGTGGGCAGGCTGCTAGAGAAAGAACAAGTAGACGCGAAGGGATACAGGCGTCGGGATAGTGCACCAGGTGGCCAGCGGCGTCCATTACTAAGAACCCTGCACCCTCGCTGCCATTGCCCTCAGGTCCGCTCCGTGGCCGTGAGCTCCATTGAGCGTGAGGAGCGCGCGCTGTCCGCTCTGGAGCGCGATGTGGCGGACCGTGAGGGCCGGCTGGCGGCGCGGGAGAAGCTGCTGGGCGAGCGTGAGGGGCGAGTGGCGAATCGCGAGCGGGAGGTGGATGCGCTGCGGGCGGACCTGCAGGTAGGCTGATTAGTAGGATAATACACCCTTGCAGGTTCCGTGCATGCCTTTTCTGGGCGTTGCGCGCATTCGCTCCTGCTGGCCGGTGTGTGTATTGCGCGGATGTCCTCCACTGTGTCAGTCCTTCAAAGCCGCTACCAGTCTGTGGCCTACGCTATCGCATAAAGTGCAGCTAGAATGCGTTATACCAGGTTCACCAATGCTTCCTAACATTCCCACGCCACAGAACTTGATGGTCACGCTGGAGAGCAGCGCCGTACACGACCGCGAGGATCTCAAGCGCGAGCAGCTGCGGCTGTCACGCGAGGCGGCGCGAGTGGAGGCCGCCACCAACTCCATGCAGGTGAGGCAGCTCCGCTTGGAGAGCTGCAGACCGGCGTCGCCCTTGGGATATCCTGCCGTGCGGTTTGGTATACCTGGGAGACCGAGGCATCGGAGACCAGTCTGCTACCTCGCAGCTCTCCTTGTACGCATAGTTGCTTGCTACGTTACTTTGCAGTGACATCGTGCCAATCCTGATTATGCTATCCTGCAGGCCGAGCGCGAGGACCTCCGAGTGCAGGTTGGTGTGTGTCCATGCGTTAATGAAAGCTACATGTTATGTAGTATGGTAACCGTGCTGATAGCCATGTCGTTTGGTATGACACTACCACCTTGTTCCTTCCTCTCCCTAGATTTTCCCCATCTCCTAGCAAGACCTGTTGCGCCTAGCACGCCTCTCACGCTCCTCCCCAACCCCGAATCCGGACCCAATAGCACGGCCCCCATCCTCTTCTTCCAGATCGCCATGGAGCGGCGGCTGCTGGATGAGGCTCGTGAGGCGCGGCGGCGCGAGCGCGAGGAGCTGCTGACGGAGGTGAGCACCGAGCGGCGCCGACTGGCCGCGGAGTACTCCGACACGCAACGGCAGCTGGACGCGGCCAGATCAGAGCTGCTGGCCATTCGCAGCAGGTATGTTGCGCTTGGGATCCGTAACATGCGGGGCGAATGCTAACAACTGTACACCATAGGGAGTGGACGTTACACTGATTTGGTTCAGTTGGTCGCAATTAAGGGAGTTGACCTGTTTCCTATACGGTCTCTACACCACTGTGATGTGTTTCATTCCCCTGTCCCCTTTCCGCACCCACTTAGGCTGGTGGACCTGGAGAGCCGCAGCAGCACCGCAGCAGCCCATGCTTCCGAGGAGGAACGCAAACTGGAGGCCCTGCGCTCCGAGGTCACTACCACGCGGCAGACGCTGGAAGCAGAAGTCACGCAGACGCGGCAGACGCTCACCGCGGAGGTTGCACAGGCGCGGCAGGCTCTTGAGGCGGAGGTTATGCAGACGCGGCAGACGCTGTATGCCGAGGTGACGGAGACGCGGCAGGCGCTGGCGACGGAGGTTGCGGACACGCGGCAGGCGCTGAATGATGAGGTCGAGGAGGCGCGGGCGGCGCTCCAGACGGAAGCGTACGAGGCTCGGGAAGCCCTCCGAGCGTCACAGGAGGCTTTGTTGGTAAGCGGGGTGACGGATGGGGCTGGAGTCAAGTGGATTGAGATTTTGGATGGAACCATGTCAGGCTTGAAACTGTTTGGGCCGTCGGTCCTCTGTCATACCGGTGCTAAGCGGTGCTGAACCTCATATGTCGCAGGAGGAGAAGGCCCGTATGGAGATTGAGGCACGTGAGCTGCTCGAGTACGCCGCCAAGCTGCAGGTGGGCTGCGGCTTGTACGGCAGCCGTTGCAAGGGGTGTAAGCTCCCGCTTCCCCTCTTTCACCGGCATGCTGCCTTTACCTTCCTTCAAGTTCAGCTCGTGCATGAAGCGCGTTTCTCCACACCTCCATGACACCCCTCTCCTCGCCTCCATAGGCCCAATCTGCGGAGCTGGCGGCTCAGGCGGAGGAGGCGGAGGCGCAGTCGGGCAAGCTGACCTCGGAGCGGGAGGGCCTGGCGGTGGACCAGGCGTCCCTGCGCACCATGCAGCTGCAGCTTGAGGAGCAGCGGCGCCTGCTGGAAGGCCTCAAGAAGGTGAAATGGAGTCCCCGCAGGATAAGGTGTACGGCTACCTTCCTACCTGAAAGAAGTGTGGGAATCCGCGTGTGTTGCCGATATGCGTGAGAAAGCCCCGGTGGTGTCAACATGCGGCGTCTGGGCTTTAGTCCTAACCTTGGTAGCCCGCCCTTACCCTTGTGCACGACACCTGCATGCAGACCCTAGACAAGGAGCGCATGGCGCTTGCGGAGGAGCGGCACGGCCTGTCGGAGGAGCGTCTTGCAGCCTCACGCGTCGCAGATGAGGCCCGCGCTGCTCAAGTCCGGCTAGCGGAGGCGGTTCGAGCCTACGTGCAGCAGGGCATTCCCATTCCCTTCGTCATGGATGGCTCGTCAGGGCTACTCAAGCCGCTCCCACCGGGACAGCCGCCTCCCTCCTCTCCGGACAAGCTGCATGGCAGCAGCAGACAGCGACGGGGGCCACGCGCCGGCGGCAGTCGCAGCCGTAACGCCCTGCGGCACTTATTGGACCGGTTGGGAGTGGATGCAGTGGCAGCGATGACGGCTGCCGGGGGCTCCCCGACGAGCCCCATGGGCGGCAGGACCATGGGTAGAGGGTCTGCGGGCGGCGCATTGGATGCTAATGGTGGTGGCGGCGGCGGCAGCAACAGCAGTTACGTGCGGGCACAGCGGGAGTTCTTGGAGAAGATGCGGTTGTCGGCGCCGGCAGGGATTGCAGGTGGGGATCGAGTATGGGTTTATGGCTGTCTGTAGTGTACCTCTGCTGCATGACTCCTTTGTTCTTCTCGGGGCAGCGCTGCTCACTTATCAATGCCTGCCCTCCAAACTTGCTACCCGCGCAACCTCCATCGCAGGGTTGCCGTCCCCATCTCCTGCCGGTCCCAAGCTCACTCCCCTCTACGCCGCCCGTACCACAGCCACCTCGCCCGTGCCTGCCGGCCTTGATCCCGCCCTGCTGCCTCCTAGCATGGCTGCAGCGCACGTCCGCAGTACCTCCGTCACACCCGTCAAGCATGAGCACCTTATCACCACCCATCTGGCAGCCCCGCTCGCCGCATACGAGAGTGAACGGCCCACGCCGTCCGCCGCGGCCGCCTTTGAGGGCAGCCCGGTGGCAGGGGCCTCCGGCAATTCCACCCGCAGGAGGAGGAAGGGCGCAGCGGAACTTGCCTCCTTGTTGTTCCTCCAAGGCGGGGATGAAGCTGGCGGCGGCATGGGGTACCTGCAGTCGGAGGACGAGGAGCGGGAAGAGCAGGCGTCACCTGACGGCACTCGGGACGCAATTCAGCAGCTGCTGCAGACGATACAGCTAGCAGTTAACAAGACCTCTGGTGCCGCTGGCAGTGCGCCAAAGCCGCCACGGCGCCCGCAACAACAACAACTCCTCGGGGACTCACTGGAAGCTATGGCTACGGGAACCGCCATGGCAGGTGCAGCGCAACCGCAATCTCAACCACAGCCACAGTCCCGGCCGCCAAATGGTGGAGCCAACAGGGCCCGAGTCAACGGGGAAGGAGGCGAGGAACGTGTGGCCGCACCTGCAGCTGTACCAGGGAATGGACGTCAGGGTGCACACGTGGCGTCGCCCTTTACGGCTGGCCTCGAGGGAGAGCGGCCGCAACAGCCCGGAGCGGCGATGCAGGTAGGCAGCCCGAAATCCTGGGTCGTTTTTATGGTGCGGTCTAACCAACTTGTATCAACGGCAATTGCCGCGCCCCACCACCGTTTTATTGTCGCTGACTCTTCTCGTCTCGCTCTGCCTCTCCTCCTCGCAGGCTCCCCTGGAGCCCGTCTTCTCAGAGATTGCCTCGCCGGTGCCGCTCAGCTCCTCGTCATCTTCCATGGGCTTTGGAGACGCCGACCCAACAGATCCGCTGGCCGCGCTGGGCTCCCGCCTCGGCCTCGCCGCCCTGGCGCAGGAGCTTAGCAGCTCTATGGGCCATGCCGGCGGGATCATGGCCCCGCCAGCCAGCCGCCTCGGTGGCACCAACGTAGGCGCCAGCGCTGGCAGCGATGCGCTCGGTGGCCTCCTGCCGTCACGGCAGCGGCAGCTGGGCGAGCTGGCGGCCATGAGTGATGCCCTGGCGGCGCGCTTGGAGGAGCTAGGGCTAGCGCACCTCAGCGTGAGTGGTTCGCAGGCTGGCGACGGCGGCGGCACCAGTGTTGCCACATCCTCGGTGTTGAGTCCAGGTGCTGGCGGTGGCGGCGGTGGCTTTATGGCAGGCTTTGGCGGCGGTGCTGGCACCAACGTGTCACGGCAGCCGTCAACGCAGACGCCGCTGCAACTGTCGACGTCTGCGGGAGCACCGACAGGTGGCCGGGGGCTGCTATGGAACATGACTGGCGGCCGGGGTGGGAGTGGCGATGGAAGGGGCACCGCTGACGGCAGTATCAGTGGAGGCGTCGGCACGCTGACATCACTTGGCGGGGGCGTGGTGGGCAGTGGCCTCAACTCTGCGATGCGCAGTGCGGCAGATACCCCGCTGCTCGGCTCGGCCAACGCCGAGGCGCTTGCGGGCATGACACTACCGCAGCAGGTGAGCCAGGAGGACCGTAGCGAATGTGCAGAGAGGGTGAACATGTTATCGGAGCCGCTGTGTCTGGTCCAAACCGTGCGTTGCTTGTGTTGTATAGGCCTCCTACATGCCTACCGTATGCTACATGTCAACCACGCCCGCAATCGGTGTCCCTTCCTGCAGGCGGCCCTAGGCAGCAGCTCCAGCGAGCAAGATGGCAGCCAAGGACGCCACACGGAGGGCGGCGCCTTGTCACCCATCACCTCAGTCAACTCCATCAGCGACGATGATTCTGACGACGGGGGCGTGGGAGCGTTGCTACCATAAGCACGAACGACGGTCATTCAATCATGCAAGTCGAGCCTGTGTGCGGCTTAGGTACTTTGTTGGCTTTTCTGGGGAGCGGAAGTGTTCGTGCCGTAGTTGCAAGTATGTTCGCACATTACTTGAGGGGCATGCAGGCCGTGTACGATGAAAGGTTTTACACCAGTCCGTTTGCAGGTGTTGCTCGTGATAGCGATATTGACCAACTGAATGAGTCATATACAGGGGCGGGACTAACTGATTGGATGTTATATAGTTTGGCACGTGTCGGCCCATGCGTACATAATAGGGGATGTGTGTATATTCAGAACATTGCTGCTCCCAAGAGACTACTTTGCTCGTGCGCCCTGTAACATGGCTATCAGGGATTGCTTATGCCCATATCCGTATGTGGTACTTGCATTACAGTACAGCACTACAGTACTTGCATTACATCGTGTTCAGGACATTGGAAGTCCGGCTCGAAGTAACAAGAGGAAACAGTCAGAATGCACTGTCGTAGGTCACAATCTGCAAGTCGTTATGTCTAAAGCCCAGGACAATGACGTTCGGCGTTATTGTTCTGCAGCGACTCAGCCATCATGACATGATCAGCGCCAGTCTGCCACTTGGCCATGACGCCTTTTCTAGGACGACCTGGGGAGCTTCCCAGGTCCCTCGCCTTCCTATGCAATTGGCGTCTATCAGTACAAGAAGGCCCCACAAGTCATATGCCAACGCAGAGCACTAGGCATAACAGTCAGAAGTGAATAAATGCAGCGATTACCCTTGGGTCCAAGCACCCGTTTGGCTACCGAAACGACACCCGAACCATTGCAAGGAACATTTTCCGTGCCGCTCGCATCACAGGTATCGTGGAAACCAGGTACCCGCACATTGACACGGACAGGACGCCGTCGGCTCCGGGTCCGATGGATATCCAACGAAAGGCCATAAGAGCACCCCCAGCACACACCGTTGCCGACAGGTCCGCAAAACCCTTGGCACTGCATGTAGGGCTCAACCCTGCTCCTCTCAACCCGTCACCTCTCCAGCCGCGAGCCAGAAGGTTACAGGCGCCAACCGTGCGCCAAAGCCTGCACACTATGCTTTTCACCCGCAAGTTTACTTTTACACCTTGGCTTTCAATCCAGCATCACATGCATTTCTACTCCACCTGCCCATGCTCGAGATAGAAAGGGACCCAGCTCAAGCCCCAAGCACTGCACACCACGGTACTAAGGCCCATCTCGCCAGACAATACTACCTTCCCCAAGGCCCTATGGCGGCTTCCACAGCGCTAACCCAAAGCGGCAACCCCCATGCCCCCATGCGTTTACCTAATCCCCATGCGTATAAGGGGCGCAACTTCCACTGCCACAACAACGGCACGATACGCCCGATTTAAACCCATTTCTCTGGATGGAAGACCGTTAAGGGTAAAGGACCAATGCGGTTCTTTCAATGTCTTGTTCGTTAGCGCATCCCCAGGTTAGCCAAATGCGCCGCAAACCCTTGCCCAGCCAGTCGTCAAGTACAAAAAGAGTGGTAAACGCAGTCGGCACGTCTGGGGTTCCGCGAAGGACACAAATGGGTTGCCTTTGCCTCCCACTCCAGCAATGCCGCTATGATCCACCAGGCATGGGAGTGAAGGCGACATCTTCACAGCCCAGTCCCGCAAGCGCCCAGTCCACGTCGCCCGGTTCACTGGTCACTTGCTGCTGCGAAAGAAGCTAAGCGCCTGCAGACAAAGCAAGCGTCGCTGCTGCCTGCGCACATAACGCCATGCAAGACGCCTCCGCAGCCGCCGCTTGGACAATGCGGCGCAAAAGCGACGCTGCTTCCTTACGCGAAGTAGGAGCCCGGGCCCGGTGTTTCGCTGTTTGTGTTCTTGCCCCTCTGTGGTGGAAACAGAGCGCATACGGGCGCAAGACTTAGGGTCTATACACAGTGAGGTTGCCCTGGACAGCAAATTTCGGTACGCAAGCAAAAAGAGCAGGCCGGAGGCCGGCTCCAAGTGCAGTCCCCTTGGGCGACCCTAGGCTATAAAGGTTAATGCCATGTTAATCGCTTCCACCCACCTTTTGCGTCCCGAACCCCCAGCTAGGCGCGCTCGTCTTAACAGACAACCGTTGTGCGCCGATGCTGGATACGAACTGCGACGTTACAGGTCCTGGCGAGTTCTCGCCAAAGCCGCTCTTCTCGTGCTCCTTGGAAATGAAGATCTGCAGTTGCGGCAATAGCAAAGCAGCATAACATTTGTTACGGAATGAAAGCATGTAACGGAACCATCTCCAAAACGTGAGCGGACGTAAAAGGCGGCGCAGCGCAAGTGCTGCCGTGGGCTTCGTACGGCGTATTCCTTGCGTTGTGCCACACAGAGCGACGCAACACCCTTAACAAATTTCTTCGGCCCAGGCGCGCTTGCAAGTCGCTAAGCAACCAAAGCCCCACGCCACTCTTCCACGCTGACCTTCTTGAATGCGTCTCGCTGACCCGTCCCGATCTTGGGTGATGGTAGTGTCTTCTTCTGGCTCAACGTTTGCGTCCCAATTGCTCCGTACGTCTTGTAGGTCCCTGCACCTGGCACGTCACGTGATGGCGAGCGGTCCTTGAAGCGCCCCTCCGTGCCCTGGCGCCACGTTGGCGCTGTCGTGTGCTTCGAGTCGACCATGCGGCCAATGGCGCCTGGCTGCTTGTAGACGTTGGGTCCTGGCGACTCACGGCCGCCCACTGTCTTCATGAGCTCCTCATCAAGCCATACCTGTGCACAAGGATGCGGAGATGGACGCAAACATACATGATGAAAGCATGTTGTGTAGGCATGGTTTTAAGCACATGGGTTTCGCCTTGGAGCATCCCAGCGAAGACTACATGAAGTGTTCCTTGGTAGATACAAGCCGCAAGGGAAAGCAAATGTGCCCATTCGTCGAGTGTCAACCCCGACACATGCCCGGAATTCAACGTACAAACACACCACAGTAATAGCCCTTAAGAAACAGTAGGGCGGCTCTCATAAGGGCCCAACCTAGCGTTGCGTCTAGTCGGGTGCCATCAGCACCTACATACCTTGCTTTGTTGGTCCCGCGTTGCGCTTCCAAAGACAGCCCGAGGGGAGGTGGAGCGTTTGGACTCCTTCATGATGCCCAGTCCAGGCTCCACCTCATACGCGCCTGTCAGGATACATCATGCAGGCGACCGCTGTGTAAATGGATCTCAACCAAGCCGTACAGGGGCGAACACGTGGCGTACGGCAATACCCAACTAGCGGTGGAAGCTGGCAAGCAGCATTTATATGGTGCTTTGCTTAAGGTTGGGAGCGAGGAAAGCAAGAGCTGGGCCCCGCAGCATACCTGGCCCTGGCGCCCGGTTTCGTGCAGCTTTCGTGCGGTCTGATGATCCAAAGCCGGGTGCGCTCGATGAAAAATACTTGGATTCCGGCTGAGGACCTATAGCCGACTGCGCGGGGGAAATGAAAGACGTCGTCAGGGTAACGACCAACAATTGATGGAAAATTTCGCCCGCCAGCTAACTTACATAGGTCTTGTACACCGGGCCTTGCGAGTTGCTGCCGGGAAGTGCCTTGGTTTGTTCTTTTGAGAGATAGAGCTGCGGACAAGGTTGTGGTGGGAGAGCGCTTAGACGTTGCAGCAAGGCCTTGTAACCGGTCTAGAGCTGCGGCTTACCTTATTCGTTGTATCCCGATGCTGCGTGCCAAAGCCCCACTCCGGTAGCGTTTCATTCTGGCTCTTCACTTGTCTCCCGAAGCCCGAGCGCAGCATTCTGGACACATTGAGAACCATGCGGGCTGCTTTGGTGACCCACCGCAAGCTCAAGATGGAATGGTATCCTTCATAATACTTTTTAGTCCCGCACGTGCGACAAGCTTAGGCATACCGGGTTGAGGGGTCCTCACGAGTGCCCATGGTCGAGTGTTACCGTCCGGCCCGCCGGTTAGGAGGTGGATGACAAGGAGCTTTGGCTCAAGAACGTCCTGACTGGTGTCTAATTGAAAGCGAGGCTTGCTCGGCTTGCACCTAATCCTTTCGTGCGAGGAGAGACGCAGCTGTATACAATATTGTATTGCCCAAATGGATAACAGTGACTGTGATGTAGAGCTGGGATTGAGCTACAGAAATCCTTTGCGCCATCCACTGTGTCTTAGACAAAATGTACGGCATGCCGGCCGGCCTCATCGTTGATACCCTGACTACCAAACGCAACATGCACTATGAAGAGAGATGAACATCACCCCTGACTAACCTTCTGGTTTTAAGCTTGTGTGTCTTCTGCTATTGTCGTGCGTTTGCGACGTGCTGGCTTGCCTGAAGTCGCATAAGTTTGGTTTATCTATTCTGTCAAGAGAGCACTCTCTTGAATGTGCTCATGCGGCTTCAGCGCCGCTCCGGCGGTTGTCTGCTCTGAATAGCATCCTTGTGTGGGCTTAAAGAGGGAAAACCGACCGTAACGTTCGGACTGTTTCGTGCTGTTGCGATGGCGAAGGATGGCTGTTACGGGAGATCGCGTATCGCTGCATCGCATAGTCGTGCACATCAGACTCTACCCATCCTACAACAACGTACCCTTCCCAAGAGGTTGGGTTTTCTGCGTAATGAGCATGTATAGACGCCAGCTGCGGGAGTTCCCAAGCCGGGGCACGAATGTGTATGGGACTAACGACTGCATGTACATGTGTGGGACTAACCTATGGAGCTTATCCATACCTCACCAAAAGGGATGGGACTGTAACATTGTATTAAATGTCTACATAGAAACCACTTCGCACACCCCTTCAACACTGTAGTCGCCAGCCAAAGTAGCTATAGTTTGCTTGGGGATATGGGACCGACACTCAAGTTCGTGCACACCACCTGCTACGGGTAAAACCTGCTAAATTTGGCGTTCCATGCCCGGTACAATCTTGCCCAGTACGCAACCGATATGCATTATGCAAGGGACTAGAACCAAAGGATCCATTACTGTAACCAAGGTTTTACCCAGGGGACAGGACCAGAGCCTCAAACCTGCTCCCGTCGAAATGAACAGGGCAAGGCAGTCTCGAATACACACATCCACCGCTTCCACCGCAATGTAAGGCGTTGCATACCAAGTAACGCGCAAACCGCCGCTGCAGTTACGCACTGACACGGCTGTAAAGAGCCATACATTGCAGCCCTTGCCTGCGGCACGCAACACTGGAAGTCTCTACACCATCGCCAAAGCAGACTCCTCATAAAGAAAACGGTGCATGTTACCGCCACGAAGCTAATATTGGCTTGCTCGTTGCAGCTGCCGCATGCAACCTGGAGAACGAAAACGCCAGGACTATGTACACCATGCCCAGCCCGCATTTCCCGGGCGACTCCCCGCCCTTCGCAAGCGCCGTAACCCATCCATTAGGAATTGAGACAGCACTGTTCAGTGCGCCAGCTTAATAGAACTCCCAGCCCCAGTGTAAACCGGGACCTACAAGTACAGTCCGCCGTATTACCAGCAATGCAAAGACCACAACCCGCATCACCAGTAGCAGTGATAATGTGATGCACACACCCAGCGTTTCCTCGTTCAGAGGAATCCTACCGGATGCGAAAAGCGCTGCCAGATACGATGAATCCAAACCCGTCTGGTGAAGTACGACATGTTACGATATCCCTCCAAGCAGCAGCAGCTGCGCTAGCGCCTGCGGATCTACCCCTCCGCCGCCGCCCATAAGACCACCCACGAGGCCTCCCGGGCCTGCTGCGGCAGCCGGTTGCTGCTGCTGCTGTTGTTCCTGCTGCTGCTGCGGCAGCTGGGGAGGTGGCGGGCGCTCCTGACGTTGCTCCTTCGCGCCGTCGACCTCGCTGGCGTTCGCAAAGTTGTACGCCGCACGTTGCATCAGCAACTGTAGAGGAGCATGGTCGTGTAAGGGGTACAAGTTACTTATCCGAGTTCAGGTGCATATACCCGTAGGGGAAATACGGATTGAGCGCTTGCAGCGGTTCAAGAACCGGACCGCTTGTCGCCACCCAGCTCCCCACCGTGCTGGCCCTGGCTACGGTAAGTCTGATAATTCCGGTGGGTCCGTTTGTTGTTTTGGCTTGACTACTTCGGGTGGAGCGGGATAGGCCGCCTATCTTGTTTGCACCCCATGGTGAAGCCTTGTCATATTTTCAGTTCCTTCCCTTTACCCCCCACCCCCACCCACCGTGTACGCCAGCTCCTCCAGCTTGCTGACTAGCGCCTGCGCCGCCGCCAGGTTCTGCGCACTCAGCACCACACGCAGCGTGCTACTCAGCTGCATCAGCGCCTCAGGCAAGCTCACAAGCAGCGCCCCGTACGCTCCGCCACCGCCACCGCCACCTCCCGCGGCCAAGCCGCCCGCGTTCCCTGGCCCCAGACCAGACCCGCCCGGCGGCGGCGCTGCAGCGCCAGCCGGCTCCGAACCAGCGTCGCCTGCCATGTCCGATCCAGCGCTGCCAGCAGCAGGCCCTCGAGACCCACTTACGCTCTGCTGCGGCTGTTGGAGTTGGTGCGAGGTCAGCGGCGGCAGCTTTGCTGGCGGCAGCTCGGTGTTTAAAGCAGCTGCTGCAGCTGCGGGAAGCGGCGTCCCGCCCAGGAGGCCTTGAAGGTTAGGGCCCGTCTCGTTGCGTCCGTTGGGCTGTTGTGGCCAGGAGGCGAGGGCGGCTTGAATCTGGGCAGCTAGGCCGTTCGGCAGTCCCGAAACCCCGGCGGGCTGCCGTCGCCCGTCACCTCTGCGACCATCATCGCTAGCGTCGCTTCCGCTGCTATCATTGCTCTGGCGCCGCCCCCCGTCAGGCCCGTCGCCCGCCCGCGACGGCGCAGAGGCGCGCCGCTCCTGGCGTCCGCGGCCCACTGCTTCATCCTCCCCCGCTTCTCTCCCTCCAGACCTTGCCCCCTTGCCTTGGCCATTCGCCGCGCCGCCGGCAGCGGCATCAGACCCGTTCCTGCCGCTATCGCTGCCGTCGCGGCCGTAATCGCCGCCGGTGTCGCCACTCCGCCTGCCGCCGCCGCCGCGGCTGCCACCGTAGCGAGGCGAGCCGCGGCTCCGCTGGTGCGCCAGTTGCTCGAGCGCCATGGCAGCCGTGTCCTCACCCTCGTCCGGCCCAGGATCCTCTGCAGCATTGTCGGGTCGGAGGACGGCAGCTATGAGCCAGGGTCTAGGGATAGCGAACCCAAGTGTGTTTTATTGAGACGGACCAAATCCAAGAACGTTATTCGCAATGTGACGTTTAACCCACTGGAAGACTTACCGGAGCTGTTGCCAGACGCCTCCCAGGTCCGCTTCGTGCCCCGGGGCCCCTCCTGTACAAGGGCGATAGCAGCATGCCTCGATATCGGACAAGTTTCTATGCCAGACGGACGAAACTTGGAAGGGGCAGGCCCAAGCAGAGAGGGATTTGGGTTGGAACCCGTTTAGGTCGGTTGATATGGATCGGGTCACCTAGGGCCACTTCAAGTACTCCCCAATCCCATCAGCTTACGCTGACCCTCCTGGCAACCCACGGTTACCGCCTACCTGGCGCGTGTCCTCGTTGTTACCGCGTCCGCCGCCACCATCACCGCCGGGTCCGTTGTACAGCGCAAAAGCGCCTCCACCGAGGCCAGGACCCAGACGCGCGAGCCGCTCCTGGTCAGAGGCAGCACCTGCTGGCGCGCCCCCAGGCCCCAAGCCTGCGGCTGCGAGGGCTCGGCTGCGAGGGCTGGGCCCCGCCGGCGGCTGCATCAGCATCATCAGCGGCTGCTGGAGCCCCTGAGGCAGGCCTGCAGGCGGAGCCAGGGGGGCCAAGTGGCTTAAGAGGGGACGTGGGGAGAGTAGCTAATGGTGTGGGCTGTAAGAGGGTAAACTGCGGCATGTGGGTCGCGGAGAGAGGCCTAGCAAGAGGCGCCTGGGTGTCATACCTACAGCGGTTGGTATTGTTATGTGGATCCTGCCGCAGCATTGACACGTCCACAGCTCCACGCGCCAACACCCCATGCTTACGCGAAACCTAGGTGTTCCTGGTTGCAACCGGCCCGCAAGCTTACCTCCAACCCCTGGGCCTCCAGCCGGCCCACCCAGTCCGAACCCCAAGCTTAAGCCCAAGCCTCCAAGTCCGGCCGCTCCCATTCCTCCTGGTCCGAGACCGCCTGCCCCAAGCCCTCCGCCTATGTCGCGAAGGCCCAGTGGCAGCTGGCCCATGGGTCCAGCGCCGAGAGGTTGTCCTGCGCCAAACGGGCCCTGTGGACCCGCGCCGCCACCTGCCAGCAGCTGCGCAGTCGGTCCCAGTGGGCCGGCCCCGGGACCTTGGCCCAGGCCTAACCCCATGGGGCCGGGGCCGGGCCCCAGCGGCCAGCCTGCCAGGGAGGGTCCTCCGCCAGGGCCGCCGCGGCCCTCGCCCGGATTACGCTGTCCCATCATGCCAGCCACGTCAGCGACAGTTAGAACCGCGGCGGTTGGGTCGGTTCGCAGTTGATCCAGCATGCGGCTGTAGCGCTTCTTGAGAGTGCAATTCCAGCGGTTCTTGATGTGGTTATCAGTGCTACATGCAGGAAGGATGGGGGCGGGAGAGGAGAGGGGAGGGATGCATAAATGGCCTGGCGGAAAGAGGGAAGCGCAGCACTAGATCCGCTGCAGCGCATACAGTAACATGTGTACGTATAATGGGTGGAGCAGTGTGCAACCCAAGTTCCCACACCTACCGGCCGGGAAGGTGTTTGGCGATGAGGGCCCACTTATTGCCGTACTGGAGGTGGGCCCACAGGATGACGGCATCCTGCAGTTAGGAAAGTCAGAACCGGTAGGATGGCCGTCACACGGCGTGCGGTAAACCCCTTCCTAACCGACATGTTCGGCTAGCTTATCCCACCAGCTAGACATCACGGGCCACGTTTGCCACATTGGATACTTCATGCTCCTTTCATGCATATCCGTTAGAAGGAATTGTCCTCATTACCCAGGCGGATGAGCCGGCCAAGATTACCTCGTCAAAGGTAAATGGACCGCTCTTGACATCTGGACTCAGCTGGTTGAGCCACCTGCACAGTCCATTGGCGGTGGCAGAGGGTTAACGCCAGAAGCATGTTTAAGGCCTTGGGAGTGCCTGGCGTGCAAGCCGAGAGTCCCACCTCTCAGGGTGCGGTATAGAACAAGAGATATAAGCAGTACAGAAGGAAAAGCCACAGCGCTAAGCTGCAGAAGCGGGGGGACATCAAGGGGTGTGCAGCGCGCGCAGACTATTGCAAATGCCCCGATCACCCTATGCTGCTAAAACGGCACGCTGTGACATCAAAGGTGACAAGCATTTCGCTTTGGCGGAAGACTGTCGCCTTGAATTGCAGCTTGGTCGTTGCGCTAGACGTTGCCTTTCCACCCCAACGCCTCAACGTCCCAACGTCCCAAGCTATAGCAGGCAAAATTTGTGGACTCATTCTTTCCTTATCAAATAACGACCCTACAAGGCATACTGCCCTCGGGGACGTTGAGAGCTCGGTACTCACCTCAACCTGCAACTTTTCCCAGTCCTGCCCGGGATGCACTCCGCAATTTTCGTCCAGTTTTTGGGACCATGATGTATTACTAGGCCCCGTAAGATGTTGTCCTCTGCGGTAAATGCCCCTTGTCAAGTCTGGGTGTCGGTGCTGAAACCTCCGGGCAATAAGCGCACCTTCTGGTGTCCACGGCCCTTTGGTTGTGTCATCACCAACAGCATCGTCACCCATCTCATAAGCGGCATTGTAATCGATCGGAAGTTGTGGAAAGGCTAGTCCTTGCCCTGACATTTTTGCAAGCTAGATCGCAATGCTAATGTTATTACTGAGAAACTATAGTCGTCTGGCTACTAAACAAGGTAAGCAGGTGTCGTTTCGGTGCTGCAACGAACCCGAACGCACCTTGCCGTAGTCGGGAAGTCGGTTGAATCTTCCTCCCATGCCGGGTTACAGCCAACTTTGCCATCACTATCACGTTTAGGTACTATATAGTATATGCATAACAGTAATACGCATAGTACCGCGTGCGCAGACGATGTCATTGCTTGCAGCTGCGGTTGAAACTTGTCGGGACGTTCATAACCATTAATAGCCTGGAAACGCCTCATGCTGATTGCCAACTTCAATTAAAGGAAGCGTGCTTTCGGGCGGTGCCCACCGTGTGCAGCTGCTAAGTCGTTACCGTGTCGAGTGCCTAAGGTTTCTGTAGGATTGGCACGAGTGAAAAGGAACTGAGCTGCATTATTGGCACGTGTGTATGCGTGCACGTACAGGTCACAACCCAGAAGCTTACGTGCCACCACTGGCCACTCCTGCGTAGATACCCCTCCATAACTGCCAGTACTATTTTGCTCACAAGCCCGTACGTGCTGTACGGCAAAGGCACACAGCCAGGTTTCATCATACAGCTAGTCATTTGCGCTCATTTATCCAATTCTGAATGTCTGGTGCAAAGATGCGGCCTTCACGAAAGAACCCAGATTGGCAATCTATAAATAATCGAGCAGCCCAGTGCCTGTATCAGTACTGGAGCTTTCTGCTTACAACCGAATCTCGGCCCTTGCACTCATTACCCCTTCATAACCGTAACCTGTCTCAGCATCATTACCCCTTTATAACTGTAACCCGCCTCAGCATCATTACCCCTTTATAACTGTAACCCGCCTCAGCGTCAGTACCCCTTCAGAACTGTAACCCGTCTCAGCACGCAATGGTCATTGGCCTGTCTTCAGTTCCGCTACAACCCACCAACCCTCATCTCCCAACTGCTGCAGCTTGCTATCTCCTCTCCATCTTCTCCCCTTCATCAAGAACCAGCACCCTCCTCACCCACGCAACCATCACAACAACAACGCTACCAATCCTCTCCCCACCCTCCTCTTCCCGGATGCCTGAGTACTGCTGCCCCTGCTGCTGCCTACTGCCCTGCTGCCTACAGCTCAGCGAGTGAGCTCCGTACGCACGAACTTGTACGCGTGCGACCACTGCGGCTGGCACAGGTCCAGCGGCGTGCGCCCCTGCGCGTTGGTGGCCTGCCGGTCGCCCCCCGCGGCCAGCAGCGCCCTCACCACCTCCACATGGCCCCGCATGGCGGCCCAGTGCAGGGCCGTGTTGTCGCCCTGAGGCATAGGGTGGGGAGGGAAGAAGAAACACCATGCGTTGAGTGAAGGTGGCATACAAGGCGACCAGCTTCCGATGAATGGAGTTAGTCGTGCTTAACATGCGAGACGGAGGGTGGGAGGGGAGGGGAAGGTTGCCTTAGCGCTCATTTGGGAGCCCCGTGGAGAGGAGCAGCGGTCTGGGGATCGGTCCTAGGAGGACACAACGTTTATGCATGTGGGCCATCAAGGCAATGAAGGTGTCGGGCGTTCGTCTCCACCTGCCCCACCCGCAGGGATTCACGCCTGTTCCCACCCCACCCGGTCGGTCACTCTGCCTCCCACCCCCCACCAGATCTACTGCGTTCACGTCTGCGCCCCGCTCCAACAGGTAGCGCACAGTGTGCAGGTGGCCGTTGTGCGCGGAGCGAATGAGCGCCGTCTCCTTCATCTGGGGCGGCCGGAGGGATAAGATGGATCGCAGGGACGGAGGCAGAGGCAGGGTGGGAGGATGCGAGGGTGCACGTCAGCGTAAAGTGGGGAACCCAGGAACCCCTTTGCTGGTGTCCTGCACCCGCTGATGCATCTGCTGGGATGTCCAGCGGAGCAGAACAGCGGTGGACAACGGGGCTGCTGCTTGGGGCTGGCGGAAGCGCACATGCCATCACAACAGTAGCAGCCTTCGAATCAGGGCCTCACCACGTTGCGCTGCTCGATGTCGGCGCCCTCATCCAACAGCAGCTTCACACATGCCTTGTGGCCTGTTGTATATGAGCCGTACACCATCACATGAGGGGAGAGCGTGGGGAGGAAGTAAGGAGAGGAGAGGGGTGCGGTGGTTGCGGTTTGCGGTAGATGATTGAAGGGGCTGTAAAGGAGCGTGAAGCTCACCCGCTTGCAGGTGAAATCCACCCCCTTCCCATTTGGGTCATACCCGTGAACCCGCCCCTCGTCGGCATTTGTACCTAGCCCCTCAGTCGCCCCTGCGCCAAACCTATGAATTCCCCTCAACTCCTTCTCTAGGAAAGCCCCTCTCACTGTATCACGCCGTCGCCTTCAAGCTGACACTATGACCAACACCAGCCCCTTGCACTAGCCCATCAGCCCATCAGCCTCCTCCCGTGTCGTACCGTTCCCTGCAGCCAGCACCAGAGGCGGGTCCCCGCAGTGGTCGGCCTCGTTGAGCGGTGCACCATCCAGGATGTGCTCCTTGACCCAGTCGTAGTAACCGTCCACACAGTCGCGCCAGATGTTGGACTTTTCGGGAATGAACTTCCCAGAGAGCAGGTCGAACGGCATGGTGGCGCAGCGGGTTGCAGCGCGCTATGCCAAGTGGTGTGCTGGTAATACCGGTAGGCTTCTTGATTGGCCAGGTGTGGTTAAGTCGATGGCTGTGCTGCGGATTGAGAACTAAGGATGGCTTGATGCCTATCTGGGATGTACTATGGCGGTTTGGGCTCAGGGTTTCGCAGGGAAGTTGTGTAGGGGCTAGCTAAGCGAAGGTTAAGGCGGGTAGCAAATAGAAGGAATGGTCGGCAGCGGTCAGCTCCCTCAGCTGGCTTCCTGCGCCCGACACATGAGCTCCGGTCGTGGAGGGCTACCTTGGAGGCCTCTCGGAGGGAGCAGCCGATGGAGCATGGGCACTGCCGAGAAGCATGACCCAGACAGGCAAGACCACATCTTGGAGGGGCCGACCGCGCACGCAGCCGCTTCAGGAGCGCGAGACGCAAAGAGATGAAAGGGAAGTATGCATGAGGGGGCTTACAAGAGACTTGACTTGCACGCTTCGCTCTTAAGTTGCGTGAGCAGCGCAAGCAGTACTCAATGGGTATGACCCGGGGGTCATTAAGGTCCGTAATAGTAAGGTAATAAGCTGGATAGCTCCAATAACGGTTAATTATATCTGCTCAAGCACCCAGGAGCTGTGCTGACATGTAAGCGGATGCCGGGACGGTTGACATTGGGGATTGGAATATATACGGGTCCGTGACACGACTCCTGTCAAGGCTGATGTGCCACGGTAAAAAGAATTATTAACTTATGTTCACTACTATACAAACGGCTTGAAAGGTACCGGAACACCCCTTAAGTAGCTAGTTACAGGTACACGCGCCAAATCCGTATGAACGACGCCTGGCGTAGCAGAGCCTTTCATTCAAGCCCTTTGTATACTAGTAGTTTAGGCTTATCCAAGGATCACCATAATCGCTCCAGTTCGAGACGCGCCTCAAGTTCTACTTGAATGCTCAAGTTTCTCCTTGCAGTGGTCAGCGGCGTACCTATTCGTTTTCATTGGGACTGTTGATGGATAGGATTAGCAACTCTTACTGGGCGACAAATCACCTCCTATTGGCATACGGTCTTTGATGGTGGCCCGCGCCGAGGGAGCGACCCCAGGCGTTGCTTCCCCTGACAGCGTGCCATTCGTGGCGCCGCGCATATATTTAGCCTCATCTGGGAATGGAGGCCAAGACAGTGCAGCCAGCAGCAGTAGCAGCAATTGCATGGCAAGCTGCGCCCCTTCCGGAGGAGCCCGAGCAAGGACTGGGGATATACAAGGCGGGAAGTTGCTGGCGTTGGTCGTGTTCGTCGGGCTGTCGCTGCTTAGCTACAAATACTTTCACAGCGGGGAACTGGAGCATTTCGTGCTCAAAATCCAGGTAGGTCGAAGGCGAACGTCCACCACTGCTAGCGCGGAACCCCTTCGTGCGCATTGAACCCTGGTATGGTCCTGAAAGCCGCGTGGCGTGTGGCCTCAGTTGCGCCGTTGGGAATAGTGGTGTACGGATTTTATGGGCGGAGTGGTTCGTCTGCGGTGCACGAACGTAGAGCAGATGCAGCTTTGCCCTGGCTGGGAGACGAGCAGACGACGATGCGGCTCGGACGTGTGGGGCTGGGGTCCTAACCTCCAGGCCTTGCGGAAAAAGAGCTGGGTATGCTGGGAACGCCCCACCTTGTTGAGTTGAGACCCCACCTGGACACGCGTGTCTGCCTTATTCCCGCACTTGGAGCACCCGCCCCCACCTGGCCGTTGCTCGCCTAAGACCTGGAATGCGGCCATTGTGGTGTCCTTCGCTCCTTCCCCGCCCCAGTCAACACCTCAACCTCCCTCTTTCCCGCCGCCCAGCCTCTTCAGCATGTTGATACTGGCACCTGCCTTCCACCTGCCCGTCCCCCACCTGCAAGCCGCCCTCCTCACCCGTCCGGCCCCCCTCTCCCTTCCCCCCGCCAGGCCAACCCGCTGGGCTCGCTGCACCTCTTCCTGCTCTTCCACATCGTGGCGGTGGTGCTGCTCTTCCCGGCCATGGTGCTGCAGGTGAGGGGGGAGAGAATGGAAGAGGAAAAAACATGCTTCGAACGGTTGGAGGGAGGGAGGACCAGGGCTGGGTCTGTAATTTGGGCTTTGGCCTAGAAGAGCTCTACGCCTGCTCGCTCTAGCTGCCGTGATGGCTTCGCGGGCGCCTGGGGTGGGCATTTGGCATGGCTTGGGTGTTGATTTACTTGCTGACTGGTAATGGGGTTGCGATGGAAGGACCTTAGACCCATGATGGGGAGGTTGGTAGGTTGGGGCATTTGGGTTGAAGCAGTGTATGGACTGCCGCCGCCCTTCGTGCATCTCCCTTTTCATGTGGGGAAAGCAAGATGAGCATGCATTGAGTGGAAGCACGGACAGCCCAGGCTTGCATCCGAGCAGAAGCCCCTGGCTAACATGTAGAAGCAAGGCGAAAGGAGCAGCAGCGGCATCGCTTACCCTTCCTTCTCCCCCCTCTTCCTTTCCAAGCATCAACTGCAATGCCCCAACAACCCCATTATCTCCATCCTCTTCCTTCCCTCCTTCCTCCCTGCTCCCTCCTATCAACCCTACCCTCCCTCCGCCCTCCTCCCTCCTCCGCCCCTACCTGCCCAGGCCATCACGGGTGCGCTGTACGGGCTGTACGCGGGGCTGCTGGTGTCCTGGCTGGCCTCCTCGGTGGGGCAGGCGCTGGCGTTCCTGCTGGGCCGCTACCTGTTCAGGGCCTCAGTCAAGGCGTACATGCTGCAGCGGGTGCCCAACTTCCCGCAGATAGTGAGTGGAAGGGGTAACAATGCTGGAATTAGTCGGAAGGGGAAGGGAACGAGGAGGGGATTAACGAGTTGGGGCGTGTTGGGCAGCGACGTGCAGGGATGGGTAGTGCTTTCGGGGAAAGAGGGAGCATGGATTGAGGGTATGTGGTTGCATCGTGGCACCGTGGCTGCATGTAACGGCCTGCATCCTTGACCCAAGGGGGCTGAGCTCGAACGCATGCCGTATGCGGTTTATATACGGTTCTACCTGGCCTCCTTTCTTCTCACATGGTATTATGCGCACCCCTTTGACAACACCACCGCAGGAGGCCGCGATCAAGAAGGAGGGCTGGAAGCTCATGTGTCTGCTGCGCCTCTCGCCCATCCTGCCGTACAATATCCTTAACTACGCCGCCGCGCTGACGCCCATCTCCTTCATCTCCTACTCGCTGTCCTCGGCGGCCGCCATCATTCCTTGGACCTGTCTCTATGTATACCTAGGTGAGGAAGGCCCGTGCTGGGTGTGCGATGTGGCGCCGACTACCGGTACTTGGGGACGAGGGCTTAGTCACACGCGTGTAAGCGTGTTCATTGCTTCACCTCGTCATGCCTCTCTCCTCCTTCCGAAGGTCTTAAGTCTCATGGCGTCACGGGCCTTACCTTTGCGTTGTTGATCATGGTTTGCCGCAGGTACCTTGTCCACGAGCGTAGTAGCGGAGCTAGCTCGTGGCAAGTTTGTCACGCAGTATCACTACAAGCGGGTTAATGGAGGAGACGGAGGTGCGGACGACGAAGTCACGACGACAGGTCGCAACCCGCACATGCTGCTCAGTTCTACATTGTACATGGCGCTGTTGACGGTTACTATTGTGTATGGGTATGTGCTTAGTAAGCGTGCTATAACGTCCGTACTAAAATCGGTTGCGGACACGGGTGCGGGGTCGGGGCCGGAGGGCGGAGGGGGGGATGTGGAGATGGCGCCGGCGGGCAAGGGGTAGCGCTCGGAGGCTCGCGAAGGAACGGGAAAGGGGCGAGGGCATTCCGCTTCGGACAAAACGCTATATGTTAGCATCTGTAGTATGGCTCGTGTCGGTCGTGGAGAGGGGTATATGGTGAGGGCAAAGGGTTATGGAGTGGTGGAAGCACGAGTACTTTGGTTCAACGAGGGTACCTGACAGGTGTAGGGAGTGCACATAACCCGACATGCAACCCCAGGCTAGCATTAGCCAAGCGTGTGTGTTGTTGGTGACCAAGATACTCGTTACATAGTTAGGAGACATTGTTTTGGTACAGCTTCTTTACATCTTTGTAGGTGACGTGCAATAAGTGACCTTTTACCATGGTTTCCATGACGTGCGGACGTCGACCTGAGACCCTGAAGACTGACCAGTTGCTCCTTTAGCATGGAGAGGTTAGGGGCAAATGCGAGGGGTGTATGCAGGGAGGTACTTTCGGCTTATCAGCGGTCCGCACCCGCAGCAGCACACACAGTGGCAGCGGTGGAGGCGGACACTGTAGCGGCCTAGCACAGCAGCCGCGCTGTGTACATAGTGAGGAGACAGGTTTGATGCAGTGGGAACCGATGCAGACCGCCGACCTGAGGCGCTGACGGGTGGAGGCACATGGCTGTTGATAGCATGTGGAGGCCTGTCGACGCGGGAGTAGGCCAAAGTGGTGTTACGGTACATAGTAGCAGCAGGGGCGAGGACTGCGTTGACGGCTTAGGCTCGTGCTGGCCTGGTTGTTTTGCTGTGACAGGGTGGCTGCTACGGACGCAGCTACCAATGCATGTGCCTGGTTTCAGTCGTTCTGGGTGTTCTAACTAATGCCGTGTGACGCACATTGTGGGCGCACATGCGTGTTAGGAGCTCAATCGCTGGAAGGCGCTGTAGTGCTTAGCCAGTTTTGTGCAGGGCAGTCCACCAAGGCAGCAATTGGGGACCTTGCGCGATTTAAAGCAGGGTTTTGCGTTGTCGAGCAAACAGGAGACGTGCACGAGGTTTGTAGCAGCAAAGCAAGTATTACTCACAACTCGCCCCTGCCGTCCTGCCTGCCTTCATGATGCCCTGATGCTGTGCACGTTGCATTGAGATAGCGGGCGTGTCGGTGGCACGTGCCTTCCTCCCGAGAGCTGGATGACGCTAAGCTGCATCCGCAAGCGGCGGCCAGTGCCACTCTTAGTCAGCCCAGGTAAGCCATCAGCAGTGTAACAGCAGCAGCAGCTGATCATCCTCTTCTGCAGCAGGAGCAAGCTGAGTCGAACGGAAACCCACGTGTCTTGTTTTACTCCCCTGTGTTGCCTAACTCTTCCCATGTTGCGGAACGGTCTATTGACGTCTGCGCACGGGCCAACTAGGCTGCGCATGTTTGCCGGGCACGGCTTCTCGTCGCAGCCACCAGCCACGGAGTGTTGCACAATAGTTTCGGCAAGCATATCATATGACGCCGTGCCCTTTTTGCAACATGGAGAGCAGGGCATGTGACACGCGTGGGGTGTCATGTGGCACTATGACAACAAGGACTTGACCGCGGTAACAAGTCGGATTCGAAAAGAGCACAACCAAGCACATGCAACAGACAGATGGGGCGAAGGCATCCGCATATATGCACGCACAGAGGGCTACTCGCATTCCCATCAAGGTTGACAGGACAACAACCATCATTACAACACGTGCAGTGTTCCCACAGTCCGTGTACGACATGACAACCTGTTTCCATATGCCTCATGCGCACGCAGCATCCAACAACCTGCTAAGCACCACCATGCAAGGTCACCGCATCTCTTTTGCCAGCCCAGCTATCTCCTTTGGCTCGTTGCCCTGCTCTTTCCTAAGCTCCCCTTCGCAATCATATGATAACCCGCGCACCATAAAAAACTTACCGGTAGCATTCAGCAGTACCCTCACTTGATTTCCACCTCGGTCCTACCCTTTACACCATGTTCTATAGACCAGTGCCAAACTATGAAGTCGGATATCCGTCTACGACATCACGAAAAGCCCCAACTTGCTTCATAAACCACCCAATGTGTTTGATGGCTACCGGATCTGGCCGCTGTCCACGATCACGGCCTCCTCCTCGGGGCCCGCCGTGTTGTTGGGCTTGCCGCGGGCCAGCGCGTTGATCTTCTCCGCAACCTGGACGGGCAGCATGAAGCAGCAACATGGAGCAAGAGGTGGTGTGTGGTGGCCTGTGACGACAAGGGCTGTATCATAGTCTACATGGGTAATCTGGATAACATGGAGCATGCTCGCTATATTTCACTGACTTACAGCACCATCCATATTCATGTGCTGAGCCCCTGTCAAACTCCTCCACTGTCCATTCCCAGCATCCCCCCGCCATGCCACCACCCTTCACCTCAATCAACCACCCTGCCCCGCCCCACCCACCTCCAGACCCTCCACCACCTCCCCAAAGATGGTGTAGTGGCCGTCCAGGTGCGGCGCGGGCGCCATGAGGATGGAGAAGTGGCTGGTGTTGGTGTCGGGCCCCGCGTTGGCCATGGACAGCAGCCCCTTGCGGTCGTGCTTGAGCGCCAGGCCGCCCGGGTCGTCCTTGAAGGCGCCGCCGTATATGGACTCCGTGTTGGCGCCCGTCTGGTCGATGAACCTGAGGGGATGGAAGAGGAAGAGGGGGGCGAACAGGGTGAGGGCACAGGAATGCTTTGGGGCGTGCCGAACATATCCTATAAGTCCCTCGCGTGCTTTAACACGACAGGAAAAGCTGCTCGTGACAGGGTGGTGGAACCAGGGAGTTGAGCGCCGCTGGACAGCCAAGGCGCGGGGTGGTGACGTGGCACAACAACGTATAGTGGCGCGGTACGTTATAAATGGGCGTGCAGAGGTACGGGCGGAGAGGGCTGTGGGCCTCAGCTGGTATGAATGGCACCACCCCCACAAGGGTTCGTCTGCTCCGCCCGCTGCAGGACAGACAGGCCGCACCTGTCAATGATGCGGTAAAAGGTGGCGCCCTGCGGAACGGAGGAGGGCAGAGGAGGGTGGGCAGGCAGTAGTGAGCGGATAAGGAGCATTAGGAGTGGGGGAAGTAGGAGCATGCGTCGTCACGTCACGTAAGGGTCCCTTGATGTGCTTTACTTGCAGCGCTCAGCACGCCCGCTGGTGTCTACATAGTTGTGTTGGCGCCCTGACGCATCGTGTCCTGTCACATCCCGCGGCCAGCGCTCTCCACACTGCCTCACCTTGATGTGGTACGCCTTGCCGGCACCCTCGTGGCCCGGGGGAACGACACCCTTCTCGCCTGTGGCGGTTGGTGGTGGAAAACAGCCACAGAGAAGCAGCAGGGAGGTACAGGGTATCAGCATGTAGGGAAGCACCATCAGTCAAGAGCTCTTAAGGTCAGGGCAAGTCCCTCCGGAGTGTATGTACCCCGCCCCAATCCCAACGTTCCCACGGCAGTGGCGCCCAGCCCACATGGCGCCTGCCTGGCATGGACCCTGCTGGCATGGCTGAACGCACAGCATCTGGGGCGCTCTCCTTCGAGCCCGGTCACTCACCACTGCACTGCACCACATCACACACGGCCGTGCCCCTCTGCTGGCCTTTGCCTGTTCGTTGCACGCATCCCATTGCACCGTCGTCTTGCTCTTAGACAACGCTACAGTCGTCTTGCTCTTAGACAACGCTACTTCTCAGTGCGGTTCAGCTGACCGCTGCAGCCACAGCTCAGTGCCTGCTCGACCACTCGCGCCGGTTGTGTTGTCTTTGTTTTCTGCATTTGCATTCATGTTGTGTTGTGCTTGCGTTCGTCCTGTCTCACATGCCATCCTGCTTTGCCGTACATTTCGCACTTCGATCTAGGTCCATTTTGTCTCTAACTCTGTCCCCCTTTTCCTCGCTCTGGTTCATGTTCCTGCGCATGGCATTACTCGCATTACTGCAGCTGCTGGTACTGGTGCTGACTACGGCGCTTTTGCTCGCAGGTACGCAATGCGCGTTTGCACGCACGCATGCACAGCATTGTGGTGTCTCGTCTGCGTGACCAGAGCGGGGGCTCCCGGCGTCGAGTTGGTCAGCGGGCTAGGTACTCAGCAGTAATTAGTTTTTCCCGACACCATCAGCATCACCGACATGCGTCGTCAACCCGCCACTCTTCTTACATCCAGCACCCGCGTTTAAAGCAGTTATTGAGTTACGTTTCAGGTTTGTGAATCTCTGCTTTGCCTCTGTTTTGACTATACTCGCGGTTCACATGCGAACCTATCCCAACTGCTTGCTCTTGTTTCTACTCAACTACACACATTGCGTGGTCTACTTCCACGCGCAGGGGGCCTGTTTGAGCCGCGCTCGCTCTCCCCACTGCCATTTTGCTTTTGCTCCCTTCGCCTGTATCTCGCATTTCGGGTTGCTGAGCCTGCCTGGCCTCGCAGGACCGCACTGTGCCTCTACCGGGTGGACGGTAATCGCTGCCACCGCTCCTCTGGTCCCCTCTGCCGCCGCTGTTCCTATGTTTCCGCATCAGCAGCAGCCACTGCAACCACAGCAGCAGCCGTCGCTCCCTCTGTTGTCTCTTTTGGTTGCTCCGTGGCAGCACGAGCGGCACCGACGACAGAAACAGCAACAGCTCTGGGCCTCCGGACGCTTTGGGCTTTCGGACCTGCGCCGTCGCTTTCGTGGGCCGTGGCGTCTGTTTCAGCGGCGGCAGGGTTTGCGGACCTTAGGCTAGCGGGTTGGCTGGTGGTTATGCGGTTCACTGACGGTGGGTCGTGCCGTGGCAGTCTTAGGTTGCCCTTGTCGCGGTACGGCCCGGGGCACGGTGTGGTTGCGTGGTCGCGTGTTTTTGGGTTTTAGGTTGTCTCTTCTGCAGCCGGGCAGGCTGAGCAGGGTCGGGACTATATAGGCCGTCTCGTTTCGGTGGCGTACGGGCGTGGGGGATGGGCGGGTTTTGTTTGTGCATTTTTCGTCTCCCCTGTTTTTGTGGTCGTTGTGGTCGTTGGTTTTTGTCGTGGCGCTCGGTTGTTTCTTTTGGGGTTGTTGTGGCCCTGCCGCCTTGCCTTGCCCTGTTGCATGTCAGCATCTGGGGCGCTCTCCTTCGAGCCCGGTCACTCACCACTGCACTGCACCACATCACACACGGCCGTGCCCCTCTGCTGGCCTTTGCCTGTTCGTTGCACGCATCCCATTGCACCGTCGTCTTGCTCTTAGACAACGCTACAGTCGTCTTGCTCTTAGACAACGCTACTTCTCAGTGCGGTTCAGCTGACCGCTGCAGCCACAGCTCAGTGCCTGCTCGACCACTCGCGCCGGTTGTGTTGTCTTTGTTTTCTGCATTTGCATTCATGTTGTGTTGTGCTTGCGTTCGTCCTGTCTCACATGCCATCCTGCTTTGCCGTACATTTCGCACTTCGATCTAGGTCCATTTTGTCTCTAACTCTGTCCCCCTTTTCCTCGCTCTGGTTCATGTTCCTGCGCATGGCATTACTCGCATTACTGCAGCTGCTGGTACTGGTGCTGACTACGGCGCTTTTGCTCGCAGGTACGCAATGCGCGTTTGCACGCACGCATGCACAGCATTGTGGTGTCTCGTCTGCGTGACCAGAGCGGGGGCTCCCGGCGTCGAGTTGGTCAGCGGGCTAGGTACTCAGCAGTAATTAGTTTTTCCCGACACCATCAGCATCACCGACATGCGTCGTCAACCCGCCACTCTTCTTACATCCAGCACCCGCGTTTAAAGCAGTTATTGAGTTACGTTTCAGGTTTGTGAATCTCTGCTTTGCCTCTGTTTTGACTATACTCGCGGTTCACATGCGAACCTATCCCAACTGCTTGCTCTTGTTTCTACTCAACTACACACATTGCGTGGTCTACTTCCACGCGCAGGGGGCCTGTTTGAGCCGCGCTCGCTCTCCCCACTGCCATTTTGCTTTTGCTCCCTTCGCCTGTATCTCGCATTTCGGGTTGCTGAGCCTGCCTGGCCTCGCAGGACCGCACTGTGCCTCTACCGGGTGGACGGTAATCGCTGCCACCGCTCCTCTGGTCCCCTCTGCCGCCGCTGTTCCTATGTTTCCGCATCAGCAGCAGCCACTGCAACCACAGCAGCAGCCGTCGCTCCCTCTGTTGTCTCTTTTGGTTGCTCCGTGGCAGCACGAGCGGCACCGACGACAGAAACAGCAACAGCTCTGGGCCTCCGGACGCTTTGGGCTTTCGGACCTGCGCCGTCGCTTTCGTGGGCCGTGGCGTCTGTTTCAGCGGCGGCAGGGTTTGCGGACCTTAGGCTAGCGGGTTGGCTGGTGGTTATGCGGTTCACTGACGGTGGGTCGTGCCGTGGCAGTCTTAGGTTGCCCTTGTCGCGGTACGGCCCGGGGCACGGTGTGGTTGCGTGGTCGCGTGTTTTTGGGTTTTAGGTTGTCTCTTCTGCAGCCGGGCAGGCTGAGCAGGGTCGGGACTATATAGGCCGTCTCGTTTCGGTGGCGTACGGGCGTGGGGGATGGGCGGGTTTTGTTTGTGCATTTTTCGTCTCCCCTGTTTTTGTGGTCGTTGTGGTCGTTGGTTTTTGTCGTGGCGCTCGGTTGTTTCTTTTGGGGTTGTTGTGGCCCTGCCGCCTTGCCTTGCCCTGTTGCATGTCAGCATCTGGGGCGCTCTCCTTCGAGCCCGGTCACTCACCACTGCACTGCACCACATCACACACGGCCGTGCCCCTCTGCTGGCCTTTGCCTGTTCGTTGCACGCATCCCATTGCACCGTCGTCTTGCTCTTAGACAACGCTACAGTCGTCTTGCTCTTAGACAACGCTACTTCTCAGTGCGGTTCAGCTGACCGCTGCAGCCACAGCTCAGTGCCTGCTCGACCACTCGCGCCGGTTGTGTTGTCTTTGTTTTCTGCATTTGCATTCATGTTGTGTTGTGCTTGCGTTCGTCCTGTCTCACATGCCATCCTGCTTTGCCGTACATTTCGCACTTCGATCTAGGTCCATTTTGTCTCTAACTCTGTCCCCCTTTTCCTCGCTCTGGTTCATGTTCCTGCGCATGGCATTACTCGCATTACTGCAGCTGCTGGTACTGGTGCTGACTACGGCGCTTTTGCTCGCAGGTACGCAATGCGCGTTTGCACGCACGCATGCACAGCATTGTGGTGTCTCGTCTGCGTGACCAGAGCGGGGGCTCCCGGCGTCGAGTTGGTCAGCGGGCTAGGTACTCAGCAGTAATTAGTTTTTCCCGACACCATCAGCATCACCGACATGCGTCGTCAACCCGCCACTCTTCTTACATCCAGCACCCGCGTTTAAAGCAGTTATTGAGTTACGTTTCAGGTTTGTGAATCTCTGCTTTGCCTCTGTTTTGACTATACTCGCGGTTCACATGCGAACCTATCCCAACTGCTTGCTCTTGTTTCTACTCAACTGCACACTGAGGAGGAGAACAAGGCAGGATCCTCCTGTGCTTCAAATTGACGACATTCCTTCTCCAGAACTTTACAGCTTCCCAGGCTCCCTGTGCTTTTCTACCCCTTTCATGTCGCCCCTCCCGCTCTCATGACGCCGCCAATCGGACGCGAACTGTCCTGCTACCCTAAGTCCTGCTACCCACCCACCGGTGCACAGCGCGCGGAAGTTCTCAGCGGCCCGCGGCGAGTCGTTCTTGAACAGCACGACCTTCATGCGGCCAATGTACTTGCCTGCAGTCCGCGGGAGGAAGTGAAAACGGTCGGGGTTGGAAGCATGTGTAGGCGCGCGCGAGTGCTGCCATTGCGACGGACACTACTCCAGCAGGAGGCCAACCGATTGCACAAGGTACCTAACCTACAGTCCTACACCCCTCATCCCCTCCTCGACCGCGACCCGTCACCGCCCCCACTCCTCCGCTTCAGGCCAACCCTTCATCCCTTCCCAGTGTCCCTCGCCATCCCTTTCCCCATCCACATTCCCCCTGCCCCCCTCTCCCTAATCTGCGCTGCTGGCGTCTACATGTCACACGGTTAGTTCCGACTAGCTTCTTCCTCCCCACACCCCCTCTCCCGCTCCCCACCCTTGATTGCCACGTCCAGGTAGACGAGCGGCAGGTTGGGGTCGTCTCGCAGCGCCTCCAGCCGCAGCCGCTCCGCCTCCAGCACACGCAGCCGCTCCTCGGGGGCGTACAGCGCGCCGGAGGTCCAGGGAATGCCTGCAGCAGGGGAGGAGGGAAGGAGAGGGGGAGGGAGGTAAGAACCCGGGGAGGTGACGGTGGCGCTTGGGTAGCGTTATGGAGGAAGGTTGAGGAGGTGGCGGCAGCTAAGTGGGGCTTGGCACCAGTGGGGCAGGCAAGGGCCGCGTGACTGCCGAGTTGCTGACCTGGGTGGGCGTATCCCTTGCTGTCGACGATGTTCTTGACGGTGTTCTTCTTCAGCCAGCACTCCTTGTGCTGCCTGCCGCTGCCGCAGCCGCCGGGGTTGGCACACCACACCCAAACGTTGCAGTCGGCGTGGTTGGTGCAGGCCGCACAGCACTCGCCCGCGGTTTCCTGCGAGAAAAGGTAGAGAGAGAGAGACGGCCCCGGTTGGAGACATGGCATTGCGGCAGGCGTGGCTAAGGGGAAAGGGGCAAACGTTTTGAAGGTAAGGCGAAGCGTGTGTGTCACACTGGCGGGCGGTCGAAGGCACAACAGCCGGCTGACGTACCGTGAAGTGATCAGCGCCCCACTTTACAACGCGTCCATCTATCTCAGAGTGCTCTTCTGTGTGGCACGTCTCGCGCGAAAGTGCCGGAGGGGGAGGAGTCTTCGCATTCATCTCGTTAATAGCTTCCAGAGCTTTTTGCATCTCAATATCATCCTCCTCCGTATTTGCACTCCGGTACGGATCGCTGTTGGCAACACGCTGCGAGTAATGCACTGCAAGCATTCGCGATGGGATCACCGCCCGTCATTTAGACATTAAAGCGGGACCCAGCGCAGGGTTACATACGGTTACATGTACCTGTGTAAATGGTAGCAAGAGAAACCATAACTGTTAACGCGATGAGAATAATGGGCGTCCGCCATGAGGATGTCCGCGAGCCAAGCCTGCGCGACTCCAAAATTGGAGCCGGACCAGCCCAGCTAGCTGGCAAGAGCTTATGCATTGTGTAGTGCTTCGTCAAAGCCTATCTCAAACTGTCACCGTCGCCAAGACATTTGTGCGTAGCTGTCGTTCCAGGAACAGCCTGAGCAGGCAGGAATGTAACCAAGTGAAACGCTATTTTCTACCATTAACCTATCAATAACTATACCAGATCAGTTATACTGAGGGATTAGGAGGGAAAAACTAATCATGCACCGTACTCCGCCGTACCGGTAGAGCCCTAAAGTCCTAGGGCAGTAGAGCTTGTACAAAACCCTCCCCCCACCCTCAATACAATCGTGTCATATCGGAACCGGATACTTGTTATATAATGCGTGACCGGTTCGAAGGTTGGCGACGTGGTGCATATGCCCCACAACGTACAAGCGCCGGCTTTACCGGTCGAGGAATATGCAGCGGCAAACCAAAGGCATGGGAATTGCCATTATGAACAGACAAGGTGTCCTTAGGTCTAAATCACCGGGACATTATTGCGGAGTTGAGGGCGCACATGAAACACAGTGGAACTCTTAGACAGGATCCACCGTAAGTTGTTAGACTTTCTCAGGCGCCATGGTTATCTTCTTCCCTTCCCCATGTGAGCATGGATTATGCATCCAGGACCCCATCAACACGAAGTCCCATTTGTTATTCTCGAAGGGGACAAGGGTTTAAGTCGTGCACCTAAGCCCATATTATGATAGTAGCCTGAACCTGCGTGAATTTCTTCCACATGTCAGTGAAAGCCTAATTGTTTCCACATAGTATCGTGCGCATGGGCAATTTGTGTATGAGCCTGTTCTGTACGGACAATCCATGGTGGTTCGGGAACAAGTATGGGCAACGTTCGGAAGGCCGCACGCCAGACCATTAAGGTGATGCAATCTTGTATTAAACGGGCTATTGTAACACGCAGTTGTTATTGTAGAAAACAGGCGGCAATCCTCAACGTTTACACACTAGGCAATTGTGCACAACTTGACAAGTCTTCTACCCACATTTTTATACTACCCAACTTTTAACAAAGGGCGGGCCATTGGGAAGCTGGAGCACAGCAGGTCTTGTTGGATCATTAGCTAGGAAATGAGGTGTGAGCATAGCATGACTATGGAGTAGCATTTGATACTGTTTCTGGAGCTATATGTACGTCTAGCGTGATCCGTTTTTCCTGTGCCTGTCCTTCTCCTTGGCGCAGATTCTTCTCCTGGCAGCGATAGTGAAATAGCGCGGCCGCCAGGCGCTTTACCCTGGCGGCCGATAGTTACTTGCACGGGACAGCTTAACAGCGCTGCTGGCTTTGCTCGCGGCGTACGGGGAATTGAGCGGCAGCAGCATCTTGGCAGCAGCAACCGTGTAACACACCAGCCATGGCTATCTCAGCCATCTTCTTTCTTGATATCAAGGGGCGGATCATCATCTTTCGCGATTACCGCGGGGATGTGTCGCCCAAGTATGCGGAGAAGTTCATGTCCAAAATCAACGAAATGGAGGAGGCCGGCAAGCTTAGCCCCGTCATCTACGACGACGGCGTCACCTACCTCTATCTCCAGGTAGCCAACCTCTACCTGCTCGCCGTCACACGCACCAACGTGAACGCCTGCTCGGCGCTGGTGTTCCTGCATCGCCTGGTGGATGTGTTCAAGCACTACTTCCAGGAGCTGGAGGAGGAGTCCTTGCGTGACAACTTTGTCATCGTCTACGAGCTGCTGGATGAGGTGATGGACTTTGGCTACCCGCAGTTCACGGAAGCCAAAATCCTGGCGGAGTACATCAAGACGGATGCCTACAAAATGGAGACCGCGGTTAAGCCGCCCATGGCGGTAACCAACGCCGTATCCTGGCGTATGGAGGGTATCCGTCACAAGAAGAACGAGGTGTTCCTGGACGTGGTAGAGAGCGTCAACCTGCTGGTCAGCAGCACGGGCCAAGTGGTGTTGTCGGAGGTGGTGGGCGTGCTCAAAATGCGCGCCTACCTGTCCGGCATGCCCGAGTGCAAGCTGGGCCTCAACGACAAGGTCCTCTTCGAGTCGCAAGGCCGCAGCAGCAAGCAGAAGGCGGTCGAGCTGGAGGACATCAAGTTCCACCAGTGCGTGCGGTTAGCTCGCTTCGAAAACGACCGCACCATCAGCTTCATCCCGCCGGACGGCGCCTTCGACCTGATGACCTACCGCATCAGCCAGAACATCAAGCCCCTCATCATGGTGGACTGCCTGGTGGAGAAGCCCTCACGCAGCCGCACGGAGTACCTGGTGAAGGCGCGCTCGCAGTTCAAGGAGCGCAGCCAGGCCAACACGGTGGAGATCATGCTGCCGCTGCCGGCCGACGCCATCTCGCCCGTGATGAAGTGCAGCCAGGGCACCGCGGCGTACGTGCCTGAGAAGTCGGCGCTGGTGTGGACCATCAAGAGCTTCCCGGGCGGCAAGGAGTACACGCTGCGGTGCCACTTTGGGCTGCCTTCAGTGGAGGCGGAGGATGAGGGCAAGGGCAAGATGCCGCCCATCAAGGTGAAGTTCGAGATCCCGTTCTTCACGGTGTCGGGCGTGCAGGTGCGCTACCTCAAGGTGATTGAGAAGAGCGGCTACCAGGCGCTGCCGTGGGTGCGATACATCACCACGTCGGGCAACTATGAGATCCGCATGGTTTAGGCAGAGGCTGGGATGGTGCTGGTTAGGCGTGGTTTGGGTGGGGCGGGGGCTGTGGTTATAGCGTGCAATTAAGCTTGGCAGGGTTGGAAGAAGGATAGGTTTGGGGATAGAGCGGAGAGATGGGTGTTCGCAGGGCATGGACCATGGCGGATATCAACGGGAGGAAGATGGACTGCGCCCCATGGGTCATGGTTACTCAAAATCCAAGTTGGACGTGGGGTTTGGAGGTGTTCACATGGCTGTGCCCGAGGATAGGGAGGGGTATAGCGTCTAGATAGGTGGTATCGGCAGGCCTTTTTGTCATAGGACTGGCAACCTAGCAAGGCGTGCTCCCTCGGTTAGGCATGGCTTATGATGTGTTAGCAGTTATGGGAGAGTGGAACCGTACCCGAGGGCTTCGAGTAGACTCTCTTGCATACGAAGTGGTGGGCTTGGGGCTCAAGTAAGCAGGGTAACGAGCTGCGCTTACACGGCACGGTGGACTTATTGGGGCCTGGTTGAGGGATTTGGTCTGTCCCACCTACCCTATTGTTGCTGGTGCTAAAGGGAAGCCATGTCTTATACCGATGTTCATTATAGGCTTGGGTAGGCATGGTTGATAGCACTGGTACATTTGGAACCGGTTTTGCTGCGCAACGGGATTGCCGTCCAGGGACGGTATCCTTTTTTCCTTATGTAAGTCAAGCCCAGTGCTTGAAGGTGCTTGAAGATGCTTTACCATGGAGGTTTCACGGCAATTTGAGGTGGCATATAGTCTGTCGAAGCACAGTATTGCGTAAAGCTTTGGCATTAGCCGTCGACAGCGTCCTAACTGCCAGGATCATCGTCCCGTCCAACTCATGCCAGTCGCACCTGGGTGCCGTGTTACAGACGATCCCAATAACTCGCAGTGTACACGCTCCGTGGTCGGGCCCGTAACCCGTCAGCTCGAGGGCCGCCGCACAAGCAACATCTGATGCAAGGCCCATTTCCCAGTCCTTCCGCATGCAGCATCAAGTACATCCACTCTGCAACGCTACCGCAGCATCAACGCTACAACGCAACCGGTCTTGAGTTGGCTGCTTCATACACCGAACTCCGTTCGTGGCCGCAACCACCTCAATTGCTAGGGACGCCACCAGTTGGAATGCTTCAACAAGTACGGCAGCAAAAGACTTCAGCACCGTGTCAAGCTTTCTAACTGCCCCCACTCCCTACGCTTTCCTCACCCATACCCGCATCCAGAGCCTGCACCACGCAACCCCTCATTGGCGTCCTTCTGTCTTCCTCCTAGCCCAACCTTTCCCAGCTTCTGATTCCTAGGGAGACCCTAGGTTAGCACTAGGTTAGATCCAGGATGACCCTCGGCCTTGCCTCCTCTCACTTGTTGCGCTGCGTGTCCCGCCGTACATCCGCAATCTCATGCTCCCCCAGTGTGGGCCGCCCGTGCGACTCCTCGCGCCTGCCCTCAGTCCCCTGCGACGGCTCACCGCCCCACACCGTCTCCGAAGCCGCCTCCTGCAATGGCATGTACGGCAAGGGATGGTACACGGTACGGCAGGTTGGCGCCGCAGCCTGATTACGGCAACGAAGGGAAAGCGGCATGCAGCCTGGCTGAAGCGTGCCCTCTACATCCAATGTGACAATCTGGTTCCACTCATCCGTTCCAGCAGCTCGCACACCACCACTTCCTACATGCTGGGGATTCCACGTTTCCACCGCACCCCCCTCCGCCTATCCTGAAGTCCCCTCCAACTCACTCGCCCGCACCCGCGCCCTTCATCTGCCCTCCTTCAAGTCAATTAGGTCCTCTTCGTCTTCCCCTTCCCCGACGGGCTGGTTTCTCTCTCCCCCCCCCCAATTTGAGATGCGTGTTATTAGTGCCTCCGAATGCGCTCACTGCATGAGTCGGGATATGGGATTGGGATTCGTTGTTTCACTTATATAATTTTTTCCCACCTGCTCCTCCTGCTCCATGCCCGCCTGCACGACGTGCGGCTGGTCGAACTCCATGGCGCTGTCACTGTCCACCCCGCGCGGCACCTCCTTGCCCATCGCGCCGCCCGCCACCGCGCCCACCACAGCGCCCAGAGCGGCGGCGGCGGCAGCAAGCGGCGCACTGGAGACGGCGGCGGCCGTAAGGCCTCCAGCTAGCGCCGCGCCCGCTGCCGAACCTGCGGCGAACATTGCCCCGAGAAGCGCCTTCCAGCCAAGGCAGCATCGACCGTGACATCGCGCGAACTACCTCGCCGCGAGTTCAACGTCATGGCATCCCAAGCCGGTGCTCTTCCTGAAATTGAAGAAGATATTGAGGCGCTGCTCGGCCACGACGGTGCCGTCGCTCCGGACCCGACTCCGGCCGATGCAAGGGCTGTTCGTCGCGCTGGCTTCAACGTGGCGCGCAACCTCACCATGGGCGTGCGCCGCCTGGAGGATCTCGCCATGGGCGAGGGAGGAGACCAAGGGCTCGACTACGTGGACGGCGCTACTGAGGAGCTCCCTCCACAACCTCAGACCGGGTTAGATGGGGAGGGGCAACAGGGGGGGATGGATGATGCGGACTCCTTTAGCTTTGGTCTTCCACCAGCCCAACAGCTAGGGGGGTCTGACGGGCCGCAGCCGCTTGCAGCGGGAGGGACTGATGGGCAGCCGTTAGAGGGGGGCGGGGAGCGCGAGCCCGCCGCCGATGAGAACCCGTCACCTTACGGTGTGCGATCACTGCTGCTCTGGGGGGGCCGCGGCCACGCCGCCGCGCCCGCCGCCCAACCACCGGCTGCACCGGCCCCTGCGCACGTCAGGGGCGCCGCCGCTGCCGCCGCTGCCCCTGCCGCAGCGGTCGCGCCCAGTGGCGGTGCTCTACCTGCAACGCCCCGCCCAGTGATGGGCGCCCTCTCGGTGTATCAAAACCCTGCCTTCCAGTCCCCTGCGCCCTCCCCCGCCGGCAGTTTCATCACGGCGCGCGGCATGGACTCGCTGCCAGCTACACCGCCGACGGCAAGGCCTGGATCCCCACCACCTCGCAGCCGTGTTCTCCCCACCCGGTCCGGTGGCATAGCCCCCGCTGCGGTGAACGGTCTGCAGGGATTGTTGCGCGGCGACAGCAACGGCCGTGGCATGTACGGGATGTCGCAGCTCAGCCACACCGCAGCGCGCGCTGGTCGCCTGGGCCCTGCACAACGTATCCCCAGTTCAACCCCGCCGGTGGAGGAGGCGGCGGCGGCCCCCTATCAGCCGCAGCAGCACTTCACCGCGCCGCCGCCGCTGCCGCAGTCATCGCCGTTGCAGCAGCAGCCACCGCAACCGAACCCCATGTCGTCGTTGCCTGGCCCGTCTGCCGTTGCTCAACAGCAGCCAGAGTTCGAGTTCGACCCTGCCGGTGGCGTCGATGATGCTGTTGCGACCTGGTTTGGCCTGGGCGACATGGTCGAGCCGCCCATACCGCTGCACGACCTCTGCCTGCTAGCTCGTCGCCTACAGACCGACGGCGCGTTCTTGCAGGCGCACGGCTGGCATGACGGCAAGCTGGTCTCCGCGGAGGCTCTGATCAGCGCCTTAGAGCCGCCGTTGGTCCCAAGGGCGTCCGTGCGCTACGGCCCCGACGACTACAGCACGCAGCAGCTGCTTTGGCACCTGCACGACCTCAACCAACGCAACCGGCAGCGCAGCTCGACAGCCTACGTCACGGCTGACGACCTCATTGCCGACCTGCTGCGGCGCCTCAAGGCCCAGGTCGGCGACGGCCCGCACTGGCTACAGTATGCACATGAGCTGAGGGAGTACCTGCGGGGCAACGGACGGGGGTCGGTGGCGCCGCCGCCAAGACTGATCTCATCGCTGGCGGGTGCTGGCACATCGGCGGCGGCCCCTCGGGGCACGCCGCCGGCCGCGGCGGCAGCCACAGGGCAGCCGCCGCTCGTGCCAGTCCCCGCTGGTGGTGGTCACGCGGTGCCGCCAGCAGCCCCCGCGCAAGGAGCCGTCCCCGCAGCCCCACCGCCGCCACCGCCGCCAGCCCCGCCTGCGCCCAACCCTGCAGCTCCCGCCCCCGCCGCGGCAGCTGCAGCTGCAGGGGTTGACGATGAACCGCCGCCCTTGGGCGCCGCTTACGCATCCCACCTTAATGAAGTGGGCAGGCGCCAGCTGCAGCTTACCAAGTTCCGCGACCGCTTCGATGGCAAGGCGAGCGACTACACCAAATATGAGTCGGCGGCGAGGGGCTGGGTGCAGACTGCCCTGGTCAATGCAGTACCGGGCTTGCCATGGCCAGACTTCCGTCAACTGGGCAACCTCATGGCCAACCACACGTTCGTCAACTGCTCGGACCCCAGCATCTGGTACGAACAAAGCTTCCTGGATCTGGAGCGCGACCACTACAACGCCTACAGGCAGCGCGGCGGTGTTAAGGAGCAGTACCGCGGGCAGCGGATTGGCGACTTGGGGGACTTCACCGAATACATCCTGCAGGCCCTGAAGCGGCGGTGTGGTGGCAATCGTGGTGATGCGGAGGACTGGTTCAAGGACTTCGCGTGGCCGCCCGACCCCAGCAAGCCGGGCTTCGGCCAGACCCCGGCCAAGGTCTATGCTGAGTACGTGCACGGCTGCAGCAACCTCCCGCAGTTGGAATACCCGCAGGCTCGTCAAGTGCGCAAGCTGCTGGAGGCCAGCCGCAACCTGCGTGGCTATGACTTCATCCGCACCCGGTACGAGGCGCTGAGTGAGCTGCAGCAGCAGGGCTTGACGCTGGAAAGGCTGCGCGACTGGCTGTCTGACATGGAGTCAGCACGCTCCTCCGAGGGGGGCCTGCAGTTCAGAGCGCCTGCTGCCACCACGGCCACCAGTACACGCCGTGCTGCTGCAGCGTTCCACGCCGCTGCTGCGCCCAGCCCGCCCGATACCAGAGCCGCCTCGGACCGCTTCACGCTGCAGATGGCGCAGGACCTCGACGCCGCGCTGGAAACCACTTGCCCTGACGCCGGCATTTGGTTCACCAACCACCTCCGCGGTCCTTGCCCGATCCACGCCTGGTACACGGCCACTCCGCACCTGCTGTGTGACTGCCGCGTCGCCAAGGATTGCTGGAAGTCGAGGGACGCAGCAGGCGCGCTGCGCCGGGGCGATGAAGGCATCCTGCGTGCAGAAGCGGAGCAAGTCCTGCCAACTCAGTTGCGTGCTGATCTGCCATTTGCTAGGCGCCGCCGGCCAGCCTATCAGCCCCCGCCGCCCGATAGGCCGCCTCCACAGCAGCAGCGCGCGCCGCAGCCCTCGCGCCAGTCAGCAGGAGCCAATCTGCAGCACCCCTTGGCCACCAGGGCAGCATCGAACCAGTCACGCTCGCGGGTGGTCCCAGCGCACCACGCCGCTGCCGGCAGCTATGCGGCGCAAGTGCAGGAGCCGCCCCCCTGGCAGGACTTGATCGACGGCCAGCAACTCCTGTACTACCATATCGGCGAGCAGCATCAGCAGATGCAGGCCATGTCCGCCGCCCTCCTGCGTATCCACCCGCATGCCCAGCTGCCCTACCTTCGGCACCTGCGACCGCCGGAGCCGGTGGCGTCCCACCTGCCCCACCCGTCGGCCCAGCACGTGACACCAGTGGCAGCCACGGCACCCGCCATAGCGCCGGCGCCCGCGCACGCCGCCATGCCGCCCGGCGCCATGTACGAGCCTGCTGGACCGCACAGCGTCATGCATGTCGGCATGCACGGCGCGCCGCCGTCAGCCAGCCAGCCGCCTGGCGCCGTGGCCCCGCCTACG